GACAAAGCTAGGTTGAAATCGGTCAAAATATGTAGGAGCAATAGACAATGTCAACGTTTGTTAATAACTTTCAAACGGAATAACGGAGAGACATGATGATTTGTTGAGCTGCTATCCCGCAGCTAAAAACGGTGCCCACGGGCACAGGTGCCAGTCGACAGTTTTTGCTCAAATATATCTCTCGGAGATTTTCCCCAAGGCCCCAACTCTTCATTTGTAACCGTTAAGGAGGTACTTGTGCACGATGTCTATAGCTTTCCAATTCCTGTTATTCTTTAGCTAGTTTCCTCGCTGTAGCTGGCAGCTATGCCCGTCCTGCCTTCCACTGCTTTGCTGACAGGTGTCTGGCCAAGCTGCTGCTCTAAGCCTTGCCATGACCTGCCTGCTAGGAATTCACCTTCAGAGATGGGAAAGTGAAAAGGGAGTTAAAACTGATGCACCTTTAACAGGATTTTTTGGGGGAAGTATTTCAAGAGTTTGTTCATGAATGTAGGACTTGCACTGTTTGGTGTGCATACGATATGTGCTGTACTGTTGTGGAGTGCCGTGGCTTGGGCATTGTGTTTGTGGTCTGTGGGTAATTCTGCAGGTTTTGGGTTTGAGTCCAGCCTGGGGTCATGGTGCCTGTGCCCTTGGGCAAGGCACTTTGTCACTCATTGCTTCTCTCCACCCAGGAGTAAATGGGTACCTGTGAGGGCAGAGATGGTTAGTGTGGTTGATTGTAGCTGCTTTGCGCCGAAATGGCAGCATTGAGCTGTATACTCCCCAGGGAGCTCAGAGATGGTATTTGGAATGTTTCATTGGCCCAATGAGCAGGGTATTAATGATGTAGCGCCTTGAGCACCAATAATGGTGGATACGTGCGCTTTATAAATACACATTAGTATTATTATTGTACTGGCAATGCAATCATGTGGCAACAGGCGAGATATAGGGCCTTTAAGATTTGTGATAATTGTCTGACCCTTTTTAGAACTACCATTATCACTTACTCGCATTAGCATGTACCGTGCCCACCGTCGTTGTTTCGTCTCGCCTGACTAAGACCTTCGATGCGGTCGTCTCAGATGACTCCTGTGTTTTCCCCAAGGACCTCAATTTACCCGTTACCAAGGAGACGTCTGTTGTTGTGTCTTGCTCTGCTGTGTCGTCAGCAGGAAGCTCTACGTGCTTGGCTGCTCCTGTTTGGGGTCGGAGAAGGGTGGAAACAGAGTGAGATTGCAAGAATGGAAAACAATTTGCAGTTACAAAAATATACAAAATTATTTGAGGGAAACATTGACTTCGAAGATGTACTTTCCATGATCAACAACAAATCTGATTGAGGCAGCCGCATATACTATTTGCCAGCTCTAGAAAAAAACGGAAATATACAGAAAATATAATTACCTGGTAAAATTTGTCGGAAATCTGTTACGTATTCTCCAGTCCATTCGCGCGCTCGGTTGCAAGCAATTTCCATCTCAAACGGCGTGACGACGGGCTTGTAAAACTCCTGCGAATCAATGATGCTGTTCTCCGGACACGAGACCAGAACGTAAATGTCCACCTCCATGAAGTTAGCGAGCTTGGCCACGTTGAGTTTACCCACAACGAACGTGTAGGTCTTCTTTCCGGCCTTCTTCAGGAGGGTTTTCAATCGGTCGATGACGGCGAGGTAGTCCTTCACGCCGAGCGTCCCCGCGACGATCCCGACAACGTTGGCGTCTCGCGCCCTCTCTATTAGGTAGTACCGCTTCATGAGTTGACGGTTGACATTCAGTGTCTCTCGTAGGCCCTGCCTATGCTCGGGGTCGTAGGTGAAAAACGGACACCGGTTGTAGGTCATCATGAGATTGGTGAGTGTCGCAGTCGGGGCACCGACATAAAACACCGCGTAGTCCTCGAGCGCGTGCTGGGGCCCAATTGTGAACCGGCGCCCAAATTGGAAGTACGTGTTTGAGTTGGTCAGTAAGGCTAAATCAATGTCCGTTCCATCGTCATCGTTTCCATTACTAGTCCTACTGTCGGTTAAATTATTTCTCTCAAAATCGACTCCGGGATCCAGGATTCTTGACATGACAACCAACGGTAGGATTTCTGTTAGCCTCTTTGTGAGAGAATCTGAGAAAACAGAATGGAACAGGATTGCATTTCATCCATGGGTCGTCTAAATTTCACTTTGCCTTATATCAGTTACTGAAATAGATATTGCTATATCATGGGTCACTTCAATATTAACTCGTCCACCTATGACACTGACCAGACTGTCAGTCCGTCAGTATGAACCAGCTGACAAAATTCTCTACAATTTTCATGAGGCAAAGACATGGACCTCAGTATTTCACCAGCCAAGTTTGAGGTCTCAATTCAATTTTAAAGGAGACATTTCTTCAACATTTTGCACCCAAGAGTGAAGCAAAGTGATTTCAATTTGAAGCTTAAGACTAGACTGGTACATGTCCAACTGTTTAAAAAGATTGACCCTTCAATAGTCTGGTGGCAGGACTATATAGAGAATGTGTAGAAATAGAGCTAGGTACCAGATCTCTCTTGACACAGGTGATTGATGCAGTACTAAAAGGGTGTTGGACTGGTTGTTTCATGTGCCAGTCTATTTTCTTGTGTTGCATGCTTTTACTATCTTAAATTTTGGGACTCTCGCACACAGTATTGAGAATCCCAAATTTTCGGACTGATTATGATCATACCTATACAGTGTGCGTACACTACATCGTACATAACTACGACCGGCTGGGAACAGTCAGCGAAGAATTCCTGGAAGATTTGGCAGCAGTGGTCTTCATCAATGGGTCGCTGGCCGAAGACGTAGAGGACAGGAAGGCGCGACGTCGGGCTGAGGCAGGCACGGCCAAAATGGATGATGCTGTCTGCATTGGCATGCTGGGCAGCTATCTCATCCACACAACAGCTGTGAGCATGAAGTCAGATTTCATCAATTTATAAAAGGGAATATTAGTGTGGTGGAGCAGTTTTAAATGTCTGGTTCAAAACGGGTTAAAGATTGGTTGCTGAAATTTTAACTGCAGTATTTTACTCTCTTAATTAAGCCATGCTTTGTTCCTCTTAGACAAATTTGACTTAAAGGTACTATACAACACTTGCAAACATCAAAAAACAGAATTACCAATTTATTATGAAATACCTTACTTGACTGTAAGTGAATAATAGTCTCAAGCATCCTGTGAAATCATGGCACCTGGCATGCTGTCGTTGTGTCAAGAAAAGTGGAATTTTTGTATCAATTTCCAACGATTGTCAGCTGACCATCATTGGAAAAAACTGAGGTTTTTGAAAGACTGCCCCAATTAACCAAAATTTAGTTAGTCCACATTTTGTTTTCAATCGGTTTGTGAATGGGTGCCAGCCAGCTAGTCTGGTTTCCTGACCTGACAATTCCCCAATGTCTATACATTGCTCTGTTTTATCTGAAGTAGGATAAGGGAACCAAACTACCAGAACAGCATTTTTTCATGTTTTTTTTCCCAACATCCATGAACAAAAAAGTTTCAACAGGTCAGTGTAACAATATTTGCTATAAAGTGTGAACCTTCCATATGAAGTGTCAGCGAGAATGAAGACCACAGCTTCTGTTTCCTGTTGAAGAAACTTGACGACTGAAGTGGAGTCCAGTAGGAGCTCATCAGGAAACTGCAATGCAACCTAAACAAATAATGGTCAAGGTTGTTATCGCTACATTGATGTGTAGGTTGTATGTTATGGTCTGGTGCGGTTTTGTTTTTAACACAGTTATTCACTTTTGAAGGAGAAATTATACTTAAAAAACCCAACCATCTTTGGTATATACTTTACAAATTTCATATTATTTGGGACCCATCAATAATTCAAGCAGTTCTTTTTGAGATAATTTCAGAGGGTTGAGGTTGAAAGCATCCAAAATAATTTTTTTTTAAAAGAGCTTTTTCTTTTTAAATAAATGGAACTTTTGTGAGGAAAAAGAATTAAATTATGTTGAGGAACTCAGATAGAGCAACATCAATACAAGAATATCAAGATTATAAAAAAAATCTTAACTGTGTAAATTAAACTGTTTGATCAACAATTCTGTAATTCTTTTCATACATGTACCTTTGTGTAGGCATTTTTCCTGATGAATTCTACACAGCGAGGTATCTCATACACAGAATACAGATCTGTCTCTGACGATGCCTTTGCAATGTTGACCTCTATTGACCTCTGAATGACCTCTGACCCATCAGGACTGAATGCTGTTGCCATTGTCTGTAATTAGCGTAAACAAGTTATCAAAGAAAAAGGAAAGAATGTTGCATCCTGAGGCCACTTCAGCAGTTGTGTACAAAGGCAATCCTGTACAAAGTCTATGGAGAGTCAAGAAAATTTGCCAAGTAGGGCCTAGCCCTAGGCCTAGCCTAGGCCTAGGGGCCTACAACTTTATGACAATGTACATTTCATGGATTCATGTCTTTTCAACATTTCCTGCAATGACTGACATGACTGACCTGAATTGAGATGATATATGAAGAAAAAAGTGGCGTCAGGTTGCAACATTCTTTCCAAAATAAAATTTCTTAATATCCATTTGCTATTGCCTAGAGGCAGAGCGCTCCTACTTTCTAGAAGTAGGGCGCCCCCAACCAAGTCTCGCAAAGAAGTGCGCGTGTAAAGCTTGAAAGGGAAACGAGCTGCTGACACGTAACGAGTGCCACGAACAGACAAGAAAACTCACCATTTCACCTACTAAATTAATATCAGACGGTAGAAAAATTCTGATTGCCCCAACTGATAACTTAAGAGAAAAAATCTTACTTGTGCTTGATTTTTTTAATCAAAATATCTTCACACGACACACTTTATTTTCCGTCAGATGGACGCTGCCATTTTGAATCGCAAAGGTTTATGGGAGATTCTGCGCGTGCGCACATTCACCCAACCGTCGATTCAGGCGCCGTTTTTGACTCCTGCAGTTTTGTACTGCGAACATTGTCGCCTTCAAAACATCGGATTTGTCATCATTTTTATGGCATAAAGTGACGTTTCAACATGTACATCAAGGAGATAGTCATAGATGGGTTTAAGTCCTACGCCCAGAGGACTGAAATCAAAGGATTTGACCCGCTTTTTAATGCCATTACTGGCCTGAATGGATCGGGAAAATCCAATATTTTGGACTCCATTTGCTTCCTGTTGGGAATCTCCAATTTAACACAGGTAAACATGGCGGGGTTGGCTAGCCTAATTAATTAATGCTTTTTTTCTGAAAAGGTTGTGCTTATAATCGCTCTCAAGAATAAAAACACAATGTTTACATAGGCACAAACCGATATAAATTATAAACAATAAAATATTTACACCTATTTTAATTCATCAATTTTTCATTTTGCAGAATTTTGTTCGGCCGATTTGGCAATGAGCAGTGGCATTGCAATGCACAGTCCTACTGCCATGGCAATTTTGCTTTGTCTGTGAAAATATAGTATTGGTAATAAAAGATGGTCAGCTGTTTTGAATATAAAAAAGTAGACAAATTTCAATGAAGAATTTATCAAAATATCAGATTTATTTAAGTAGGGCGGTAGGCTAGCCCAGGTATGGTGGACTCCCTTTCCTCCCTACGTAACGGAGGGATTGCAATGAAGACTTCGTCCAACCTGGGCTAGGCGGTAGGCCTATTTTACAACTTTGCTCATCATTCCTACCAACAAATATATTTGAACACGTTTAATATTTTTTCCAACAGTGCTTATGTATCAAACCAAGATATTTTGTACTTTTGTTTGTAATAATGTTTCATTCTTTCAGTGAAAAAAATTGTTCACTATACTATTGTATTGTTCATTATTTCTTCTTATTTTTTAGAGTACAGTGAGTGCGACAGTTCCAGATCATTGACAGTTCCAAATCACTTGATTAATTTAAATTAAAAAAATAATTCCAGTGTAACCATTTTTTTTCTCCAGGTTTGATTTGACAAATTTCAATGTCTATCATTTTGCAATGGTCGGAAAAGAAATTCTGGAAATGGCTTAAACATAGTTCGGCAAAATACCCGCTTGTTTTGTAAAATATCCGTTGTTTTGTAACTGTCCTGTGAAAAGAAATGCATAAAGGCAAAATTCTGGTTTCCTCTGGTACTTCGTCTACATTTATCATTTTTCTTGAATATATTAGGTTTTCTGAATTGTAAGGAAATAATCTCAGTTACATGTATAATACATGTACAGTGCTCCTGAGATTATTTCCTTACAAGAAAATTGGCAAAGTATAATATTTTGGTATTTGAATTATCTGAATTGCCATATTCGCTGAAAGATTTCTATACACACATCAGACAGTTGCGGATCACCCATGCATGGTATGCAGTCTTCAGGCGTGATACTCACGACGTGCTGAGCACACCTTCAAGTTATGAATTATACAATGTATGTATGTACGAGGTGGCAGGGCATGCGAGATCCACAACTGTCGAAAGTGATCGGCAACTGTCGGGTTCGGTCCTGTACGAAAGCCATGATTTAGTTCTCTTTGAAATGAACCTACATGTATGTGAACATATTTGGTTTAACTTTAAAAGATGAAGAGGGGGAATTTTACTACGAAATGATGCCACTTGGACACGGAAACTCCACACATGGGCGGATGTACAGGGGTTTGTATAAAAAGTGATCCGGAACTGTCGCACTCACTGTACATTCAAATATAAAAGGCCCTCACAAGTTTTTTTTTTTTTTTCTTCTTTAAACAGGATAAACAAGGTTACAATTGTATCATGAAATAGGCCTACTGTATGCAAACCTGTGATGTTTCGGTCTTATACTTTTTTTTGCTTTGTGGAGGAATACAAAATAACATCAATGAACAATTCTTGTGCATGTTTATTGGGTGTTAGTTCACATGAAGGTTTCAGTTCCATTGACAAAGTTGCAAACTTTGAATCAATCATATGTAAAGTTTTTGGATTTTGGATATGTGCATTTTGTCATTATTTCAAATGACAGTAACCCTCCTATGCAAACACACATTCTGTGCCAAGTAATCCTATCAGTCAAAATCAAACAAGTGACTGTTTTCAACAGTTAAGAATTCCCATCCTACAAAAGCAGGATTGACTGGCTGGGACTGGTTAAGTAACTTGATACAGCTATGCTTTGACTCCCAGTGAGCGATAAAACAGCTGTGACCACAACTTGCCTGCTTTGTCAGGTTTTCATTTTCATAGTGTTTTTCCGGATCTGTCATTTTGACTGATATGCTTAAATATTTATTTTCATAGTAATCGTAAGTATTATTTTAGTAATTTGCTTATTTAAATTTTCTGGATTATATTAATGAATTATCTATTTATGTATTGCATCGTGTGACAAAACAAATTTCCTAGAAGGACCAATAAATTGAAATTGAAATTGAATTGAAAATTGTCTGTTGACGCAGTTTGACTAGTCACAGTGTTTGCTTGACATATGATCTGACTGCTGGTGGCTAGCCGTTGTTAAAAGTATAGCAGGGGAAGTGGAAGTGAATTTTGACTGTCTGTGACTGTTTAAATAACAGGAGGGTTACTAAAGAGCAGTCCACAACCTGTTACAATTTCTGTATATAAATTATTATGATTCATTATTTTTTTTCAAAGCAAAACAAACTGAATTGTTTTTTATAAAAATGCTGCGAATATACTGGTAAATTTACGAAAATTTTGGGTTGCTTTTCTCATTTTCTTTCCACATTTACATTGAATTACTCAGGTCCGTGCCGGCAGTCTACAAGAGCTTGTGTACAAAGGCGGCCAGGCGGGAGTTACCAAGGCAACCGTTACCATCACTTTTGATAATCGGGACAAGAAGCAGAGTCCGTTGGGATATGAGACGTTTGATGAAATCACCGTCTCTAGACAGGTAGGGCTAGTCAGGCAATTTCACCAAGAATTGTCAATGATGCGGAAATATACTAGTATTAATTAAACCATCCCAAATCCTCCAAAACCCTTTTTGATAATTGGAGGAATTTGCAGGATTGAGGTTACATTGCAAAAGTGCATTGCTGATTTCAGAGGAAGCACTGTGTCAAGATCTTGGGCTGGACCTTGTGTTGTTTATGCTCAGCCTAGCATAAATTTAGTCCTTGATTATACTTGAAATCCTCCGCACTACTCCAGGATGTCACTGCCTCTGCCTCGGCCTATTGACAGTCATAGCCGGAGGATTTTGCAGGATTCAGGCAGTGGTCACCTCTCCACGGACCATATTCAGGAAATAATGAAGGAATTTGCAGGATTGAGGCTATATGCTATTTTTCCGTGAGGCCAATTGGAGGATTTTGCAGGATTGAGGCTACATCCTAGCAAAAAGGCCTAGGGAGTTAGGGTTAAAAAAGTTAAAGGCATAGTATTATTTGCATTTATCCCAAAAGTAACCAACCAAATTATTATCAAAAACCATACTTGGATTTTTAAAATGAACTGGTACTAAACACCCTGTCAAATTATTCCGTCTGGCTTGCTGTCATTTAGAAGAAATCAAGCAATGTAGGTGATATCCAACGATCAGTCAGTTGACTGATTTTTGGAATAAAGAGTGCTATTGATGAAATTGGTTTCGTGATCAAAAGGTTGTGCATGGTTTTTCACTGTTTTCTTGAAAAGTGTAATATCCACTGAGCTGAAATTCAACAGGTTAGGAAACAGACGAAATGTGTGACAAGCAAATCATTCTATATGCCTTTAAGGACTAGACTTTTTGGTGAAGCGAAAGACACTATTAGGCCATCAGCCTCGGTCAAAAATTTGGGCCACCGGTATCAAACGAGGGGATTAATCGTTATAGCGATTTTTGGCAAGGTATACACCTCCAGAGTTGGAAAATATGTGATAGCATTGCAGCGGTGGCAGCTTTTTGGGCGCTATCACCCTTTTTTTCAAAATGTCCATCAAAATGCTTGTTACCACTCTAGGGGCGGTATACCTTGCGCATGCGCACTATAATCATTTATGCCCTGATTTGATACTGACCAAACCCCCAAGCTGATGACCTATATTGCATGTGGACTTGTACATTGTACAATGATATTTTTATTAGATTTTAGAGTAGTTTTACTAAAATAAAAATCCACAATTTTGAAATTTAGTGGCGTGGAGGTTTTGATACCAGCAGAATCAACATGATCAAAGGACTTTTGGGCAATTTCAGGGTTTTGTAATGTCCTTGACAGAGCTTTTTAGGTCTCAGCGATTAAACCTGAAAATGTATATTTCAAATATACATTTGTACATCCATCTAGTAATGGTCAAGGACAGATTAGGAGTTTTAGATCGTTTCTCTGAATCATTAATTAGAAATCATGGTTAACTGGCTCTGTCACGGATAATACATTTCCTTTCATAACGCTGGAATTGCCCTTTTGCCTTTGCAGAAGATATAAACTTCATCAAAATATCGGGACTATTAGGCCATCAGCTTCGGTCCAAAAATTGGGCCACTGTTATCAAATGATCGAAAAGAGCAATGCTCATAGCGATTTTTGGCAAGCGATGCACATCTAGAGTTGACAAACGTGTGAATGCTTTGCAGTGTGAGCGGTGGCAGTTTTTTGGGTGTTATCACTTTTATTTTATTTTATTTTTTAAAATGGCCGCCAATATGCTCGTTACCGGAATAAATATATGAGGGAACAACCATGTTTTGGCTGCCATTTTTAAAAAAAGTGAAAGCACCCGAAAAGCTGCCACCAAGTTTTCTAACTACAGGGGTGCATACCTTGCCAAAAATCACAATGAGCATTATTCCCCTCATTTGATACTGGCCAAACCCCCAGGCTGATGGCCTACATGGATTTCAGCAGCTTTTTCTTTCTAAGTACCTTAAGGTAACAAAGTTTGGGTAATGTTGTATTACCGTAACCACCACCTGATCTTTGAATCCCCACAGGTTGTGATCGGTGGTCGTAACAAGTACCTGATCAATGGCAGCAATGCCAACAACAGCAGGGTCCAGGATCTCTTCTGCTCGGTACAGCTCAACGTCAACAATCCCCACTTCCTAATCATGCAGGGACGCATCACCAAAGTGCTGAACATGAAGCCCCCAGAGGTTGGTACATTTTACCCTTTTACAAAATATTCTGTTGGCTTTTCATAAACTAGCAGACTCCATTCATTAACAGAAGATGGCGCTTTGTCATCGCTCAGTGCCAAATCTGGGCCCACTTGTTTTGCTCTAGTTAAAGGGAAGATACAACATTTGCAAACATCAAAAAACAAAATGATCAAATTATCACGAAATACCTTACTGAATTGTTAGGGATTGACAGTCTAAAGCATCCTGTAAAATCGTGGCTCCTGGTGTGCTGACATTTTCAAGAAAAACTGTATTTTTCCAATGCTGGTCGGCCGACCAGCGTTGGAAAACACTGGCTTTTTCAAAAACTGTTTTCATATTTAGTTATTCCGCATTTTCTTTGCAATAGATTACACACCTGTGAAGGGGTACAAACCTGCTAGAGTGATTCTTTGACCTTACAATTCCCCAAAGTCTTTACGTTTCTCCGTTTCATCTTAAGTGGGGTCGGGGAACCAGACTACAAGAAAATGATTGGTTTTCTTGGTTTTTCCAGCATAAACAAGCCCAAAACGTGAAACAAGTCAGTTGAACAATATTTGCTATAACATACTAATCCTCCAAATCCATTTATTTCTGAAAATTGCAGCAAAAGCAAATTTTGTACATTCCCTTTAAGTTACAGTTAGGGAAAGTTCCCTGCTTACCCTAGCGGAATATTCTGTGTTTACGGTAAGCGTATTTCACGTGTTAGCCAGGAATTTTGGTTTCTGCCCATGTGTACATTGTACATCCCGTAACTAAGGGTTCTGTGTTTTCAGGGTTAGCAGAGAATTGTTATGCTACCGCGGTTAGCACAAAATGGTGATCGTAAGCGTGGAATTCTGTGGTTAGCGGAGCCACTGCTTAACATTCAGCAGAACAGTTGTGCTTCACATTGCAGAAAATTTGCTAACCTTAAGCACTATTTCACAGTGTGGACGTGCTAATGGTCATGCGTGCCTAGAGATTTCTATTGTTACTTCACTAAGTTAAGCAAAATTTTCCTCTGAAGTATTAGCGTGCCTTTTGCTGTGCTTATGCTTACAGTCTCCATGAAATAGAAGGAAGCTCTGTAAACAGAAAATTGTAAGCTTAGCAGCACCATTCACGGCGCTGCTAAGCAAAAATAATTTGCTTAGCACAAAAAAGCCTTTTGTGCTTAGCAGTGCCGTGAAATTGGTCACTCCACCGTCAGATACCAACCGTTCTTGCATCTGAGTTTTTAAAGGATCCATGAATTGAATTTTTCTTAGCAGCACATTTGTGCAACTTTCTACTCCTCTTAGATGTATGAACAATATTTGACATCTCGTTTGGGTTAATTTTATTGAAAAGGGCACTTCTTTAAACAATTTAAGACCACTTCCATGCTTTTACGGACAACTTGGCACTGTTGCTGTGATGTCCTTTCAGGAAAACACTGTTAAGTTGAGGTGTTTCTGTTCAAATTGTTAACCCCAAAATGTGCCCATTGCAAACAAATTTTGTGAGACGAGTTTGCTCACGGGCTTACTGTTATGTACTGACACAACAAATCTGTAGAAAATGAAAGAAATTTTAAAGAATTTAATTTACGCCAGCGAAATATCCAAAATTCTGACGACATTTGGTGCGAAATAGCTGTAATATTGAGATTTCTACCTAAAATGACGTCACACTTTTGCTCATGAATAAATAGAAATTCGAATTAGCATAACAAAAACAAAAATGCACCCAAATACCCTTGAAAATGGCAAAAACGAAAATTGAAAATAAGGTTAAATGGGACACAAAGGTGCATTTTCAAGGATTGCATTTTGAAAAAAATGGGCCCTTTAATTTTGAGACCACAAGAGTATGACTTAAGCCATACATTTTTATTTGATTGTTTGTGGAAGTTAACTCCAATAATGCTACTTCTGCATCGACAGATTCTGGCCATGATTGAAGAGGCAGCAGGAACAAGGATGTACGAAAATAAGAAGGCTTCGGCTCAGAAGACCATCGAGAAGAAAGATGCTAAACTCAAGGAAATTGACTCGGTAACAACTATTTCTTTAAGTTTTCCCTTACATTTCTATAGTTTGCCTGCCAGTATCTAGACTTTGTTAGTTTGTTTACTTTGTATTGTTATAGATTCATTTCAAAAACACAGCAATGCTGATGTACACTAAAGGTGTTTTATTGACAAAGCATTGCCTGTTTTTATGTTTAAATATGATGTGCATATTAAATTGGATCTGCTTTGATTTAAGAATGCAATTTGAAGAATTCACTGAATGTGCACAAAGTTGTAAATATTCATGGAAACCAAGGAAACAAACGTGTGCTAAACGAAAGGATATATTATATTTCCAAGTATTTTTAACCAAGTAATCAAATTTGTTATATCATGTGCTGAGATACTGTAATTTCATCTGTCATGAACGGCCACGTGTCTAGTCTGTAAAATTGCATATACAATGGTTTACCTCATGCGCATTGCGCACACACGTGCAGAACCTGCGCGCGCGTTTAGAACCTGCATGTGCGCTCGTGACCGAGAACTGCAAGCAAAGCGCAACCGCTCAGTCTCATGTTTGGCAGGAAAGCCAATCGGAATGAACTTAGAACGGTAATAAATTGAGAACACAATGAACAAGTGCTTACATAATCTCAATGCTTCGCTCCACATTAACCCTAACTGAACTCAACCCATCAAAGTTCAACAGCAGGTTTTGTTCATATCTGTTGGGATAGGTACAGTACCCCTAAACTGATGGTCTTTTACACTGGGCTTGGCATACCTCCAGAAACTAAGTCCTACAGTGTGTGTGTACAATTTCCCATGTGGGTGTTGGAATTTGCCAGAATGGGTATGGCTCCTAGTAAATTAGGCTGGGGAGTTAGGGTTAATGAAACTTGCATGATCTATTCAGATTAGCTGTGACATAATTCTGGTAAATACATTTTGGCCACCCTTATTCATTTCTGAGAAAATTGACTCTGATTAAAACTCGCCCTGTATTGCTAATCAACATTTCGTTGTGATGTAGATCATGTCGGAGGAGATCACGCCCACCTTGACGCGTCTCAAGGAGGAGCGCTCCAACTACCTGGAGTACCAGAAGGTCATGCGAGAGCTGGAGCACCTGTCCCGTCTCCACATCGCTTACCAGTTTGTCGGCGCCGAGGAGATGTCCAAGAAGTCGGCCGAGGATCTGGCCAAGATGGCCGACCAGATGAACCAGCTCAGAGACCAGCTGAAAGAGGTGAAGGCCATACCTTAAAAAAAATTGTAATCATTGTTACCCCTCAGCCGAGAGGCTCGAGGGGTATTGTTGATTGCTGTTAGGGAGTTGTGGCATTTTTGCTAAACCTAAAAAGGGCCAGCAGCTATTGTCCTGTGACTGGCTGAGTCATTGACTGATTGACTGACTCTCTGACTAATTCGTTGAGTATAAATAGTGTCATTAACTCGGACTAGGCCAGCCTTAGTCCAGCCTGGACTCCATGGTCGTGGGCGCGTTCCTTCACTAACCCCTGGCCATGAGGAATGGGTAAACGACGCAGATTGACTATATGACGTTGCGTCCTACAGATTGTCACGTACACCAGCATTTTGGGAGCAAATTTCGTGATGCGCTTGGCTGCACCGTATTTCGAAGAAATTTCAAGCAACAGGTTTAGAACATTTTGCATGCTGCGCGCACCCGCAACTGATGGCGTTGAACACGCATTTGTAATTTTCCTACGAAAAGATGGCTGTCGATGAGAAAGGTCTATTCAGAGTGTACTGCGCGCATATTTCGAAGACTGCACGCTCTATATATGTGCTCACGTTATCTCCTGCACGTCACGTCACTTACGAACAGTTTTTTTTTTCAAGACTGCACGATGCCTGTACGATATGGATTCTAGAAGCCTCGTTTAAAAAAAAAAAATTATCTCGTGTCGTAAAAGGGTTGACAGAGGTACGTACAGTTAATATAAATCCTTGCTTTATAACACCAAGTCGAAATCTCATGTTTGAAAGGATTGATTGCACACAAAAAAAACTTTCAACAATTTCTGTAACTGTTAAGATTCCATGTCTTCTTGGTTAGCTCACATAAAATTATGATGTGCTAATACGGTAAGCAAATAAAGGTGTCATTAAAGTTGCATACCACCAGTACTGTTCAAAAGAAAATTGAATTTGTATATTTTATTTAAAAAAAGTTCCTTTATTCCAATTTGTGACAAATGAACTCACCTTGCGAGAGCTGAATTATTGTCTGGCATCTTATAATTTGAATTTCAAGAAGAAATAATTCAATAACTAAAACTCTGCATTTTTTCGTTCATTGTCTCATTAAAAAAGTGAATAACTTTTATATTGTTATGGAAAAAGCACTTAAAATACAAATCTATTTTTGGATGTGAAACTCAAAATAGCAGGAGGAATGCATCTTTAAGCATCATACACCATGATATTAAAGATGATCCATGAAATTTGACAAGTTCATTACCAATTTTCTTTTTGTTTCCTTTCCAAGATTGACAACAAAATTGCCGAGCTGGGCCAGCTGATCAAGGATCTGGAGAAGCAGCGAGACGCGGAGACGGGCGGCCGGATGAAGGAGATTGAGAAGGCCCTGGCGGAGAGACAGAATGTGGACACCAAGATGCAGAGCTCTGTGCAGCATCAGAGAGAAGCGCTGGCTAAAGAGAAGAAGAACAAGAAGGCTGTACTCAAGAGCTATGATGAGGTTTGTCATTTTGGTTTTTGGGTGTTTTTTTTGTCGGGTGCACCACAGAGTGACAAATACCATAGGTTTGCTTACATTGTGAGTGACAGAATGTCTGTGGACTTTTTGTACATGTACATGGTACCTCACTTTGTGTACATGTACACGGTACCTCACTGTGTGTACATGTACACGGTACCTCACTTTGTGTACATGTACACGGTACCTCACTTTGTGTAATGTACACAGTACCTCACTTTGTGTACATGTACACGGTACCTCACTTTGTGTACATGTACACGGTACCTCACTTTGTGTACATGTACACGGTACCTCACTTTGTGTACATGTACACGGTACCTCACTTTGTGCACATGTACTCACTATGAGTACATGTACACGGTACCTCACTTTGTGTACATGTACACGGTACCTCACTTTGTGTACATGTACACGGTACCTCACTTTGTGTACATGTACACGGTACCTCACTTTGTGCACATGTACTCACTATGAGTACATGTACACGGTACCTCACTTTGTGTACATGTAGACGGTACCTCACTTTGTGCACATGCATGTACACGGTACCTCACTTTGTGTACATGTACACGGTACCTCACTTTGTGTACATGTACACGGTACCTCACTTTGTGTACATGTAGACGGTACCTCACTTTGTGTACATGTACACGGTACCTCACTTTGTGTACATGTACACGGTACCTCACTTTGTGTACATGTACACGGTACCTCACTTTGTGTACATGTACACGGTACCTCACTTTGTGTACATGTAGACGGTACCTCACTTTGTGTACATGTAGACGGTACCTCACTTTGTGTACATGTACACGGTACCTCACTTTGTGTACATGTACACGGTACCTCACTTTGTGTACATGTAGACGGTACCTCACTTTGTGTACATGCATGTACACGGTACCTCACTTTGTGTACATGTACACGGTACCTCACTTTGTGTACATGTACACGGTACCTCACTTTGTGTACATGTACACGGTACCTCACCTTGTGGGGCAGCACCCATTCATGATACGTCACTTCTTGGTGCGACCAACAGTTTTTGTCAAAGTCAGGTTGCGTCATTTTCAAATGTTTAAACAATTTTTTTTAAAAGAACGAGTTTTGTAGAGCTGCTTTCACAAAAAAAATGGTTTTGAAGTTTCTTGGTAGTCTATACAAATTCAACGTGGTTTGGGAGAATCAGTTGGAAATTACTGCTGCCAAGTCGGCTGATTTGACTTCTCCACTGCAACTGTACTTCCAAGAGCTTAGGCCAAAAAAAATAGTTCTGCTTCCGATTACATGGCATTTAAAAATAGGGTAGGTAGCTAGGGAAATTTTTTGCCAATTTTTTTTGTGTACGATCATATGGAGGCCTCTGCGAGTAGTCGAGGGTAAAAAGTAGAAATTGATGGTTTTGGATGTTTTTTTCTTCGCATTTTTCAATAAAAAATTAGGGTAGGGCTGTCAGAATAGGGTAGGTGGGGATACCGGAAGCAGAACTATTATTTTTTCTTGCCTTAGTTTAGGATGGAGCACAAGTGTTGTGAGTACAGAACATGCCAAATGAGGCTTATGATGCTGTGGACATGGGTCAGTATCAACGAAAACTACTCCTGAAAGCCTGCAAACGCCCTACTTTTATCCTGATTCTGTCCTCCAAAGTTCTCCAAATTTCGATCCTACTTTGTCACCTGCTTGAAAGCTTGTTGGAGGAATCCAGCAAGCTCCTGAAAAGGAAAAGAGCATACTACTCAAGTGTTGACTTTACGTAGGTCTCTCTCTGTACAGCACTAAATTTTAAAAAGAGAATGGTGTAACGTGGTGTCTATGTCAACTCCCATTTATATCTGTTTTCCTATTACGTAGTTGTGTGTCTTGATCTTTTCCAATTAGACTAAAAATGCTTGTGACAATCTTATTCTAATGATTTATTGATTACCGTCCCTTTCTAGGACCAAGCCACCTTGAAGAGCAAAGAGAAGGACATTGATAAGAACAGCGCCAACTTTGAGAAGGTAGCATCCTCCTACAAGGCGCACACAGAGGCCATAGCAGCAGCCCAGAAGCACCTGCAGGCGGTGTCTGCTGGTCTCTCAAGCAGTGATGACGGCGGGGAGGCCAAGACACTGGCTGACCAGCTCATGGGTAGGTCTGGCTTTTTGGCTTAAATCAGAGGCCAACTATCTCATGGGTACGTCTTGAAGTAGAACAGAGCTTGCAAAAATATTTTTGACCAGGTTCTGAAGAGTCGTGAATTTTGCTAGAATTTTGGATATTTTGCTGTTGTAAATTTTCTTTTCTTTGGTGATTTGTTGTTGTGTCAGTACATGGCAGTAAGCCAATGAGCAAACATTCCTCACAAATGTTTCAAAAAACAAATTTTGGGTTCACAATGTGAACAGAAAATCCCTAAATTGAACAGTGTCTTCCTGAAATGACATCACAGCAACAGTGCCCTCAGTTGTCGGGGAAAGCATGAAAATTTATTTAATGTTTAAAGAAGTGCACTGTCTAATAAATGTAACAAAAAAGGGATGTCAAATAGTTTTATACATTTAATAGGAGTAGAAAGTTGCACAAAGCTTTCCTAAGAAAAAATCATCGCATGGGCCCTTTCAAGTGTTTCAAACTTCAGTTTAAAAACATGAAGAACTTGTAACGTGGAGTGACTCCAGGCCTGCTGATGGAACATCAGTGTTTCTTCCAAGCAGTTTACAAGGCCAGTCACATAAATTTGGTGATGTAAATACCTCTGTGCTCTTTTATAGCAAGTCTCTTGATATTTATGACAAAGCCTATGCATGGTGGGACCAGGGCTCTAGTTCAGGAACTTCTCTATAATCTGCAGCCTGCCTAACTGTGTTTGTTTTTTCCCCCCAGCCTGCAAGGATGAGATGAACTCGGCCGAGACCGGACTGAAGCAGGCCCAGAGCACGCTGAAGACGGCCCAGGCAGAGCTGAAGAAGAAGCAGTCGGAGCTGAAGAAGACTGAGAAGGAATACCAGAAGGATACGGCCAACCTAGAGGCAGTCCAGAAAAACAAGGCTAAAGTTGAGGTAATGTTTGGTCTGATTTCAATAGTTTGATCATCCGTTAGGTTTTTGGATATATGATATTGTTTTAATGTAGTTTCTGGTCGGTCATCTAGGGCAGTCCCAAATGCATCGAATATTCGATCATCAACCGAATATTCAAATAGCTTTTTGCTGGTTTGAATATTCAAAAGCAAAAAGAAACTACGCACATACACACACGACTGTGATGTTATTTTATTGTCAGTGTTGTAGTCGAGACCATCACAAGACCAGCACAAGACCATTCACGAGACCATCAACAAGTAACCGGGCACCAACAATGACAAAGGAATGCCTTTGTTGCAGTTCATTTGAATAGCTTGTGACTTGGATTGAGACTGAAGGTCTTGTGTTGGTCTTGTGATGGTCTTATGATGGTCTTGTGTTGGTCTTGTGATGGTCTTGTGTTGGTCTTGTGTTGGTCTTGTGATGGTCTTGTGATGGTCTTGTGTTGGTCTTGTGATGGTCTTGTGATGGTCTTGTGATGGTCTTGTGATGGTCTTGTGATGGTCTTGTGATGGTCTTGTGTTGGTCTTGTGTTGGTCTTGTGATGGTCTTGTGATGGTCTTGTGATGGTCTTGTGATGGTCTTGTGTTGGTCTTGTGATGGTCTTGCAGGGTCTGGACTACAACACTGGTTATTGTCAGGTGCCACTTTTTTGTCAACGGTAACTTTTTAGTCGACGGCTGTTCATTGTTTCTATCCTTTTAGCAAATTAAAGCCCTTTCACAGTTATAAAATACTTACTGCAAAATGCTCCAGCGGCACATATCGATCGCCGCATGCAAATTGTAACTGGCACACTTTTCGTGCAAGTTTTTACTGGTGCAGCATGCAGTTGCACCTGGCAGTTTCGAACATCCGAATAGTTGGTCAAAGGCAGTTTCGAGTAACCAAATACTAAATTATTCGAAAATGGATGCCCTACGATCATGTCATGAAACAAAATAATATGTTCTTGGCAAATTTTTCTTGGGCGAGTTGATGTAAAATACTCAATAACCCTAACCCCCTGGGTATATTGGCTAATAACCCAATAAAAAAAATCTGCAAAAACAGGCAGCACTTGTCAAAATGACAAGTGCAAGATCCATCAGGTCAAAAAACTCAATGCCAAACCGCCTCAGAGTCGGTGGTCACCAACTGTGGCATTGTTCAATGGGACTAGCTCTCATTGTTTCAGAATTGGCCGTTTACGCACTGGTGTTGATGGCTCAATGCAGCAAGGTCCCACAGACTTTTACACCCGATGCACTGTGTTGCGTCCCGCAGGGTTAGGGATAATGGGTATTAATAAATTTAAAGAAGTAAAGAAGTACAATCATCACAAATTTGTGACATGTGACAACTCGCCCCAAATTTTCCAAAAACTTCATTCATTTTGGCCTTTTGCAGCACTCCAGGAATTTGCATGATATTTATGGTAAGAGGTACGATACCGTGGATATTCGTTTCGGATCTTGTTGAAAATGTGTGCAAAGAAATATGCCAGCATACAAGCATGCAACTTTTCCTCGGATCCGCTGATTTCCTTGTTTGTTACTTCTCATGAATGCCATTACAAATTGAAAAACACTGTACAAAGTCTTGTGTGGTTTGGAATTTCCTCTTTTTTTTAGTTCCCAGTTGCACGCCTGCAGCATAGCAAATGAGTATTTATTAGGCATATTCAAATCGATTCATCATTATTCATATGGAATGAATATTCATTATGATTAGGCTGAGATGAAGAAGCTGGGTTTTGAGGACGGGAAGGAAGACGCCTTGGTGAAGCAGAAGAAGACAATGGGAGAACAGGTGCAACAGCTGCAGGATAAAGTCAACACACTGACTGCTAGGTGAGCGAGAAAGTGCCTTAACCCTAACCTTCCCAAATCCTCCAAAACACTCTTTGCAAAATGGAGGATTTTGCAGGATTGAGGCTATATGGCAAAAATGTGTGGCTGATTTTGGAGGATGCACTGTGTCAAGGTCTTGGGCCAGACCTTGTGTTGTGTCATGCATAAATGGCTTAAATTATACTTGAGATCTTCCGCACTGCTCCAGGATGTCACTGGCTCTGCCTCAGTGTATTGACAGTGATTGCTGGAGGATTTTGCAGGATTGAGGCAGTGGTCACCCCTCCAAGGACCACATTTAAGAACTAACAAATGATTTGGCAGGATTGAGGCTGTAAGCAATTTTTACATGGAGGCAGTTTAAGGATTTTGCAGGATTGAGGTTGCATCCTAGCAAAAATGCCTAGGGAGTTAGGGTTAAACAATGAAATAAACAAGATGTTCCATCATTTTTGTACAGTTCAATGACAGACATTTGCACAGCATATGGCATCTTCAAAACATGAGCTATTTGTTATGAATTTTGGGGGTTCTTATTTCCTGAAGTAATAAAGAGTATTGAATTAATTCACAATGTTTGATAAAATGAGGGGTGTCATCACTGATCTCTGGAATACTGATGACTGTGCCCATTCTCAATCAGAGCTGAATAATCAATGTCTTAAACGTCAGCATTTTTGACGGACATGAACGACTTATGAATCCTAGCCACCTAATAATTACATGTAGCAGGAAGTACAAATTGCCGCCGTATTTTTTTAACAGGTTCATAGGTGGTGGCAGATGAATAGTATTTACAAATTGTAAAAACCATAATCACGAAATTCCAGTGTACGTCTCACAGGTATCGGTAGGAGACCTAGAAAATATGCCGGTACTGTTGGGGCGTTTTAAAACAACTACTGAATGATCCCTTTGATTTGCAGTGGTAGCCGACAAAATGTCCGCAAAATGTACACAATCCACAAACCATACTAAATGGTCTGTGTTGTGCTGAGAAGTTGTGGTTTCAAGTTATCTGGGTTCAAACATTTTACTTCAAACTTCCAACGAGTCCGACTCCGTTTGATTTGCAGTGGTAGCTGACAAAATGTCCACTAAATGTACACAATCCACCCAATTATCCCCGTATGATCATTTTAATAAAGTTGAAGGTGCAAGTTGGTGTTTTAAAGTCATTATTTTAGCAGTTTTGAAAAATGACATGTGGACTTGTGTCTGGGTTTATCTTTTGAGTGATGTAGCTTGAAATTTATTGCTGAATCTCATAAGCTGAAATTGCTTTAGGTGGTATGAATCCCGTATCAATATATTTTTCCTCCAAGGTTTCCCAACCTGCAGTTTGAGTACAGAGACCCAGAGAAGAACTTTGACCATTCTAAGGTGCATGGTCTGGTAGCCCGCCTCATTCAAGTCAAAGATGTGCGCAACGCAACAGCTCTAGAGGTCACAGCTGGTCGGAAAGTAAGCTTAGTTTTTTTTTATATTTGGTGATGCCCCTCACAGACGTAATATTTTCAACATCTTCAGTAAATATTCAGTGGCCTGTCCTTACTGGTTTCCCTGACTGTACAGGGTGAGCCAAAAAAAGCAAAGCCCAAATGTCGGGACCATTGTTTTAGTGAAGTTCTGCCTGTAGCACTTTCAAAATCTAGGATATGAAAGCCCAATTCATAAGCTTTCTTTTAGTACAAGAATCATTCAAATCACTCATGTACTTTGAAAGTGTACTACGGAATTTTAAACACAACCACTGTTTTAAGGTTCTGTCCACGGATCACAAAAAAGTTCAGTGTTCTTTCAGCGAAACGAAAACAAACCACATAGGGATGTGTGTGAATTGTTTTTGTTTAGCTGAAAGAACGCACACCTTTTTCTGTGATCCGTGGACAGAACTTTAAAACGGTGGTTGTGTTTAAAATTCCGCAACTTGAAAAGTACATGAGTGATTTGAATGATTCTTGTACTAAATGAAAGCTTATGAATTGGGCTTTCATATCCTAGATTTTGCAAATGCTACAGGCATAACTTCCCTAAAACAATGCTCCCGACATTTGGGTTTCGTTTTTTTTTTACTCACCCTGTATATTCAGTGGCCTGTCTTCACTAGTTTCCCTGACTGTACTTTCAAGCACACTTTGCTGCCTCATCACATCCATTCGCTGTTAAAGTTTATAAGACTAGTAATGCGCTTATCAAATGTTTCCCCCACGCGCTACCCCAGGTCCAATGTCGGGATTTGGTCACGTTTTTCATGCCCCAGGGCGGGGATTTTGGTCACTCAAAACATTGCTACTATAGCCGTTTTCCAAACCCCGGCGTCGGCTCCGTATCTGGGTCCAGCCCCATTGCCAACCTGCATGAATGGAGCCAGAGACCTAGCCCGAAGCCAGGGTTTGGAAAAAGGCCATGGAAAGGCATCAATAGACCTTTATCATGCTGCCACCATTTCAGTCATGTTCCCTGTATCAAATAACAGTACTGAATGATTATGTTTTAGTGCCAAAAGGAACCAGACTATTTTTCCTTCCAGCCTCGCTTTGGTTACGTTGAATTGAATGGGAAAAAAATCAAGATGGCCGCAATATGATAATGGTCTATAGTGTGCCCCATGTATGTATGTTGGAGATTGTCACTTAAATTTTGCCCGAGGGGTGGGGATTTTGTCACTTCAAAAGTGACAATCCCCACGTCTTGGGTGGGGGGGGGGAGGGACAATTGATAGGCGCATAAGTGTGTGCACTTCAGAATGGTGCGATATGCCGAGTGCAATATGGACCATGCTGTATTTGATAATATCACACAGTTATCATGGATCAACCATACAGGATTGAGGATTCAAAGTTGCTTGAAGATAATACGTAAAGTTTGCCTGACTGAAACGGGCAAACTGACATGACTTTTTCTCGTTTCTTTCCCGCTGAAGTTGTATAATGTCGTCGTAGACACTGAAGTCACCAGCAAGAAGCTGCTGCAGAAGGGCGAGCTAAAGCGTCGCTACACCATTATACCACTCAACAAGATTGCTGCTAGGTCACTGGCTGCTGACAAGATCAAAGCTGCACAGAACCTGGTAAGAGATTGACATGTCTGAATGTTTCAAAGTTGAAATGGACTGAGTAAATGATTAAATAAAATAAATAAATTGTAATACTTTTATAGCGTTTTCTACCATATCAACAATCGTAAAGCGCTTTGCAATTAGTCCCCAATCATCAGACCACTGGGCAGCCGATATTGGCGCACATTCGGTCCTCTACCCTCACAGGTACCCATTCATACTCCTGGGTGGAGCGAGGCAATTGTAGTTAAGTGTCTTGCCCAAGGGCACAAACACCATGTTCCTGGCAGGGTTCGAACTCACGTACCATCGTACATGAGTCAAACACAGTAACCACTGGACCGGTGGTTGACAAATTGATGAACTCAACTTCTTTTCTTTGGCACAAACTGAAATTGAAAGCGTAACGCACACGTGATTAGTATGGACTGTATGCGCAAGTACCCCCTCAACGGTTACAAAGGGAGAGTTGGGGAGACCACTGGGAGGGACGTTCCAACGCATTGCCTATGTGGCGCCTGACGCTCACGTGAAGACAAGTCTCTTTCAAAAATTGAAATTGAAAAAAAAAGGATATTGACTGGAGTGGAGTTTGAGCCTGCCACCTCCGGATTGTTATTCTGGTGCTCTACTAACTGAGTTGTCCAGCCCTATGTTGGCGTAGTTCCCCAATTTGTCAATGTCTTTGTTCAAGGGGCACTGTAGTCAGAAGCCAAAAACCCGTTTATAACACACCTCTTGCTGGTTCTTCATCCTGGTTGGCTGAAACACGGTCACGTGTGGGGTTCACTAATATAGGCTAGTGCATGAAATTTGCATCAGTTTGAACTAGACATGCATCAAGACATTACGAACGGGCGTTCGTAATTGTGTCTTGTGTCCGATCCGGCACTATGCTCAAGTTTTTGGACTGGTTACAGTGTTCTCTAAAAAAACCTGAAACTCAACAACTGAATCTAGGAAAACTAAAACCGTTCCTTTAATTGTTGAATTGCTCATAGTTGAATTGCTTATGAGTAAATTGTTGAAATATAACAGTTGAATTATAAACTCTGAAAAGTTTGTTTTCTTATTTGTTTAAATTTTTGACAGAGGTGAGTTATAAAACACATATGGACTGGCATAATTCGGTCACTAGTGCACGTCTATGCCCTCGGGCCTATGAGTGACCAGAAGAGGGTCCTATTGACCTATCGCCGTTTGCGAGTTAGCCACGCCCCTTAGACAACCCTATGGAGTTTTGTACACTAAGTTTTGTTTGTCTCAGATTTTGCACGTTCCGCGTCCATTTGAATAATGTAATTGGACAATATTTCACAAGCTGCATTGACGCGATTCTAACGCAATTCTGCCGCAATATGTCAACTCCCTCGGCCTTCGGCCTCGGGAAATAGGACCCTCTCCTGGTCAGTCACAGTCCCTCGGGGGATCACGCCCAAAGTCACGATGCTAGAAAATCATCTGTGTGTACGTCGCACCTTACGCATACCAGTATGCGCACGGGGATCTCAAAAGTGGTCACATAGGGCCATCTACCGTTTGTGCCATCAAATAACATGCACGCACTCAAAATTCAACCTTTTTTTGGCTTTTAAATTTATTATCTATTTTGTAACCATATTCCATCTGTCTTGCAGGTTGGTAAGGATAACGTGCACTCTGCCCTGTCATTGGTGGGCTTCAGGAAGGATGTAGAGGCCGCCATGCAGTTTGTCTTTGGTGGATCTCTGGTCTGCAACCAGATGGACTATGCTAAGAAGGTACGATCCAACTGGGCCTAAATTTATAGCCTAAAATTTTGTTCAAACATCCCTTTAAATGAAAGTTGTTCAACCTTTTGCAAGGGTAAAAGTGGATCAGATCTGCTTACTGGATTCATTTTCATTCACAAGTCTCTTTGATTGTGGTTCTAGGTGACCTTTGACCCCAAGGTCAGAACTCGAACTGTGACCTTGGCAGGCGATACCTTTGACCCCTCAGGAACATTGACTGGAGGTGAGTTTACGTGTAATTCAGTTTCAGATTTTTACGTTTCCAGTTTTCAAACTTCTATTCAGTACATGCATTCCTTGAATGGCGAGGGAGGAGTTTGAATGATGAAAAAAATGACATTATGAAAAGCATTTCAAGAAAGAGGCAATTTTGTTTTTGTTTTTTATGAAATGTTTGCATCGTTGTTGCAAACCCTGTACAAAGTCTGTCACCAGCCAATGTGGGCCCATCAGACTTGTGTTTATCTCCAGTTTCCATGACATGAAACGACTGAGAATATTATATTCCCCCCTAGATGGGATGCCAGTTCATCACAGGTTACTCCCCAGCTAATGCTGGCACCCATTTATACTCCTGGGTGGAGAGAGGCAAATGTGGGTGAAGTGGCTTGCCCAAGGACACAACGTATTGCCTGCAGCTGGATTCGAACCCCCGACCCTCTGATCATGAGTCACGAACCCTAACCACTGAACCCTACCAAATGATCATATATGTATGTACATGTACAAGTTTGTTATTTGGATTAAGTGGCTTGCCCAAGGACATAACATAAAGGTCAGCAGCTGGATTTGAACCCCTCGGATCACGAGTCCCAAACCCTTTTTTTAACCCTACTTAAAGTCTGTCACGAGCCAATATGGCTCATCAAACTGGCGTTATCTCCGGTTTCCTTGGCACGGAATGACTTAACCATATGATTGCATTATGCATGTAACAATGTTCAACCATTTCATATGTGATGCGATCAACCTAAATGAGTCATTTGTCGACCCTGGTCAAATTTTTTGTATTACAAATTGGAAAAGAGCACAATCTCAGCATTACTGATGTGAAAACTGCATGCCAGCACCATCTTTAGTTCAAAAATTATGGAAGTCGGAACACGAAGTGATGTGATGAAGTGGCCCTATTTTGGCCTGAATCTCCAAATGAAAGTTCCAGACAAACGCCTCATTTAGCTTGATCGCATCACATTTTGCTTGGAAATGTTGAAAATATGGGCTGTCTACAACCATTTTGGTCACTAACGGGTTTCAGGCATGCAAGTTTTCATCAGATCTGCAGATTTTTCTCATTTTTTTTTTACTTCTCATGAATGCCATTACAAATTGAAAAAACACTGTACAAAGTCTTGTGTGGTTTTTGGACGTTCCGTGTGTTTTTCTAAATTCCCAGTTGCAGGCCTGGGGTTTATGTTGAAAATTATTGTTTTTGATCACGTATCTTAATTGTTTGTATTGGAATTTTGTTCACTCCATTTTCCAAGGTGCACGTGCCAAGGGCTCGACGGTCCTGGCCAAGCTGACCGAGCTTCAGGATGCAGAGAGTCAACTCCGGCAGAGAGAGCAGGAACTGTCGGCCGTGGACAAGGAGCTAAGCACCCTCAGAGGCGCTGCCGACAAGTCAGTAATCCATGTCACAAATCTTGTGATTTCTTGGTCTGTGTTTGTATTTGTCTGTAAGCTTGTGATTGACTTGTGATTGCACAAAGTTAGTGGAACACACTACAATACGTTTGAGTGCAGTACCTCGCAACTGCTACTTGGTGTAATACCTGCCCCCCCCCCCCCCCCACATCACTGACGATTTTTACAAACCAAATTAATTGGGATTTACTTTTACAGAACAATTACCCTTCCCTTTCTTTTTTTCAGATTCCGCCAGTTGAAGGAGCAGTATGATCTGAAGGTGCACGAGGCAGCGTTACTGCAGGAGAGACTACAGCAGAGCTCCCATCATAAGCAGCTTGAGGAGATCCAAGCACTAGAAGCCTCAGTTGGTAAGTCTTTTCCAGTCCGCGTTTAAAAAAGGGGGACGAACCTGTGTTCACAGGAACGGAGTGCCCATCTCTCTTTCGAAGCGATTGGGCCAGACTCGAGTCCATCAAATGCTGCTGTGGGGGGATCGCTACACCTCCTCCACAGCGAGTCTGTTACCTTCCCAGCATTGAACAATGCCGGTACCCATTTAACACCTGGGTTAAGAGGAGTAATTGAGGTAAAGCGCCTTACTCAAGGGCACAACACGCATGGCCACGGTGGGCTCGAACCCACAATCGTACGATCATGAATCCTGTACTCTACCGCTAGACCACACATAGATTTTGGGGTTAGTATGTTATTTAAAATATTGTTACACTGGAAACACCGAGAAAAACATGGGGTTTATCTGTCCATTAAAGTTCTTGGTTGGATTGCAATGACCTTCTTTTATTGCTTTCTTCATTATGAAAGCATGCCAGAAAGATAATTTCACAGGGAGTTAAGTGCCATTACTATCTTTCAACCAAGTATGCTTTTCAACAATAACTTCATCAGTTACTTTTTGGATAGCTGCAAATGATGTACTCTACCTTGAAAGCGGACAGGATTTAAATGATGCCTCATTTTTCTCACAGCGGAGCAAGAAGCCGCCATCCCGGCAGCCAAGGAGAAGCAGAAGGAATTGACTGAGAAGTGCAAGACACTTGAGGCTAAGATCAAGGATGCCAAGTCGGTCAGGGAGAAGGAGCTGAAGGAGGCAGAGGCCGGGGTGACCAAGGCCAAGAAAGCAGCCGAGGAATCCAACAAAGCCAAAAAACAGAAACAACAGGTGAGAGGGTAGGGACAGTGGGCTAGAGGTTAGCGTTTAGAGGTGGGATATTATTAGTTTATTGCTTTTGTAATTCCACAAATATCTGTAAAAATTTATAGTATGGCAACTGTTGACTTGATGAAAAAACATTATACAGTGGAACGTCGCTATACCAAACACTGCTATACCGAACATTTGGCTATACCGAACATCATCCTTGGCTCCCGATTTTTGTTGTTAAAAACAAATATCAACAGAAGAGCAACAAGTGGCTATTATTTCCCCAAGGAATAGAAGGGGAAAGCCATCCATTGCTGTAGGTAGTAAGCTATAAAACTGTGTAATTATATGATTCAGTAGTCGGCACGTGTTCAAAGTCGTCTTTCAGTAACTACCAGGGCGTGCAGGGTGAAGTTCTAAAGGGCACTATTTATTGAAAAGTGAGTACCGGAGCACCAGCAGCTAAAAATTGCTATACCGAACAATTTCTGTGAGGATCCCGCGATGTTTGTTATAGTGGCGTTCCACTGTACTAGTTATAGAGATGTAAATCACCAACTTGGAAAAAAGAAACCAAAAAGGTCACAATTTAAAACAAAATACATGAAACTATCTCCACAACTCTGATTTATAAATAAAATGGCAAACTACAAGATACTTAACTTAACCCATGAGTCACTGTTTGGCTTGAAACTGCCCTTGCTTTTTTTACTCCCTGCAAATATACCTAAAACCTGGCCGAGTACTCTACGGTTTTATTGATTCATCAGTGAATAAACACAAAGAAATACAATGTTGTACAGGAGCTAATGGGTTAAAGGGTGCACAGATAATCAGGTGTGGAATTAGCCCAGGTTGGACAAAGCCTTCATTACATTACAACTGACGTCCAGGGTATGAACTTTGCTGCCATAGCAGAAAAATTACAACAACTTTTTTCATATTTTTACCTGATGGAGTAACTCCGTTTACATATTCCTTGTGTCCAGAATTACAAAGATGTTTGGTTTAGAATTTAGGTAAATATGTTCTTGGGCGACATGTTTACTGAAAATAAACCGCACATCAACGCTTTCGTCGTAAACATTTTAAGTACGAACTTCCCATGTGAATTTTCGATGTAAAGACTTACGTGCATGTATGCACGCCCCACATAGCAACTAGGTCTTCACACGGGAAATTCGTACTGAAAATGTTACAACGAAAGCGTGGATCTGAGAATGATTTTTAGTAAACGCATTGCCCTCGCACATATTTACTTTGTCTAAACCGAGCATCTTTTTTATTCTGGACACAAGGAATATATAACAAAATTTCCGCTTCCTCCATCAGGCAAAAATATGAAACGAAATTTATTGTAATTTTCTTCGCTATGGCAGCAGAATTCATACCCTGGACTCCGTCGCGTGTACACAACGGAGGAGTCCAACTTGAGCTAGGGTGGAATAAAAGGTCCCACTAGAAAAACACAAAACTGTAGCAACAGACTCCAAGCCCCTAGTGGTTAACATTTGAAGGGCAAGAAGTGTGTGAGTAGTTACCTTTTCCACATGCGCTCCACAAATTTACATTTGTTAACCCAAGTCATTCGGATGATGCGTCATTCGGATGATATGTGATGAGTGTTGTCACTAAGCATGTACACTTTGTTTTTGTGCAGGAGATGGACACTCTACGCCTTGAAGTTGAAGATCTGAAAAAGGAACTTACCAAGTACGATGACCAACTAGCGGCTGTAGACAAGGCTATCCAGGGATTCGAAGAACAAGTCAAAGAGATGGAGGGAAAAGCCAAGGAAACCAAGGTACATTATTAGCGGCTGGGAAGGAGTCTAAAACCTCATGTGAAAAGGTTCAGCCACGATCAGAATGAATTCAGATTATTTATTCCGAGAAAACAATATTCAATGATCTTGATTTCAATTCAAAAGTTGCGAGTCATGTTTTGAATTACGCCCAAAATCAGCATCCGGGACACGTTTTCATTCAGCCAATTGCAGCTTCGTGATGTCACACACTGAACTGACAAATTATAGCAACGGCGTACCCATGTGCATCGTGTCAATGCTTGTGCGCACCCATTCACAGCTTCACCAAATTAAAAACAAACTACTAAGGAAATTTTCCAAAAATGCATCTCAGGTCACATCTTTGGAAGTGACCTTTTTTTAATTGTTTTTATGTAAAATGACCGCATGCCAGAAAGGATAATTTCACAGGGAGTTTAGTGCCATTACTGTCTTTAAACCAAGTATGGTTTTCAACAATAATTTTGTCAGTTACTTTTGGGATAGCTGCAAATGATATACTCTAACTTTAAACTTATAATTCACTTACAGTACAATCTTTGACTGGGCACAATCATGGTTTTTTTTGGGGGGGGGGGGGTTAAGACAAAGGGCAAGTTCGTGCAAGAACTATTGTTGACCATTGGTTAACCATAGTTCGACTAAAGTTAGCTTGAACGGTGGTTGACTACGCAAGTCGACTATTTGGAACCAGCCTACTGGGGCTGGTTGCATCGCTGGTAACCAATAGCCGCGCGCATTCATAACGCACAGCAGGGAGCCAGGATCCAGAAGTTTTGCGATGATTTTGACCAGGGTTTGACTAGAGACGTTTGCACGTTTCTATTAGTGCGCAGACGTAAGGTACGTCACAAATCAACCACTGGTCGACTAATGGTCTTTGTCCGAACTTGGCCTATGGTGCTAAACTATCGTATCATCCTCCATGACCATTACCCTTTAGTGACATCAACACCTTTAACCACTAGCACCTGTATTTCATTGTATAACATTGTATTTATTCCCTGATGACACCATGAACCTGACAGTGCCGGGCTGTTCAGGACCGGGAGTAAACAGGAAGAGAGGTTCTGGGGCAGTGCAAGGACTAAGAGGTTACTTGTACATTGTTTTTCTTTTCTAGAATGCTGTTGCAGAGACCAAGAAAGAGCTCGAGCGCCAGAAGGAGTTGTTGAAGGAACGCAACCAGGACATCCAGGCCAAGATAGCCCAGCAGCACCAGCTGGCCAAGGAGGACCAAGACACGCAGGTGGAGATGAAAGAACTAGAACACCAGATGGCCAAGTACCAGCGCGACAGCAAGGATGCTGCCAATAAGGTAGGCGGGTCACCGGCCACTGTTACCCCTGATTGTCATGCCAATATCCATTTCTGGAAACTATTAGAATTAAACAGTTTTTCCTACGGGATTAAATAATCCACTCTATGCATTGAAACTTGCAGAGGTTACCACTGTAAAATCAAAGAAGAGTTCTTGTTTTGAAGTTAAAAATTCTGAACTGGACTACACCATGTTCTACTGAATTTTTGCAAGTGCCAGTTAAAGTTTTGGGTATTGCATTTCTTGAGCTGATACATCTCCACATACTTCATCCCCCCAAAAACACATTCAAATGCAAAAGTACATCCTGAAACGTATGCAGTATATTTTTAGACATATGTGAAGGCATTCTGGCAAAATGAGACAGAACTAGGCAGAGGTCAAAAATGAGGGTTTGTGGGTATTAGGAAAGAGAATAAAATTCTCTTTACAATACTGTTTGTTGCATTGCAATCAGACATTCCATTGACAAGTTATGGCTGTTTCAAGTTTGCATTTATCGACACGTCCAAAAAGTAAAATACTGAAAAAAAAGGCGACTAAAGTTTAAAGTTTTGTATTTGTGAAAGTGAAAGATGCCAATTGTTTTTCCTTAAAAACACTTTTGTTCCACAGTTGTTTTCTACTAGACTTTTAACTTTTGTAGTAGACATTCCAAAGATTACAAATATGAATAAATCTGAAAATCAAACTAAAGTCAACCCCTTTCAGTTTCTTGCATTTTTCTCCACTACAGCCTGTGCCAACTTCCATCTCATTTTGCCAAAAAGCCACACATATTTAGAATCACAAATTTGAAGGGAAAAAAAAACACCCAAAAATCAGAGTAAAAAATCAGCCCCAACTTATTTTTCAGTCACATCTCAATTTCAAGTTCTGTCAAGAAGTGTCTGGTTTTGACGTGACACATCACACGTGGATTTGAATCTGAATCGACCAATTCAGGAAACTTTGCTACGTTCATTGGCATATTTTTAAATCTTAATCTTAAGGTGGAGACCTTGATGGCCAAGTACGAGTGGATCGCGACTGAGAAGCAGTATTTTGGCCAGCCCAACACGGCCTACGACTTCAGCAACAGCGAGCCGAGGGAGGTGGCACGCCGCCTGCAGAAACTGCAGGAGACGAAAGAGAAACTGAGCCGCAACGTCAACATGAGGGCCATGAACATGCTGAGCAAGGCTGAGGAAAAGGTGGGTGGGTTGGGTGGGTTGTTAAAGGGAATGTACAACATTTGCTTTTGCTGCAATTTTCAGAAATAAATGGATTTGGAGGATTGTTATGTTATAGCAAATATTGTTAAAATGACTTGTTTCACGTTTTGGGCTCGTAGATGCTGGAAAAACCATGAAAACCAATCGTGTTCTTGTAGTCTGGTTCCCTGTCCCCAATTAAGATGAAACGGAGCAATTTATAGACTTTGGGAGATTGTAAGGTCAGAGAATCAGTCTAGCAGGCTCGTAGCCCTTCACAGGTGTGTACTCAATTGCAAAGAAAACGGAATAACTAATTATGAAAAATTAGGAGCACTTTTTGAAAAAAAGCCAGTTTTCTCCAACGCTGGTCGGCCGACCAGCGTTGGAAAAATCCCATTTTCCTTGAAAATGACAGCACACCAGGAGCCACGATTTTACAGGATGCTTTAGACTGTCATTCCCTAACAATACAGTAAGGTATTTCGTGATAATTTGATCATTTCGTTTTGTGATGTTTGCAAATGTTGTATCTTCCCTTTAAGGCTGCAACTATGTTTAATTCCCACAACATTTAAAGGCACGTAGGAAACATTTGCAAATACCAGGAAAGTACCTATCGATTTAATGAGAAAGTCCTTGCTCAAAGTGAAGATAGAACTGGTTCCTAAAACCCTGTGAAATTATTCTGCCTGAAATGGTATCGTTTGGGAGAAAACAATCACTGAATGTAGTTTAATAAGCTGGCGGCCACAGTTTTTTACATGCATTGGCAATGGAATCTAATCACGAGACCGAAAAAATTGTGCATACATTTCTCAAAATGTTCAGCATCTATTGATCTGAAACTTCAACAGGTTAGGTGTTATGCACTCTTCTTAAGATTTATAGCAACTCAAATGAAAAATGCACACACACATACTGGAATTTGTGTCCTTGTGGAGTCATTTTTTTGTTCTCGTGTGATAAAGTTTTCAAGTTTGAAGTGTAGTTTCAAAATGCTCCTATTTTAACCAGAATTATTTCCTGGGCTGAAATTCGGACTTAATATCCCTTACATAAAATACTTCAATTTGTGACTGATCAACACACCTTGGGAATTCCTCGTTTTTGAGTAAAATCCATATATCTATTTCGTGATAACCTTGTGGGGATGTATTCATCTATAGAAATTGCCCTGTGGAGACGTATACAATCTTTTGTTCCCTATTGTGTGCATGTCTCCACAGGGTACCGTGTACCAGATCACAAAAACAAATCCTTTGTACCTTCAATCCTCAAAAATTCTGAAACCCAAATTGAGGAAAATCAACACTTGGTTGCTTTCCCCACCAAGCGAAGCATCAAATGTCACAAAAATTATATTGTTCCATTCCTCCCCCCCCCAGTACAATGACTTGATGAAGAAGAAGCGCATTGTGGAGAACGACAAGAAAAAGATCATGGCCACCATCCAGGAGCTGGATGAGAAGAAGAACGAAGCTCTCAAGAAGGCCTGGGCACAGGTCAACAAGGTCAGTAAGTTGGAGCTAATAGTAAGGCCGAATTACTGAGCTTCTGCCAAAAAAGTCAGGAAAAAACAGGGAATTCGACTCAGAAGAAATAGGCCCGTTTAAGTCCTTTTTTTTTTATTATTTAATTTTTTTTTCTAAACTCTGGCAGAAGCTTCAACATGTCACTTAGTGGTCGGTCTGTCGGATGGTCTGTCTATTTGTCTGTCCCTGAAAATTGACCAAAAGTATCGTGTTCCATATGTGCCATCGGCGTCGCATTTTTCGGCATCGTATTTTTAGTGGTCGGTCTGTAGGATGTCTGTTTGTTTGTCCCCAAAAATTGACCAAAAGTATGGTGTTCCGTATGTGCCTTCAGCGTCATATTTTTCGGCGTTGTTTTTTTTTTTTAGTGGTCGGTCTGTTGGATGGTCTGTCTGTTTGTCTGTCCCCGAAAATTGACCAAAAGTATGATGTTCCATATGTGCCATCGGTGTCGCATTTTTCGGCATCGTATTTTTTGGCGTCATATTTTTTAGCTGTTGGATTGTCTGTCCGTTTGTCTGTCCCCGAAAATTGACCAAAAGTATGGTGTTCCATATGTGCCTTCAGCATCATATTTTTCAGCATTGTTTTTTTTTTAGTGGTCGGTCTGTTGGATGGTCTGTCTGTTTTGTCTGTCCCCGAAAATTGACCAAAAATATGATGTTCCATATGTGCCATCGGCGTCGCATTTTTAAGCTCTGGCAGGGGTCATTTTGATCGTTTTCATGCAAAACTTCTGGGGTGCGTTTTGGCGGTCATAACCAAGAATTGGTTCGATGCTTTCTCTTTGGTTAATTGTTTTGGGAATTTGAGTACTACATGATCATGCGTAATTCTAATCCAATTAAAATTGCCGAAGAAATTCACAGACAAGAAACCACCGAACCAATTCTTGGTTATGACCGCCAAAACGCACCCCTGGCAACACGGCCAGAGCTTATTGTGCACTCACACTTTTTGTTTTTCTTTTTTTGTCTCTGTTTTATAGAAGAGAGGATTGTTTTACAGTATTAAAATATTGAATGAATGCTTTGAAAGTAAAATTTGCTTTCTTCATCTTTGTCACCCCTATTTCAGGACTTTGGTTCGATCTTCTCAACCCTCTTGCCCGGCACTCAAGCCAAGTTGCAGCCTGTTGAGGGCCATTCCATTCTGGACGGGTTGGAAGTGAAGGTTGCCTTTGGTGACGTGTGGAAGGAGAGCTTGGCTGAATTAAGTGGCGGCCAAAGGTTCGTTTTTGATCCAAAATATTCCCAGGGTAAAAAAAAAATTTAAAAGTGGTTTTCATCCTTATTATTTTTGTATATTTCTTGAATTTATCAAGTTGCATGTGGGGTCATGGGATATGTATACGCCCTAAAAAAAATACACCCCTCCAAAAAAAAAAAAAACGAGTGTAAACCAAACATATAAAAACAGAAGATAAAAACCCACAAACAGGAGAGGCATTATTTACTCTAATGTTATATATCAAATAACTGAAATCTACTGAGGCAGTAACAACTTGAATTATTCATTCGCCAAGCTTTCCCTTTGAGGATTAATTGATCTTTATATTTTGCATATGCATCGAATGGTGGCCATGTTTTTTCTAAATCTTGTTTCTGCCGGGCTGTTGGTGACTTTGTATTTAACGTACGCCACTGATAAAATGTTTTCAAGATTAGAGACAAATTTGTCATGCTACTGAAAACCACACTTCTGATCATGACAGTAACAGAGATACATTTTTTGTGGCCAAAGTTTTTGTGAGCATTCATTTTTGCATTGTATACTATGATAAGGCCAAAAAAAAATAATATTCGGTCTCTGGTCAGACCAAAGTTCCGAAATTGACACGGCCACGCGGCTTTTTTTTTTTTTTTTTTTTGCTTTTTTTTTTTTTTTCTTCAAGCTTGGATTGTACAGACAAGGTAGGTACTATTTTGCTTTTTTGGTGTCCTCATGTACATTGGTGTCCTCCATAATTTGCCTTGGTGCAATTTCCCATTCCTTGGTTCTCTTTGGTAAAAAAAAAATTGAGGAGGTGTGGAAATAGAGGGCGCTGTTGGAGCTACTGCGGAACATTTCGGAGAAAAAAAAGATCGACGCGCATGATTAAAATCGACGCGCGCGCTGACCAGAGACTGACTTATTTTTTGGGGGGGACTAATGGCCATCCATTTTTTAATCTTGTTTCTCCCAGGTCCTTGGTGGCTTTGTCCCTCATCCTGTCCCTTCTGCTGTTCAAGCCGGCACCTCTGTACATCTTGGATGAGGTGGATGCAGCCTTGGATCTGTCCCACACCCAGAACATTGGCCAGATGTTACGCACTCACTTCAGGCACTCGCAGGTAAGCCGTCAAATCAGTCGGGAATCCCTTCCAGTATATCCAAATCCCAACAATAATTGTGCAAGTTTTTGAAGGTTTCAGGAATATTGTTGATCTCCCCAAACGTGGAGCAGCCCCTAACGTGGCGCACTTTGATTTTTCGGCTCTAGCGCCTTCCTAGAGCAAAATGGTTTCCATAAAATTTCACAGTAAGTGAAATTTCATCACGCTCTAAACGTTCCCGTTTCTAAATCGTGAGTCTATTTACCAGTTACAAGGTTAGCAGAGAAATTAATTTTGGCGTGATTTTCCTATTTTATTTCGAAGTGCACAGTGAACCCCTTGGAAAGCGCCCAAAATTAAGAAAATCATTTTCTAACAAACTTCTAGTTGGGTTTCTGAGTGGAGATAATAATGGTTTATTACATTTTCAACTTGAAAGAAATTCTTAAATGTTAACTTCAAATTTTTTTTAGATTTATTCAAGTGCGCCATGTTAGGGAAAACTCAGCTGATTCTTTTGCCCAGTTTCCGGACGCCACCGTTTTTTAATTTCGGACTAAATGTTATGTCACTGAAATTGTTCACCAAGACTTAACAGCAAGCGTTAAAGTAAAACTACCAGTATTTATCCAAATGAACATGAAGTTTGTCAACAAAGAAATTTGGCAACGCTGCATGAGGAAAGTCGGGGGGAAATCAAATTTCGACAGTCATCATGGTTTTGCAATTTTTATTCCGTGCACTTGAAGCAGGATCAATGGGCTCTGTGCGCCAACAAAGAGGGCGCCCTTTTACCTAGCCAAGGCATCCCATGGGCGCGACATTTAGCTGGTTGATGCGCATCGTTCCTTGTGTGTGGCGCACGTACACCAGGGGATTTGTACTATGTACACGCAGTGGCCGCGCTTCGCGGCAAATGAATTGCAGTCAGGCAAGATGGCGTCGGTCGGTCACCCCCAACTGTACTTTTTTGCCCGGTGAGGGGGTACTTGTGAACGGAGTGGAAAAAAATTGTACCCAGGAATGACGGTTGTTTTGTGCATTTTTCTCTTCTTGACAGTTCATCGTTGTGTCGCTCAAGGATGGCATGTTCAACAACGCCAACGTCCTCTTCAAGACCAAGTTTGTGGATGGTGTCTCCTGCGTGACCCGCTACGCCCAGAGTCCTTCCTCTTCCGCCGCAGCTGGCCGTTCCGGATCCAGCGGGAGTGTCTCCGCAGGGAGTGTTAGCAGGGCTAAGGGAACAGCCAAGAAGGGGGCCGGGGCCAAAAAGGCTAGGATAGAACCACTCATGGAACAAGGCCAGTGATTTGTTACAAGAGTTCTTTCAAATTCCACTTTAATTTTAATACCGGTAGTCTTCTTTTTACTTACCAGATCACAAGGTATTAACCCTGTACCTCACCTAAAGCTACAAAATACTACTAGTAAACTGTAGTATGAAATACTTCAGCATTTAAGTGTGCACAACAGTATTCTGTAGTATTCTGTTCTATATCCCAAAGTAATGGCTAGGACGTTAGGGTTAAAAAATAAAGAGATAATTACTAATGGGTGATATGACAATTGGACATTAAACATTTTCGCACGGAGCAGTTTTTGATCCAATCGGGAACAGTGAAAAGTGGCATCGGTACTTTTGACATCGCATATTCAAAATCAAACACGCTTAAATTTTGAAATTAATTGTGTAGTACATGTATCTCCCTCACTCAAGGTAAACTATCAAAACAGTATCACTTGAATTCATGGAGTAGTTGAGCCATAAGTAGACTGAATAATGTTTGCGATCCGGAACTAGGAAAACGACTGCTGGAACTTATTCCAGCAGTTTCGGGTCTATTTTCACCCTCATAATCACCCTTTTAATGCAGAATCTTACCAACAAGTTCTAAAAAAAAAAGGAATTCTAAAGCAAATAGATAGTTGGACACTGAACGTAAAAGCGCTTTGATCTTAGTTAAAAGCGCTATATAAGCACCCATTATTATCATTATTATTTGAATAAGCTTTGAAAACTATAAATAGCACTCTTGACATTGGGCAACACTTGTCATTGATTCTTGGTTGGAAAATACAAAATGTAACAAATGTACATACAACGTATTCCTCTCTTATACTTAGTCTGATCATTGCTTTTTTTGAATCATGATTTTGTAAATGTTTAAAAATTACTTAATTGTCTCTTTTTCTTTGTAGACAACAAATGCAATCTTAGAGATAGTTTCTCGTTTGGTTTATTGGAACGTAAATGCTTAATGTAAATATATGAGGTAATTACTTACGTAGATCAGATTTTTTTCCTGAAAACATTTAAATATTTTAGTCACATAACTGTTGATATTCTGTGTGCATAAGAGGTTAAGATTTTATTGAGGAAAAGTTTGCAGTGCAAAGTAAGTAAACAGGCTTGGGACTTGGAATATTTATCTTAAAACCTGCATACAAAATGTAAAAGATACATCAACCATTTCAAACATAAACTGAAGTTACCAACTTAGCCCTTTCCAAATTCATAGCACATGTACATACTTAATTTAATATTGCACCTTTTAATGTTATTTTGGTAGTGTGTAGTAGCAGAAGGGTAGAAAAGGACAAAGTATTAAATACACACTTACAACACATACGTGTGTGCGCCTCAGAGTTCTTCTGTTGATGACCACTCAGATTTGACTGGTTCACGTGCGCTGTTCATCAGTAGGAACGAGTGAAGTGCGAGCACATCCAGATACTGCGGAATACCAGGGAAATGTCCCTTACTGACAGCATTGTTTTTCATTTTTTCGCCACCGATGAGGAATTTGCACGCCTAGTCCATGGGTCCTGCTGCTATGAATGATGAGGAACTTGCACGCCTAGTCCATGGGTCCTGCTGCTACGATGAGGAATTTGCGCGCCTAGGCCATGGGTCCTGCGCATAGTCCATGGGTCCTGCTGCAACGATGAGGAACTTGCGCGCCTAGGCCATGGGTCCTGCTGCTACGATGAGGAATTTGTGCGCCTAGGCCATGGGTCCTGCGCATAGTCCATGGGTCCTGCTGCAACGATGAGGAACTTGCGCGCCTAGTCCATGGGTCCTGCTGCTACGATGGGGAATTGTCACGCCTAGGCCATGGGTCCTGCTGCTACCTGTAGTAGCGTTGTACCCAGCAGCCTCTGAATGATGTTGCTCGGACGTCAATTTCACCAAGCTCCAACTAAATGGAAGCAAAAGAAAGAATGACGTACATTATCAAACAGTGTGAATTTTGCTCAATTTCTTCTTCTTACAAGTGCAGACTTCGTGGCTGAAGATAATCCACACTGCCAGAAACAAAGGGGCAAACCCCTTCTCTTAGCGATAAGTGTACTTGGTTCTTTAACGTGCATTATACATTATACCACACACGGGACCTACGGCATCACGTCCCATCGGAAGGACGAAGCAACAATGGTTAAGTGCCTTGCTTAAGGGCACAAGTGTCTGCTCGGGCTTGAACCCACGCCACTGTTGCCTCTGAATTCTGAAACACCAGAGCATGAGTCCTGTGTTCTGAACCGCTAGGCCATGAACATTTTTGTATGCTTTTCTCAATTTATCTTACAGTGGCTAGTCTTCAACATTAGATTTTTTTCTTCCTAATAAATATTCAATTGTACGTTTTATTTAAACAAGATATTGTTTTAATTTTCCACATTTTTGACCCACTGAAAATACGCTTAATTTTAGGATTGCTTTTCAACCCATAATTCACCTAAATTTATCGAACTTGCAATTAAATGTTACATAACATGGGCTGATTTGCTATTCAATGTCTAGAAAATAGCAATTTAAAAACAACATCTATTTAGTTTTTGGGAGAACCTCGAAAATAGCACCAAGACTGAGAGAGCGACGTTAAGCCGCCCAACTCAAATTCAAAAGGCGTCTTTGGAACACCCCCAAAACTAAGCTACAATTTAGCCAAAATAACAAAAATTTAACCAAAATATATCGAGTGTTTCTCAAGTATAAAGTACGCATGTGCATAATGTACATGTGCATTATGTACATGTGCATAATGTACATGTGCATAATGTACATAGTAGTACATGTGCATAATCTGCAATATACCCAGGTATGCGTGCACAATGTACCGGTACATGTACAAAATGTACGTATACAAAATATACATGTACAAAATGTATGTGTCCAACGTGAAAGCACTGTGCTGGCTATTGTTAAGATAATTCTATCACAGGGCAGTAATTCTATCACAGGGCAGTTGCTTTCTACAATACATTGTAACGTGCACACTGCACAATGGTTTCTCAACATGTGCATAATGTACATGTACATGTGCATAATGTACATGTACATGTGCATAATCTGCATAATGTACATGTGCATAATCTGCAATATGTGTGCACAATGATGCTTGTACAAAATGAACATGTACATGTCCGATGCGAAAGCACTGTGCTAGCTATTGTTAAGATACTTCTGTCACAGGGCAAAGTACAAGTTTACAGTCATTTGTTTACCTATAATGCAGCCAATAAATATAATAGCTTGTTGAAATCACAAAGAAACGGCCTTCAAACAAATTGTTCACCTACACGTACGTGATAAGTCTATTTATGGCAACAGAAAATTTCCCATTTGTGGGTTTTTTAATTTTATTTTAGGCTTTCACAACAGGTACGATCCACTGAACACAACAAGGAAACACAACCCATAGGAAATACACATACTGTCTGGATCAGGTTTCAGTACTTTCACAGTGGTGTACTTTTTCACCAGACGGATCAATAAACAGTTCAGTGACACAGGCATTTATTAAACGTCTGGACGTGTTCGACAATGACTGCACAGGCCAGAACTATGTACATATGCAACATCTTGCAAACTATCAGCAAAATGATAGACTGTTGACCAAAACGAGCTACGTGTAGAATGGAACCCATTTCTACATTATTACTGTCTGCAACTGATGAAGTACTGCAGGATGAATTTCTCAGCATCTGTCAACTGTGTAGGCTTTTGTGATCAGGCGACCCAACCAATGCCACCACTTTTTGGTTGCTGTGAACTTGTATCGTTTTGGAGAAATGCGGCGGAAAAGTTGCCACCATATGTACATGTATGTCAAATCTAAGAACTGATGTGTGGACGATTTATGTATTCTTCCTCTGCTACTTTGATGTGTGTTTCGCGTTGACAAGTTTAGCTTCGTGGTGAATTAAATAATGTTTTTTCTCCACAGACATGCTTTACAAGCACTGATTTCGGAAACTGCGAGGGGATATATTTACAAGCTTGAAGCTTGAGAGACTTGATTGACCCAAAGTGCAAAATGCCTTTCTTTGTGATGCGTTGACTCACAAAGTCTACAAGGAGTTAATGCATGTTTTGAACCAAAAAAACTAAATACAGGACAATCACATGTACATACATACATGAACATTGTGTGTACACTTTAAAGTTTAAGTGCCTATGATATGCAAGAACTACTGCACTGCAATTGTTGTTACATGTAAGCAGCGATGATTTCCTCTCACGTAGTCCCAGATGATGTTCCCTTACATTTAGCCACCAAGATCGTCTTCAGCATTATTGCCGCGCTGGGCATCGCGGGCAACGGCCTGGTCATCTACGTATTGGCCTCTGCGGTCGCCTCCCGCAGGGGCAATATCAACATCCTCCTGATCAACCAGTCCCTGATTGACCTGATTACTTCGATTCTGCTGGTGCTGTGTTTTCTCACCCCGGGACAGAGGCCCCCATCGCCTACTCCGGCCGCGGCAGCATTCATCTGCTACATCTGGAACTCCAAGTACCTCTTCTGGGCAACCACCATGGCCTCCATGGTAAATCTGCTCTTGCTGACGTTTGAGCGTTACTATGCCACCCTCTACCCCTTACAGTACCGCAACAGGTCCTTCCTAAAATGGCCCAGGTCCTTGGCATTGGCTACGCTGCCCTGGATATTGGGCTACCTGCTGGAAATCTACTCGGCACTCGGGCACACAGTAGACAAACATAACCAGTGTAAGTTGAAGCACTTCCCAACCTGGTCTGTTAAGATCATATACTCGGTGGCCGTGCTGGTCTTTGATTACCTAGTGCCCCTGGGCCTGATGGTGTTTGCCTACGTCAGAATTTACCGGGCGCTGCGGGGGAATGCGACAGCGTCTGGCGACTCTCCAAACGAGCGGACGCCGATCGTCCAGCCAGCCAACCAGCATGGAGAGTCAGCGTCCCGCAGCCAGGCGCGCCGGAACGTCATCAAAACCCTGGTCACCGTCTGTGGGGTCTTCAGCCTGCTCTGGCTGCCAAACCAATTTGCCTACTTTTACTACAACATCAGTGATGAAGTCCATTTGAATATGGACCTGTACGGAGCCAGCATCATCTTTGCGTTCCTGAACATGTGCGTCAACCCCTTCATCTACACGTTCCAGTATCATCAGTTCCGGGAGGGGTTGGGGCGGGCTATACCCTGCCTGGCGAGGTTTAGGATAATGAGAATACCAGAAACTAGGAACAATCTGGCACCTGCTTAACTGTGATTTGAATGGATTTCCACATATACAAACACCCTAAATGGTAGTTCAAAGTTCAAAGCATTTGTGTTAAAAAAAAACCCTATTGCCGCTGTTCATGCTAATCTAGTGGCTTTTTGGCACATTACATTGGGCAATGGGGGAGTGTGACCTAGTGGTTAGGGTCTGTGACTCATGATCAGAGGGTCAGGGGTCCGAATCCAGCTGCTGGCCATATGTTGTGTCCTTTGGCAAGCCACTTCACCCCCACTTGCCTCTCTCCACCCAGGAGTATAAATGGGTACCGGCATTAACTGGGGATTAACCTGCGATGGACTAGCATCCCATCCAGGGGGAATAGAAATATTCTTGGTTGTTTCATGCTACTGAAACCGGAGATAAACGCCAGCCTGATGGGCCGCTTTGGCTCGTGACAGACCGTACTTTTACTTTAATTCAAAATCGTCTCACTGGCACTAGTAAGTAAGTTAGAATTTTCCCTAAACATATATGTTCAAGCAAAGTAAAACTTTGGGATGCCTAACGTGCTACTGCATTTAACTCAAAATCAAAAAGTGAATTCATGTCAGTACTTCTTCGTTATCAGTCCGAGGCTCTGGAAATTCTAGTGCATTGCTACGTGTACATATGTAGGTACATTAACTAATTTGTAATTGAAAAACATTGGTCAATAACATAACAAAATGACAAAAAAATTACAGCATTCTTGAACTGATCAACAACAAAAAACAGCTAAAAAAACCCAAGAAATCAAGCAAACTAACAAAATATCAAAATGTCTGAATCACCTCGAAAGTGAAAGCAACGTCAAAAGGAAATACAAGTGTTTAAACTGCAGGGAAACTGGACTAAACAACTTCATTAACCAGGAAACTATGCATTATCATTTCCTAAATGATAGCGTGTACAGAATTATGAAAGTAAATAAACTCGTGCCGAAACTACTTGTTACTGTTTCTAAGGTCCATGCACGCATGTGTACTAATTTGAGATTGTTTGACTTAAAAGGTGCATTCCCTATGCTGTTTCGCGTTTCACACTGCAAAATCACTTCTTCATTTTAAATTGCTAGTTTAAAGGGAATATACATCATTTGCTTTTGCTGTAATTTTCAGAAATGGATGGAATTGGGGGGTTGGAAATATATAGCAAATATAGTTACACTGACTTTTTTTTAGGTTTTGGGTTCGAAAATGCTATAAAAACCAAGAAAAACAATCATTTTCCTGTAGTCTGGCTCCCTGACTCCATTTAAGAAGAAACAGAGCAGTTTACATACATTGGGGAATTGTAAGGTCAGAAAACCAGTCTAGCTGGCTTGTACCCGTTCATAGGTGTGTAATCGATTGCAAACAAGTGCAATGGTCAACTGGGGCCAGTATTTGAAAAAAACCAATTGATACAAAAATACCACTTTTCTTGAAAATGACAGTATACCAGGTGCCATGATTTTACAGGATGCTTTACACTGTCATTCACTAACAGTCCAGCAAGGTATTTCAAAATGATTTGGTAGTTTTATTTGTTGATGTTTGCAAATGTTGTATTTTCCCTTTAAAGGTAGAGTGTTAATTTGCAGCTATCCAAAATGTAAATGACCAAATTATTGTTGAAAAGCATACTTGGTTTAAGTAAAAATAGTAATGGCACTAAAACTTCCTGTGAAATTATTCTTTTTGGCAAGCTGTCATTTTGATGAAAACAAAAGATGCGTCAAGTGACACATTGTTGTAAATTTCCGTTAGTACCAGGTAGTTGGTTTGTAGTTTAGTGAATCCGTGAATGGGTGCGCGCAAGCGATGAAACACGCACGCGCGCTTCAGTGCGTGACATAGCGTAGCTGCAATTGGCTGAATAAGAACGTGTCCCGGACGCTGATTTCGGGCGCAATTCAAAACATTGACAATTTTGATTGGCAAGCGAGATCCTAAAATAGTGTTTTCTTGGAATATACAGCATTCACTGAGCTAAAACTTCATCAGGTTGTCAAGGCCAAAAAAAAAAAAAGTCTCCGGTTTCTGGTATGCGCGCGCGTCACCGTAGCCATGCGCGTCGGCAAAATGAAAAAGTTTTTTTCAATGAAAGATGATGTCTCAAAACCGCCAAACTCACTGGTTTGACTGGAATCCTGCTGCACAATTTTAACATGTTTTTAGATGGGGTTATGATCGAGAATAAGCTTTATGTGGCCTCTCTGGTCTCCCATAATATTTGCACTAAGTTTAGTCGGGCACCATTTGCAGTCATCAGCCGACATTTGAAGCAAAAAAAACAGGTGGAAAAAAAAAAAGCTGCGTCATCGCACCACTTTTTGGGCAAGCTCCATACCAGAAACTGGAGACTTTTTTTTGTGGCCTAAGCACCCTTCTGTAGATTTTGAACATTTTTGTTGCTTCAAACGAAACAAATGCACAATGACAAATAATTTACATGTATGTATTCTACCTTTAATAATAATAATAATACCAGAGTATTATAGAGCACGTATCTACCAATTAGGTACTCAAGGCGCTGGAAATTATGTCTTTTACAGGGAAATGAAGTTTATGAGAAATACGAGACCCATTATGTAGCACCTTATAAGGGTTTACAAGGTGTTGCGGCACATATTATAGCCACTGCCAGAAACACCGGGGCTAACCCCTTCTCTTAGCGATAAGTGTTACTGGGTTCTTTAACGTGCATTACACAACACAGGGGACCTACAGCTTTACATCCCATCCGAAGGACGAAGCAGTAATGGTAAAGTGCCTTGCTCAAGAGCACAAGCACTATGTTTTCAGTCAGGATTCGAACCCATATACCACGGCACACGAGTCAAACACCATAACCATTGGACCACAGCACCCCCACAATAAGTTAACAGCTGCATATTTTTTCCCCAATGTTTTGAAGTGGGGGGTTGACATTAGGCCAAAAAACATAATAGTTCTGCTTCCGAATACATGGCTTCCAAAAATAGGTTAGGTAGGTAGGGATTTTTTTTTTATGCCAATTTTTTTTGTGTACAGTCATATGGAGGCGTCTGCGCGTTGTCAAGGGTAAAAGGTAGAAATTGATGGTTTTGGGCGTTTTCTTTCTCATTTTTCCCATAAAAAAAATTAGGGTAGGGGCTGTCAGAATAGGGTAGGTGGGGAAACCAGAAGCAGAACTATTATTTTTTTTGGCCTGAGAAATATGAGACCCATTAATCAGCACCTTATAAGGGTAAAACTTACAAGGTGCTGCGGCACATATTACAGCCACTGCCAGAAACACCAGGGTAAACCCCTTCTCTTAGCGACAAGATGCACAAAATCGGTTACTCACGTTACATTTTCGTAACGTGAGTAACCGGTTTTCTGCGTCTCGCTTATCATACATAACACATGTCATCTTTGGTGCTTAGGTAGGCCTAGGTCTACTCTATCTACCATGGGGATAACAGTTATTAAACCTTTTCAGTAAGGTAATTACAGCCCAAGGAAACTCAAAAGTACATCAAAAATGTAACGTGAGTAACTGTGGAATTGCCCATAACCATTGGATCACAGCACACCCCCACAATAAATTAACACTTGCATATTTTTTCCCCAATGTTTTGAAGTGAGGGAGTTTACATAATTGTCTATTTGAATTTATGTTCTGATCCTTGCTCAATTTCCCCATGGTAGGCTACCTCTGAATGACATGGCTACGGCTAGAAATAACACACGGGTCTATGGGAAGTGGCTGCAGCCGCTTTCCATAGGCGCATGTGTAATTTTAAGTCATAGCCATGTAATTCGGTCATAGCCGTATTACCAACCTCATCGTGAGCGTACAGCTCTTGGTAGCAGTCTGGTGCTATGCACTTGCGGGCACAGCGTGTCATATCCAAGCCTTGCATTTGACTGCAGTCAGGGTTCTGTTCACATTGCCTGATACTAATCTTGAACTGTCGTTCCTGGGTAAAAACATCATGCAGAATATACATGTAGGTAGAATGTTAGCTCTACTGAGCTCTACACGCGCGTGTGTGACGTCACTATTGAAGAAAAACAAGTCGCGCTTAATCAACGACTGTTGCAAGTACTGATATGTGTCCCGCGCCAAAAACCCACACTGTCAGACGGCGCGGGGCACATATGACTACATGAAACAGTCATTGATTAAGCGCGACTTGTTTTTCTTCAATAGTGACGTCACACACGCGCGCGATGAATTATGCATCAGTCATGTCAGTGAAATGGACTGTACAACTCGGCAGACACATTTAATTGTGAGCGGTAAGTTCAGACTATTTTGTTCTTTTTTCAAAATTACCGGTTGTTTGGAACAATTTAAGGGGTCTAGTTATGGAATGTCATGAATGTGTGGATCTATCCAGGGTTACTGTCTTTCTCATTTGTATTCTCTTTACCAGTTTTTTGGGGCCTTTTGTCCTCGCGAGGGTATGCACAAAATGCATATCATGTATGTCACCAAAGAATGCCAAATCAGTGGAGTGTTAGTACAGAGGGTACCATAGTTCAACGATCCACTCAGTAGAAATAGTAGAATGTAGTATCCTGACGCCACCTTTTTTTCAGCATAGTCAGATAGCCGGTATAGTAACTATGCTGGTAGAAAAAAAAAATGAATTTGGGACTTGGAGTTGGATTGGGAAATATTTTTTTTTATGAAAATAACTGTTCAAAAAGTTTACTCATATGAATTAAAGCAATGGCGATTCTAGCCCCATAAAATGTGGCCAATTTACTGGACTACCTCCGTAAATAAAGGCCACACTTCCACCATGTACAAAAACATGTCGAACTTTGTCAAATTTTGATTTTCACATTTAGGCTTGGTTTGTAGTTTATTTTTGCTTTAGAAGCATACTCACCCTCTATATAGGCTAATCAGAAAGTGCTGCCTTTTTCAGATGTCTAATTTGCGTGAAATTTCATGTTGAAATTTTGATACGCAAACGTGTGCAAATGAATCTGGAAATTTCACGAAAAACAGACATCTGAAAAAGGCAGCACTAGCTTTCTGATTAGCCTAAGAGGGCGAGTATGCTTCTAAAGCAAAAAAACTACAATAACAAACCAAGCCTAAATGTGAAAATCAAAATTTGACAAAGTTCAACATGTTTTTGTACATGGTGGAAGTGTGGCCTTTATTTACGGAGTTAGTCCAGTAAATTGGCCACATTTATGGGGCTAGCCCCATAAATGTGGCCTATTTACTGGACTGCCTCCGTAAACATAGGCCACACATCCACATGTACAAAAAACGTGTCGACTTTGCCAAATTTTGATTTTCACATTTAGGCTTACTTTGTAGATTTTTTTTGCTTTAGAAGCATTCTCACCCTCTATATAGGCTAATCAGAAAGTGCTGCCTTTTTCAGATGTTTAATTTTTGTGAAATTTCATGTTGAAATTTTGATACGCAAACGTGTGCAAATGTATCTGGAAATTTCACGAAAAATGGACATCTGAAAAAGGCAGCACTTTCTGATTAGCCTATATAGAGGGTGAGAATGCTTCTAAAGCAAAAAAAATCTACAAAGTAAGCCTAAATGTGAAAATCAAAATTTGGCAAAGTCGACACGTTTTTTGTACATGTGGTCGTGTGGCCTATGTTTACGGAGGCAGTCCAGTAAACAGGCCACATTTATGGGGCTATTATGGGGCTAGCCTATGGCGATTCAGGTTGCTGTAATTCTGATGTCAATTTTGGGAAAGAATGTACCGGTATCTAGACACCACTTCTTTGCTTGTGGTACTATCTTTCCAACACTAATAATATTAAGGACCAAAAAGAAAGAAGGGCCAGTGACTACACAATCACCCTCCCTCCATCATTAGATTAACCCCGCCCCCAGTATATCTACGAGCAACACCCGATGATTCGGCACATTGCGAAGTGGACTTCTTACGTTTTTCGGCTTTTTCTTGAAGGGGTATCTCGCAAATACGTATGGGACTCTCTGCCCCTCCACGCACACGATGAAACATTCACCGAAGAGGAGTAAAAACAGGATTAAAACTACGATTTTGTACCGACTTTCGCTGGAGCAGAATCCCATTGCATCTCGCTCGTGGTTCGGTTATAAAGATGAATTGCGCCCTCTGTTGGCGTAATCACTGTATTTTTCGCACTAAAAGTTTTACCTCTGTTCTGGGCCTGTTCGGGCTATATTATTTCAAGTAGTTGACAATTTCTCTTGACATTCAACAGATTTGTGTTATTATATCGTGTCAAATCACCAGATGTTATTTCAGTTCGATACATGAGGTAATTTTTGAGTTATCGTCTGGAAAACGAATATGTTGTTTTGATACTTTCAATTGACTTTTGTTTGGACTAGTGTATTTTTCGCACTGAACACACTGGGTTGTTCGGGCTATATTATCTTGACATTCAACAGATTTGTGTTATTCTATCATGGCAAACCACCAGATGTAATTTCAGTTCGATACATGAGTTATTTCTGGAGTTATCGTCTGGCAAACGAATATGTTGTTTTTGTTACATGAAATAGAGGTACTGATGACGACTCAAACATATACCCCTAGAACTATGGGTATTACTTGTAATATACCCATAGTTCTAGGGGTATTAAACATACGCATGCAAGGTTCACCCCTTATCTGAAAAATTTCAAAAATGTCTGATTTTGCCCAATTTCGATCAAAATGCAAGGTAAACTCCTTACCAATAAAAAAATTTCATAATCGTGTGATTTTGCCCAATTTCGCTCAAAATGCAAGGTTAACCCCTTACAAATTGAAAATTTTCAAAAACAACTGATTTTGCTAAATTTTCCTAAAAATGCAAGGTTAACCCCTCACAAATTGAAATTTTGCATTAACGTCTGATTTTGCCCAATTTTGCTCAAAATGCAAGGTTAACCCCTTACAAATTGAACATTTTTAAAAACGTCTGATTTTGCCCAATTTCGTTCAAAATGCAAGGTTAACCCCTTACAATCTGAACATTTTTAGAAACAACTGATTTTGCTAAATTTTCCTAAAAATGCAAGGTTAACCCCTTACAAATTGAAATTTTGCATTAAAGTCTGATTTTGCCCAATTTCGTTCAAAATGCAAGGTTAACCCCTTACAATACGATATTTTGCATAAACGTCTGATTTTGTCAATTTTTTTGTTCAAAATGCAAGGTTAACCCCATACAATCCGAATTTTTTTTCATAAACGTCTGATTTATTTATTGAAAATCAGTTGTTTCTGAAAATTTTCAGATGGTAAGGGGGTTAACCTTGCATTTTCAGCAAAATTTGGCAAAATCAGATGTTTATGAAAGTTTTCGGATTGTAAGGGGTTAATCTTGCATTTTGAGCGAAATTGGTCAAAAATAGACGTTTATGCAAAATATCGTATTGTAAGGGGTTAACCTTGCATTTTTAACGAAATTGGGCAAAATCAGACGTTTTCGAAAAATTTCGGATTGTAAGGGGTTAACCTTGCATTTTGAGCGAAATTTGGCAAAATCAGACGTTTATGAAAATTTTCAATTTATAAGGGGTTAACCTTGCATTTTTAGCGAAATTGGACAAAATCAGACGTTTATATAAATTTTCGATTTGTAAGGGGTTAACCTTGCATTTTTAGCAAAATTGGGCAAAATCAGACGTTTTCGAAAATTTCGGATTGTAAGGGGTTAACCTTGCGTTTTGAGCGAAATTAGACAAAATCAGACGTTTCAGAAAAATTTCGCATTGTAAGGGGTTAACCTTGCATTTTGAACGAAATTGGGCAAAATCAGACTTTAATGCAAAATTTCAATTTGTAAGGGGTTAACCTTGCATTTTTAGGAAAATTTAGCAAAATCAGTTGTTTCTAAAAATTTTCAGATTGTAAGGGGTTAACCTTGCATTTTGAATGAAATTGGACAAAATCAGACGGTTATGAATAATTTCGTATTGTAAGGGGTTAACCTTGCATTTTGAGCGAAATTGGGCAAAATCAGACGTTTATATAAATTTTCAATTTGGAAGGGGTTAACCTTGCATTTTTAACGAAATTGGGCAAAATCAGACGTTTTCGAAAAATTTCGGATTGTAAAAGGTTAACCTTGCATTTTGAGCGAAATTGGACAAAATCAGACGCTTATGAAAAATTTCGTATTGTAAGGGGTTAACCTTGCATTTTGAACGAAATTGGGCAAAATCAGACGTTTATGCAAAATATCGTATTGTAAGGGGTTAACCTTGCATTTTTAGGAAAATTTAGCAAAATCAGTTGTTTCTAAAAAATTTCAGATTGTAAGGGGTTAACCTTGCATTTTGAACGAAATTGGGCAAAATCAGACGTTTATGCAAAATATCGTATTGTAAGGGGTTAACCTTGCATTTTTAGGAAAATGTAGCAAAATCAGTTGTTTCTGAAATTTTTTAGATTGTAAGGGGTTAACCTTGCATTTTGAACGAAATTGGGCAAAATTAGACGTTTATGTTAATTTTCAATTTGTAAGGGGTTAACCTTGCATTTTGAGCGAAATTGGGCAAAATCAGACGTTTATGAAAATTTTCAATTTGTAAGGGGTTAACCTTACATTTTGAGCGAAATTGGGCAAAATTAGACGTTTATGTTAATTTTCAATTTGTAAGGGGTTAACCTTGCATTTTGAGCGAAATTGGGCAAAATCAGACGTTTATATAAATTTTCAATTTGTAAGGGGCAAAATCAGACGTTTATGAGAAAAATTCGGATTGTAAGGGGTTAACCTTGCATTTTTAGGAAAATTTAGCAAAATCAGTTGTTTCTAAAAAATTTCAGATTGTAAGGGGTTCATCTTGCATTTTGAACGAAATTGGGCAAAATCAGACGTTTTTTTAATTTTTCAATTCGTAAGGGGTTAACCTTGCATTTTGAGCAAAATTGGGCAAAATCAGACGTTAATGCAACATTTCAATTTGTAAGGGGTTAACCTTGCATTTTCAGCAAAATTTGGCAAAATCAGACGTTTATGCAAAATATCGTATTGTAAGGGGTTAACCTTGCATTTTGAGCGAAATTGGGCAAAATCAGACGTTTATGAAAATTTTCAATTTATAAGGGGTTAACCTTGCATTTTGAGCGAAATTGGGCAAAATCAGATGTTTACGAAAAATTTCGGATTGTAAGGCGTTAACCTTGTATTTTAAGCGAAATTGGACAAAATCAGACGTTTATGAAAGGTTAACCCCTTACAATCTGAATTTTTGCATTAACGTCTGATTTTGCCCAATTTCGTTCAAAATGCAAGAATAACCCCTTACAATGCAAAAATTTTCATAAACATCTGATTTTGCCCAATTTTGCTCAAAATGCAAGGTTAACCCCTTACAAATTGAAAAATTTAAAACACGTCGGATTTTGCCTAATTTCGCTCAAAATGCAAGGTTAACCCCTTACAAATTGAAATTTTGCATTAACGACTGATATTGCCCAATTTCGTTCAAAATGCAAGGTTAACCCCTTACAAAATGAAAAATTTAAAACACGTCTGATTTTGCCTAATTTTGCTCAAAATGCAAGGTTAACCCCTTACAAATTGAAATTTTGCATTAACGTCTGATATTGCCCAATTTCGTTCAAAATGCAAGGTTAACCCCTTACAATACGATATTTTGCATAAACGTCTGATTTTGCCCAATTTCATACAAAATGCAAGGTTAACCCCTTACAATACAAAATTTTTCATAAACGTCTGATTTTGTCCAATTTCGCTCAAAATGCAAGGTTAACCCCTTACTATCTGAAACTTTACAGATAATAACGGGTATGTATTCCATGGTCCCTTAGATACGTTTTCTGCAAGTTTGAAACATTTCATTTTTTTGGCCAAAATTGGAACAAATGCAATGGGTTAGCCTTACATTGTTAGTTAAATTTGGTCTAAATGACACTTGGCACATATTTCAACTTTATATAATTTTCCTTTTACATGTATTTAGTGGAACATAATTAAGGTGTGGTCGCACAGAAAACTTTCACTGTTCTATAACAAAACGTGCGAAAAGAAGAAAGACAGAATGTCAGAGCTTGGAAGAGAAAAACTCAAACTCAATCATGGTCAATGATTATTCAAATCATTACAATAAATATACGTTTAAACAAATACGAACTGCTAGCTAGCAAAACTGATACAAATGTTGATTACATGTAAAGCACCAAGCAATAACTAAAGTTGGAAAATACACCAAACTATTTTTTATGGCAAAATACTTTCAGATTGTTTGTATTTTTTTTTATGTGCACCCATAATCTCTCAGTGAACAATTTTTTTTTTCAAGAGAGTTTAATAAGACACCAAATATTAAAATGTAAAAACGATTTTTTGAAAAACAGGGGCAGTACATATTTTTAAAAGAAACGACCATACAAGCTGCCATATCTTTTGCAAGATCTGCGCACTTTTTTTTGTAAAATTGTGTAAAATGTCAATAATAAACTGTGAATACTCACCAGGCGAACAGCTCTAAATGCCACTATAAGCATAAACATCCACAAAATATAACTAGATTTATAGTTTTCAGAGAAGTATCATCTGAACATTACAGAAACAGACTAATACATGTACACAAAAGCAACGTAAATAAGTTACTTAAATAGAAAGATAAATGTTCCAATAAGACAGTAGCATTTAAGCAAGCCTCAAAATTGTTATGCAAGATAAAACAGCATTTTACCATGTACTTTAAATATCTCACTCTATGTTTTTCTATAATTCTACTTCTGCAGAATTTCTTCTGCATTTGTTCCTTTTTTAAAACACACCAACTCTAAAAAATATTTCCACAAATCTAGCCGAAGGATCATAAAATAAAACTGTCACGACAGCTACAAGATTTCAGATGTTATTATTGGAAGACTAAAGTTAATTCGGTTATGCCATTTGTAAGTGTGAGTTATTTATGATATAACACGAGAAGAAAGCCCAACTATTGTGAAAGACTGATCAACAACGGATCTACATGTACATTTTGAGCTCCATTTATATGTTCTGTAAATTATACAATTCGGGCGATTCACAATGCAGTGCGCCACCAAGAGTTTGCCACCAAGAGTTCATTTTTCCCAGTGCATTGTGGGAGATGCTCGACAAATTCGCAGCGCTGGACATTTGAAATTGTTCGTTTTTCCAGTCAGTAGTTTCGTAAAAGTATGCTTCGAGTATCTGTTTGCTCTTTTTTCTTTTTATCAATGTGGTTGTTTTTTTTGAGAGGCGGCAGAACGCTATGCCCCAATCTATAACAAATTAGTTCAAGTTGTCTACTGACACTCATTCAAATGGGCCATGTTTTGTCGACCGTAAACTAGAAAAATGGACTCTCCATGGCAAACTCTTGGTGGCGCACTGCATTGTGAATCGCCCGAATTGAGTCATTGTGGGATATTTTTTTTCCATTTCTTGTAGTTACACTTGAAGTTTTAAAAACGGTTACAAAAATAACTTGCATATTTCCTTAATGAATGCCAATTTCAAAAGAGTCCTCTTTTTTTTTTTTTTTAATAAAAAACGTATTTCTGTTTTACATATTTTAGTTTTAGCACCATATTTAATGTATAAAAAAGGACAGAATGCTTTATGTTGGAAGTATCCTGTACATCTACACATGCCGGAAAGCTTAATTTCTTATAAAGAGTTAAGACATTTGTAATAAAAGGTTTTGGGTTTGAACCCTACCTGAGCAAGCTTGTCGAGTTTTTCGCACAAGTTCCCCAACAGCACAGGGTTTGCAGTGCTTATACAGGGTGAGTAAAAAAAAAACGAAACCTAAATGTTGGGACGATTGTTTTAGTGAAGTTCTGCATATAGCACTTTCAAAATCTAGGATATGAAAGACCAATTCATAAGCTTTCTTTTAGTACAAGAATCATTCAAATCACTCATGTACTTTTCAGGTTACGGAATTTTAAACACAACCACCGTTTTGAGGTTCTGTCCATGGATCACAAAAGAATTTCAGTGTTCTTTCAGCAAAACAAAAACAAATCACATAGGGATGTGTGGTTTTTTTTTCGTTTTGATGAAATAACGCACACCTATTTTGTGATCCGTGGACAGAACTTTAAAACGGTGGTTGTGTTTAAAATTCCGTAAATTGGAAAGTACATGAGTGATTTGAATGATTCTTGTACTAAAAGAAAGCTTATGAATTGGGCTTTCATGTCCTAGATTTTTGAAAGTGCTGCATGCAGAACTTCAATAACACAATAGTCCCAACATTTAGGTTTCGTTTTTTTTTTTACTCACCCTGTATAAATTACGTTGGTGAAGGAGATAAAGCATTTGTACAAATTTACATCTTCAGGGTTCCCACGGTCATGGAAAAATCATGGAAAGGCCTGGAAAAAACGTCCTGGAAAATCATGGAAAACTGGAAAAAATAAAAAGTCATGAAAAGTCATGGAAATCAAGATCATGTAAGGGTTTTTTTGTTTGATGGGCCGCTTTAAGGATGGCCATTTCTGGCGGAATTATTTCACAGGGTATGTTGGGACCAGCCCTGTCCTCACTTGGAGCAAGGTTTTTCTCACTAAATCGGTAGTTGCATTACGGGGTAACTGCCGACGTTCCTACCACGTTCCACTATCACGTGGCTTCCTAAACGACTGAACACATGTAATAATTACTTTCAAGTTGGCCAAGATCGTCACACGCGCTACACAAATGAGCCTTCATCATCGCAACTGTTTCTCGCAGACGTACTGCTGGCTGTGGTTGTCGCACTTCTTCTCAATCCATCGGAAGCGGGTGTTCTGCGAGACGCAGTTGCGGTTGCCGTGGGTGCCGGGGACCGGTGAACCGACTTTCCAGCGCGTGAAGGTCACGGGTTCGCCGGAGGCCCACTCCCATTGGCCGAGGGTGTGCTGGTCATTCAGGCCTGAAAATGAATAAAAAATCAAAGGGGAAAAACCTAATTTTTGGTGGACTTTTCGGTTTTACAAAATGGGTGTCTATCATTTACAAAACAGATCAAAGAACTCATTTGCAGGGCCCAACTTCACAGTAAGCAGAAAAGCTGTGGTAACTACAGTAGAAAATTGTGCTAACCTTAAGCACTACAGGGCGAGTAAAAAAAAAGGAAACCCAAATGTCAAGACCATTTTGTTAATGAAGTTCTGCATGTAGCACTTCAAAATCTAGAATAGGAAAGCCCAATAAAAAAGCTTTCTTTTTAAGAATCATTCAAATCACTCACGTACTTTACAACACAACCACCGTTTTAAAGTTCTGTCCACGGATCACAAAAAAAGGTAAGTGTTCTTAGCAACTAAGCAATACGAAAACAATTCACACCATTTGTGTTCAAAATTCTGTAACTTGAAGAGTAAATGAGTCATTTGAACGATTCTTGTACTAAAAGAAAGCTTATTAAGTGGGCTTTCATATCCTAGATTTTGAAAGTGCTACATGCAGAACTTCATTACCAAAATGGTCCTGACATTTGGGGTTCTTTTTTTTTACTCGCCCTGTATTTCAAGGAGTGATGTGCTAACAATTGAACGTCCATGGAGATTTCTATTGTACACTAATTTCAGCATTTGTTTCCCCTTAGAACTAAGCGTGCCTTTTGCTGTGCTTACCTGTTATGGTCTCCGTGAAATAGACAGAGATTCTGTTAGCAGAAAAATTGGGTGCTTAGCAGCGCCATGATATTGGGCCCAGGTCACTAACAGAACAATTTTGTTCATTACAAGTTTCTACAGAGTTGAACAACTGACAGCAGCTGGAATTGAACCGGCATTTTCTGGAACACTGGAATTTTAGACACTCTGTCTGGTTTATTGTGTCTCACCTATCCAGAACTCTCTTCTTTCCACCAGTGGCTGGATCCAGTTGTAGATCTCATTTGTTGACACAGTCACAAGGTTGCCTTGGTAACTGGAGGAAGAAAGAAAAAGTAATTTAGAGGAACAGTTAATTTATGGTTATTTTTTAACACAATTCCTAAATTTGACTATTTTACTCCATTTTGAGAATTGCCTGGAGATTAAGTGGCATTACATTTAGACATCAGACATTGAAGGGGCATGTATTCAGCAGTATTGTAGTATTCGTACTCGGTACTCGTACTCAAGTACTTTTTTTAAGTACTCATACACGTACTCGAATGTCAAAGTACTCGTACTCGAAATGACGGTAGTCGTACTTGGGCAGCAAAGTACTCGTACTCGACATGTCGAAATTGTACTCGATCATTAAAGTACTTGTACTCAAATAGCAGTACTTGAAAAAAAAATGGCATAGCTTGACTTACGACGGCCTTATTTTATTATCGATATTTTCAGTTGGAAATGGTTGATTGGCTTACAGAGAAATCAAAGATTCCTGATTTTTCTCTGTGCACGTCTGGACAAACACATTTAACAGCCAGCCGTGAGTGGGTCTGTATATCAGTCTGACTGGACCTGGGCCAATTACGCACAATGAACCATTTGCCGTATGGCCGTATTCAGAAATACAAGTACTCGTACTCGTACTCGGAATACAAGTACTCATACTCGTACTCGGAAGTACAAGTACTCGTACTCGCAGACCTGAACTTGTAATCGGAAGTACTCGTACTCGGTAACCTAAGTACTCGGCAGTACTCAGTACTCGAAAAAAGTGCTCGACTACAACACTGGTATTCAGTCAGTTTTCATTACCCTTGTAATGCCTATGAATAGGCTAAATTGAGCCCGTTGTGTCGACAAGATGTATGAAAAGAACTGCCTTGAATAAACCATTCTGAATCAACTAACTATACTTTTGTGTTCTCAGAGACCAACTTTACCAGGCTTTTCTTGTCTATAAAGCTGTGGGCTTCATACCTTTCTCTGCAGATTCTCTGCGCTTCGTCCCAGGTTTCGGGATCCGTGGCCAGAAGGTAGCACATGCCATCAAACTCATGCCAACCTACACCAAAGAAAATCAAAACTCACATACTGAAATTTGTATCCTTTTGGAGACATTTCTTTGTTCTCGTGTAGTAAAGTTTACGAGTTTGAAAGTGGAGTTTCAAAATGCTCTTATTTTAATCAGAATTAATTTCCTAGGCTGAAATTTGGACTTAATATCCCTTTTCTAAAACTCTTCCATTTGCGACGGCTCAACCAACCTTGGAAATTCCTAGTTTTTGAGTAAACTCCATATATCTATTTCGTAAAAACCTTGTGGAGGTGTATTCATCTATAGAAATTGCCATGTGGAGACGTATACAATCTTTTGTTCCCTATTGTGTGCACGTCTCCAGAGGGCACGGTGTATCAGATCAAAATATCAAATCGATTTCTCTATTGAACACAAACACCTCACCACATTGACAATAAAACATTTTTTATTTATGATCATCCCAGAAATATGCAGGTTGTGGGTTAGAGTCCAGCCTGGGGTTATGGTGCGTGTGCCCTTGGGCAAGGCACTTTGTCACTCATTGCTTCTCCCCACCCAGGAGTAAATGGGTACCTGTGAGGGCAGAGATGGTCATGTTTTTGATCTAGCCGATTGCGTCCGATGTGGCAGCATTGAGTTGTATAATTGAATCAGGACGGAATACTGAAGTTGAATCAGGAAACATCTTGTGTCCGTTGAAAGAGTCCCTTTTGTTTCGGCTCGGCTCTGTACAATGCTGCTTTATGATTGGTCAGTTTATGCTCACCGTCCCCGCATCCGAGGTCCTGATTGGTGGCGTCGTCCGCTTGTATGTGGCTCCACTCCACCCGGACCCACCGGTTCCCGTTACACTTGTACATGCTGCCGGTGGATTCCTCAATCAGAAAGTCATCCTTGCTGGTAGTCGTGCAGCCCGGCGGAAGTTGAAGCTGTAGGGGAAACATTCAACAAAATCAACATTTAACCACTTTGCGCTGGGTATACAGGGTGAGTAAAAAAAAAAAAAAAAAAAATGTTGGGACCATTGTTTTAGGGAAGTTCTGCATGTAGCATTTTCAAAATCTAGGATATGAAAGCCCAATTCATAAAGCGTTTTTTTAGTAGAAGAATCATTCAAATCACTCATGTACTTTTCAAGTTACAGAATTTTAAACACAACCACCGTTTTAAGGTTCTGTCCACAGATCACAAAAAGGTGTATGTTCTTTCACCAAAACGAAAACAATTCAAACACATCCCTATGTGATTTGTTTTTGTTTTGCTGAAAGAACACTGAACTTGGTTGTGATCCATGGACAGAACCTTAAAACTGATAAGTCGCCCATGGTAATGAAAGAGTTAATGAGATAGCTCCTTACCGGAGTGTCAGTGGCGTATCCAGCGGGGGGGGGGGGGGGGGGGGGCGGGGCACTTTGGCCCCCCGACGGATTTTTTTGACAATTTTTTTTTTGTCAGCAATGATTTAAATACATTTTTCTAGAGTGTTTCTGACATTAATCCCACCAAAGAAAAACCCCGACAACAAAAGCTGTATACGCTGCTGCAGAGTTCGGAGATAGGTGCTACTATTGTGAATTCTTTAGGCATCAAATAAAGTTAGGCTAGTGCAGACGAAACTTACAGACTGATCAGCAGGTAAGGCTTCATCAGGGCCAACCTCTGCCTGGCCAGGAGGTTGTTCGGGCACATCCTCTCCGATGGGCTCAGGCTCACTGATGGGTACAGGCTCGCCGTCTGGGTCTACGCCTGACTCCTGTACCGATGCCGTACTGGGTCGGCCCTGTACTACAGCAGGGAATGGCTGAGGCTTATGGGAGGAGCTTGAAGATGATGATGAGGAGGAGGAGGAGGAGGAATGGCCACGGACAACAGTCGGAGAAGATGCTATCCCGTGAAGCTGTACAGTGTGTGTCAATAAAAATGTAGCAGTCAATCCATCAGTATTAAAAATACTAGCACTCTCCTTTTGCAAAACTTATGTATAGAGTCTGAAGGTGTAGTAATAATCTACACAATGGTCTTTATCCCATCTGATTTGGACACCCCAGTCCAGAGATACAGCTAATTAAATGAAAAAAACTTGAATTCCAAGTTGGGCCACTTTTCAGATTATCCTTAGTTTCTTTTGTACATAAATCGAAATAAGTTTAACATTTCTTCATAGCGCATCTTACTGGTATTAATTTCCTTTTTTTTGAGACATATTTATTGATTTTGTTATCTTGTTATTTACCAGATTTCTTTTTTATTGATGGATGTATTCTCTAAAGGAGTATGGAATAAATGTTTTCTTGAATTGAATTGAATTGAATGAAAGGCATTCACATACCTAGAAAGTGTGTGAATGCCTTTCATTAGATACCAGGTAATCTGAGAAGTGGCCCAAGCAGAATTTGACAGTCTTTACACGCTTTGCCGTAACTTTTAAATAAAAGGTCCAACTCACACTGAACAACATCCTGTCAAGGGTAAAGAAACACTCTATCATCTCATGGTAATTTTTTTCAAAAAAAAATTGAGTATTTAGTTACCTCACTAAAATGTTGCTTGACTGCTACATTTTTTTTAGACACGTCGTATGCGATTAAGTCAGCCACACAGGTTTACATAGACTATAATCCTGTTGCGGCCATCTTGATTTTTCCCATTCAAATCAACGTAATCAAAGCGAGACTGGAAGCAAAAATAGTCTGGTTCCTTTTTGAACAAAAAATATTATCAATCATTACTGTTATTGGATACAGGGAACATGACTGAAATGGTGGCAGCATGATAAAGGTATATTGACTTAGGCTATTGATCTTAGCAATACTCAGGACTTGACAACATATCGCAAAAAAACCCTGAAAAACAATCCAGGATTTTTAACAGAAAAATATAACAATTCAATAGCGAGTCCTTAAATGAAACATTCTTTAAAAGGTATAGGGCCTCCCTTTTATTTCTATACTTCTCATATATTGTTTTGCCTCTAAAGAAGGGTCGGTCCTTTGGAGGGGTAAAAATGAAGAAGAAAAAAATTGAAGTTGCACCCGTATAGATGACTAAGTTAATGATGCCAAGTACGTTTTGTCTCTATTTTCTTTTCTTCAAATGGCTTTACCATGAGTTGATATCACAGAATAAAATAATGAAACCACGTACATTATATCTGCACCATGGCTGTAGTGGCAGCCATCACATAAATGTACCAGTTAAGGTATACTGTAGACCATTGATATGATGAGAGGCACCATCCTCTCATCTACTGTGATTGAACTGGTTGCTATATGTCGTACGTCGCGTAAAAATCTGGTATTCCTTTCAATTTTTAACACAGAGCCTGATTGCCTGAATTTTGATTTTTGTTTTTAAATGGCCTTCCAGACAAGGTCGGCGGTAATGAAATTGTTTGATTTTTTCTTGGGTCAGGAGTCCAAAATAGGGTGAGACAAAAATGAGAACCAAAGAAAAAAAATGTACGCCCATATGGCTAAGATTCTGCAAAAAGAAAAAAGTCATTCTTGGGACTGTGAAACATGCTACAAATTGATACTTTTTTGCCAAAAAAATACTGGGAACAAATTGGGGCTACTCACTGTCCAGATAGTAGTTGAACCATTGGTCCATATTCCTACTGGTTGGCCTTGCACCTTACTGCCTGGTCTAGAGTGAATGCTTTGTCCATTGGAAGCTCTGCCTGGTATTTGGGGCCTGCTGCCGACTGGATTAGGGTTTGGGTCTTCACCAGCGTAAACTGGAGCTCTGCCGGCTGACTGGAAGTTCTGTTCAGAAGGTGGGAACTGATGGTCAGGACCTTGGCTACTGGCATGGCTTCCAGGGAGGTAGGGGTTGCTTTCTGCAGGTTGTTGATGATAAGGGTACTGGGCAGGAGTTCCAGGATAGTAAGGATCTCCAGGGCGGGGTTGGTGGCCGGTTCCAGCTGAGGGGTCCTGGGGATTCCAACCCTGGCCTGATGGATACTGAGGTACGGCACCTGTCTGAGCTGGGTACTGTGGATTACTGCCTCCTTGATGATAGGTTCCTCCACTGGAGTCTGAGCTGAAGGCATCCTGACCTTGTTGGTAAGGCCTTCCAGGACCTTGATAGCGGCTCCCTTGGGAATTGGTGGCAGAAGCGGGATCTCCGCCTTGGTCAGGATAGTATGGTTGTCCATCTCTGGTGAAGTAGTAGGGCCATACTGGTTGCCCTTGGGCATCCGGTTGTGGAGGGAGTGACCCATCTGGATATGTTCTGGGTGGGACATCCCCACCCCCAGTTTGGTGCTGCCCCCCGCTGTTGGGGTAACCTGGGTTCCACTGACCTTGTTGTGTGTTTGCATCAGGATACTGTGCTTCTGAGCCGGAGTCCTGTGGGTACAGTGAAGGATCTTGCGGGTAACCCCCTGGGTTCTGTGGATACACTTGTGGGTTTTGTGGGTAAACGTCAGGGTTTGTCTGGTGGGCCCCAGCGTTTTGCGAGTACACTTCCGAGTCCCGTGGGTACGCTCCTGGATCGTCTGGGTACACCAAGGGGCGGTGTGGGTCAAAGCTCACCCCTGGCTGCTGAGGTTGATAAGGCCCGTACCCTGGATCAGGCTGTTGAGGGTATATATGACCTGTTTGCCCTTGTCCAGGAACAGGGTCCGGGGGACAACACTCCACCTCTGGATTGGGTACGAACCCAGGGTCTTCTCCAGGATAAACAAATCCTTGATCTGGTACAAATTCACCCCCATAAGGAAGGTACCCTTCAGGCGATGGGTGCGACCCAGGTACAAACGGGTACTCTGGGGGTAGACCAGTGTCGCCTGGCTTGGGTTGGTGACTGAAAGGGTCTTCGACGGGTATGCCGGGGTTTTGCTGAGGGATGAGGGGTCCTGGATAGGAGATTCCTTGCCCTGGGTCAGGGCAGCAAGAGGGTAGGCCCTCTGGAGGAACAGATCCTTGGCTTGGGCAGCAGGATGGTAGAGTATCTGTGATGGTTACTCCGTGGTTCTCACCCTTACAAGCACCTAGGTGGGAAATAAAACAAAATTTTGAAAGCATTCGCTTTAAATAATATTCCTTATTATCATGATGGTAACCTCTAAGTGAACAGATGTGTATCATCTTAACGCACGTAGTACAGGCTTGGATAAGTCAGTGCAAAAATAAAATAGAATCAATGCCAAACTCAAAATTGGAGTCGTAAATGTTTTAGAAATCCACTCTCTGTAGTAGCCAATTCTAGAACCCTAAGAGATTCCAAGCAGCACCGACCAGAACATGACCACGCCAAAAAGCAAGCTAAGTTTTCTATATGTGAAATCTGCTGATTCCAATGAAACTTAGGTGATGAAGAGGTTTCTAAGAGAGCAATCAAAATAATGGCCTTGCATAGATTCACTACAAAAGTTACTTTGTGGATGTCATTGTAACTTTATGTTCTTTCTTTTTTGCCGGGGAAATCTGGGGTCAATTTAAAACTCAATCTTGAGTCCTGAACAGAAACTGAATCAATCCCAAATTCCTCATAATTTTGTTACCTCATATTGAAATAAGGCTTATGATTTTTTAATTTCATAGCTGACTTCTGTCACGAGTTCATCAAAATCAAATCAGAACTCAACCCAATAGGAGAAACGATGACAAATTAATGCCTTTTTCAAGGTCCAATGTGGCTGGACGAGTATTACTTGACTAACCCTCCTGCTGTTTGAACAGTCATAGACAGTCAAAAAATCAATCCTCTGCCCCTGCCATGCCTTTTACACAGGCTAGTCGCCAACAGTCAGATCATATTACTAGTAAGCACTGTGACTAGTCAAATTCGGTCAACAGACAAAAACAGCCAAGAAGTAGACACAGCTGGCTTATCAACCACATATAGTCAAAGCATAGCTGTATCAAGTTACATAAACAGTCACAGCCAGTCAATCCTGCTTTAAGTAGGCTGGGAGCTCTTAACTGTCACTTGATTGATTTTGACTGAAAGGACAACTTTGAACAGAATGTGTGTTTGCATAGGAGGGTTAGCTAATGATGGTGTTGCAAAAGACTAGTGATTGACTTGTGTGGCCTCGTTTTTTTCAACTTACCATCTTTAGAGTCCTTGATGATCACTGTCAATTTGTCGTGCTCCCCTAGGACGGCATTCACCGGGGAGGTCAGAGTTAGACGGAACCGCTCTCTGTTCTCCTCCAGCTCATCGGCGATGATGTCAACGTCCCAGGTTGCCATGTTAACCCCGGGGTCAAACTGGAGCTGGCGGGCCCGCGGCGGGGCGTAGTCCTGGCCGGCCACGGCCGTCAGGTCACTGACCTCGATGTCGACGAAGGAGGACAAGGAGTGGTAACCGGCACGCATGATGTTAATCTGCAGGGTACCGACCGCCTCGCACACCATGTAGTCGCCGCGCGTGAACTGGATGTGCGGCCACCTGAAGTCAAATCTGTTGAGGAAGACGCAAGAATCTCAATGCCTGATAAACTTGGGGACTATGATTTGTGACAAATGTACTACAGCAGCAGCAATATGTGTTTGCGTTTCTAATAGTAGCTTCCTTGTCTACCCTTGGGAAAGGCACTTTGTCACGCATTGCTTCTCTCCACCCAGGAGTAAATGGGTACCTGTGAGGGCAGAGATGGTTATTGTGGTTGATTTAAGCTGCTTTGCGCCGAAATGGCAGCATTGAGTTGTATACTCCCCAGGGAGCTGAGATGGTATTTGGAATGTTTCATTGGCCTAATGAGCAGGGTAATAATCAGCGCCTTGCATCCTTTGGTAATTTGTTGCTCTATAAGTACAGTTATTATTATTATTATTATTATTAGAACCCAAAAATGGAGAATACACACAACAAGAGGGTCACAACAGTGACAAAATGTTATTGGCAAAGTTGTAGTTAAAGGGAATATACAACATTTGCTTTTGCTGGAATTTTCAGAAATGGATGGATTTGGGGGCTAGTATTTTATAGCAAATATTGTAACACTGACTAATTGTTCGACGTTTTGGGTTCGTAGATGCTGGAAAAACCAAGAAAAACGATCATGCTCTTGTAGTCTGGTTCCCTGACCCCACTTAAGATGAAACAGAGCAATTTATAGACGTTATGGAATTGTAGGGTCAGGGAATCAGTCTAGCTGGCTTGTACCAGTTTACAGGTGTGTCATCGATTGCAAAGAATCTGCGGACTAACTATTAAAATATGATAAATTGGGAGCAGTATTTGAAAAAAAGAAGTTTTTTCCAACGCTGATCGGCCAACCAGCGTTGGAAATTGATACAAAAATACCACTTTTCTGGAAATGTCAGCACACCAGGTGCCATGATTTTGCAGGCTGCTTTACACCAGACTGGGACATGGAGTGCTCTGAAACATGCAAAACTAAATCAGGCCAACTTTACTCACTCTTTTCCAAAATTTCCATTGGGCTAAGAAAAGGTCCTCAGTATTTCACCAACCAAGTTTGCAGACTCAATTTAATTTTTAAAGGAGACATTTCTTTAATATGTTGCACATGAGATGGAAGTCAAGTGATTTCAAAATGAGGCTAAAGACTAGACTGGTACATGTCCAACCATGGTCCAACTACTTGAACAGACTGACCTCTTCATTTATTGTCATTAGTCTGGTGGCTGACTATGGAGAAATGTGTAGTAAATAGAGACTAGTTCCCGGTTCATGCCACATGTTTCTTTTGGCACAGTTGATTGATGCAGTACTAAAGCAGTGTTGGACTGGTTGTTTCAGGTGCCAGTCCATTTTCTTGTATTGCATGTTTTCAATACCTTAAGTTTTGGGACTCTCATACACAGTATTCAGAGACCCAAATTTTCGGACTAGCTTTAGACTGTCATTCACTAACAGCCCATTAAGGTATTTCGTAATAATTTGGTTTTTTTTTAATGTTTGCAAATGTTGTATATTACCTTTAAGATAATCACAAGTCAGATCACAAGTCAATCACAAGGTCACAAGTACCAGGGGATGAACAGCAACAAGCATTACTTGACCGAGCCCAGTCTAATGTGGCTTTCGCGAACCCGGGATTCCGGGGTTCGCATTCATGAGCACCCTACTGAGATAATGGCTTCTCAATCAGTTAACGACCATAAATATGTTCACACATACGGTGGGAGTGCATAGTTTGTCCTTGATCATACCATGGAGCTTTTTTTTGTAGCTTCATGATCATACAGTCAGGCTATCCCCAATGTATGTACGTCGTCGTTGTGTCCAGAGCCACCTGCCTCCCATCAGAATTTGAGTGACGAGTGACGAACCAGTTAAGTGCTGGAGAGCTACCTACATCTGAGAAAGCCACATTAGACTTGGCTCAGTCCAGTAATTGAAATACCTTTGCCACATTTCATGTGAATAGGTTGTGATTTGGCTCGAGAATGGACTTATGATTGCCTTGTGAGGGCTTAACTAAAGTCGCTTGGAACCATACTTGTTGATGGTGGGGTAGCCCATATTACTGTGTCTTCACAACAAAATACCAGTCAATCAAATAAAATTTTGCCCTTCACAGACATATAAACACTGTATACTCAGTGTGTTACCTCCCGAGTGAAAGTTGGAAAAAATCACTCGGGTGGGACTCGAACCCACGACCTCCTGCTTACTAGTGCAGACGTTTTACCACTCGACCACCGAGATAGGGCAAAAACCTAATTTGATTTACATCACCCCAACACAATAAGAATTCCATCTTGTGAAAATACCAGTCAACCTACCTTTGGCCCATCAGTGCATTACCGTTGCAGTCATAGATCGAGAACATGAAGCTGTCGTTATTGACATGAATGTTCTCGTTCATGATGTACATGATGCTGCGATCGTTGACCTCCTGTTGCGTGAACTGTCCCTGGACCCGCCTCCTCGTGACCAGGTTCTCTAGGTAGCCATGCTGCGGTTCTTGGATGATCATGTAGGTGATTCCGTCGGCCGCACACTGGTCTTCGGCATAGAGGGTCAGCCGGCTCAGGATGAAAGCGTAGCGGCCGTTCCGGCTTTCCATTTTGATCGGGATCTCGTTGGTGATCAGCCGCGGTGGCTCGCTGTCCATCCGGTCAATGTTGATGGTGAATTTCACCGGCTGGGTCGCGACGGAGTCCTTGATGAGGAAACCTTGATTGGTGTTATCCGTGACGACGAAGTAGAAGCTATCTGTATCGGTTTGTCCGAGGTGTGAGAAGTGCTGGTAGGATAGGTCGTAGTTGTTCAGATCGTACTGAGAGAACCGATCGGTGACGGGTATCCCGGCGAGGAGTAGGCGTCCGAATTGAAGAGGGTGCGTGATGATGAATGTCACGATGTGCGGCGGAGTGTCTTGGTCGATGGCTTCCAAGTTGGATGGCGGGATGATGAGAGATCCTCCTTCTGGGACCTCCAGGGGTTCATTGATGATCAGAGACGGGAGGGCGTTGTCCACAGGTATCACTACGATGTGGAAGGTATCGTTCCGTGTCTGGTAGCCGTTGGTCACGCTGAACATGAAGTTGTCGTTCCGGATGCGGTCTGTCCGCTTGTGCACGTAGATGACCCGTTGTCCGATGATGGATATCTGGGAGAACGCCGAGATGGGGATTCCGGGCCGCGATATGTCCTCCAGCTGCCCCTCGGTCGGAGGGTTGTTTATCGTGAAGGAGATTTCGGCTGGATTGTTGCTGTTGTCAAACGCCGTCAGGCACTCTGGGGGTATGATGACGAATTCACCCTCCAGGACCTCTACGCCCGAGTTGATCAACTGTAACGGCTCTCGCTTGGTGTTGGTGATGTCGATGCGGAAACTCTGCTTCCCCGTGGAGTGGACACCGTCCGTGACATCAAACCGGAACCGGTCCAGACCTTTGGAGCCTAAATCCGAGGTGTGGAGGTATCGGATGAGGTTCAGGTCCAGCTCTTCCTGAGTGAAGTTGGAGTTCAACAGGGCTATATCCATCCAGGTGTTGTCGGGGAGCTTGCGTTGGAGAACACCTCGTCTAGGAAGGGTCAGGATGCTGTAATAGAGCTGATCGGCTGTTGTGTCCCCATCCGTTGTCAGAAGGACAACTGGTGAGATGATCCGACTCTCCTGTATATCCAGCGTGATGCCGGCATTTTTGATAATCTCTGGTGGCTCGTCATTGACCTGAATAATTGTGACGAAGATTGACTTCTGCACTGTGTGCTTCCCATCCGTGACCCGTATGGCAAAATCGTCGCTGGAGCTCTCCGAGCCATCATGGACGTACGTGAGGCGCAGCGTGTTCAGGAGTTGATTGAGGTTGAAATCAAAGATGGGAAGGCGGGATTCGGCTGGCAAAGCCCAGTCGACCAGGCTGCCGTACCGCGGGGACTTGATGACTGAGAACATCAGCATCTCCATAGGGATGTCCAAGTCGGAGGCCATGATGTAGTCCGTGCTCAGCTTGAAGAAGGAATTCTCGTAGACGGTGAAGTTTTGAACAGTCAGAACTGGCACTTCGTCGTTCACTGGGATAATGTTCACGGTGAAGGATACATTAGGAGAGAGGTGTTCCCCATCTGAGACATACAGGATAAATGAATCAGCCATGGGTTCGATACCAGAGTGATTGAATTGGACGTAGTTGATGTTGCCGTTTACAATGTCTTGGTAGCGAAAGAACACAATTGGCTTGCCGGCGTTGCTCTTCTCGTACCCAGGGCTTGGCAAGATGTTCTCCACCAGGCCCCACTGTGGCTGGCCAACGATATGAAAGGTCAGCTGATCGAGATCTGAGTCCCGATCGATGGCGCTCAGGACATCCAGAGTTAGCGGCGCCTTGCCGCCCTCGTTGACGAAGTATGGATTCCCGAAGACAATCCCAGGAGCTTGGTTGTCGACCGGGGTGATAGTGATTTGGATGTCGTGCACGGGGAGGTTGGGGGAGGATGGGATGCTCTTGTCAGAGACCACGAAGCTGATGGAGTCCTGGACGGGGACTTTGCCCGTCTCCCCGCCCATGTGGACGTAGCTGATGCTCCCTTGCCGGACGTCCTGCTGCGTGAAGCGGTTGACGATGATGCCATTGCGAAGCACCACGCCCCGCTTGGGATGCTGCACCACAATGAAATGCAGCAGCATGTCGTTGGTGTCCACGTCCGTCGCAGCTAGGACCTCGGACGTGATGGGTATCTCCCCTCCCTCGGCAATGGTCAGCCTTGTGATCAGGCCCGGGAGGATCTCTGGGAGCTGGTCGTTCACCGGGGACACACTCACAAGGACCTTACGGGAGACGCTGTGGACGCCGTCCGACACGGCAACTGAGAATTCATCGCTGGGCACTTCGGACCCGCCATGGATGTATCTGTTGGAGATAAATATGAAAATAATAACTTAACATAAAATGAAACAATCCTTCCTAACAAAAAGCTCCTTAACCCTAACAATCCCCATCCAGTCAAAACTCAAAAACCATGGTTTGTTGGAATATGTTGGAGTGAGTACTGCACTAGTAAACTCATTATGCTTTAAACATAAAATGGGGTCGGCATACCACCATAATCAGAGTCCAGCAGTTTTGTTTACAGTTAACGACATGGTATTGGAATTTGCAGGACTGAGGAAGGTTCCTAGTTAATCACTATAGAGGGTTAGGGTTAATACCCTACATTCCTCATTCATTATACAACAATATCATTACGAACTCACTTCTAAAGTTATTGGTTTGCTCGTTTGTTGGGGTATTTCCACATTATTTTGTTTTCAAAATTCAAGTAAATTCCATGAAAATTTGACATGCTGGTTTAATCTTTCTCAGTGACTCTGTTCAGGAAGTTTCATCCAAAAGTTTACACTTACAGAATCCTCCTTACAGAATTAAACTGCTGTTTTATGTCTGGGTTAACCTTAGCTTGTGACACACATGAAACAGTCAAGGAACTTTCCTGAATTACAGTAAAATCTTAGATCACAATCTTAGGATACTATGGTAATGTTCCAGATCAAGCACATGTGTGGGGAAATTGATTGCAGGGTAGGGAAATTGTACCCTTCCGCTAGCAGTGTTAACACATGTAGCACTACCAGGCCAATGTTAGGTGAAATATGGGTTAACTGAGTATGTAATGTAGGTGACATATGGGTTAATTGAGTATGCAATGCATTGCAGGGTAGGGAAATTGTACCCTTCTGCTAGCAGTGTTAACGCATGTAGCACTACCAGGCCAATGTTAGGTGAAATATGGGTTAACTGAGTATGTAATGTAGGTGACATATGGGTTAACTGAGTATGCAATGTAGGTGAAATATGGGTTAACTGAGTATGTAATGTAGGTGAAATATGGGTTAACTGAGAATGTAATGTAGGTGACATATGGGTTAACTGAGTATGTAATGTAGGTGAAATATGGGTTAACTGAGTATGTAATGTAGGCGAAATATGGGTTAACTGAGTATGTAATGTGGGTGACATATGGGTTAACTGAGTATGTAATGAAGGTGAAATATGGGTTAACTGAGTATGTAATGTAGGTGACATATGGGTTAACTGAGTATGTAATATAGGTGACATATGGGTTAACCGAGTATGTAATGCAGTGGGGAGTGTGGCTAGTGGTTAGGGTTCGTGACTCTTGATCAGAGGGTCAGGGGTTCGAATCCAGCTATTGGTCATATGTTGTGTCCTTGGGCAAGCCACTTCACCCCCACTTGCCCCTCTCCACCCAGGAGTATAAATGGGTACCGGCATTGGCTGGGGAGTAACCTGCGATGGACTAGCATCCCGTCCAGGGGGAACAGAAATATTCTCAGTCATTTCATGCTACTGAAACGGGAGACAAACGCCGGCCTGATGGGCCACATTTGCTCGTGACAGAGTTTACTCTTTTTTTTACCAGAAGCACAATAAACTGTCCCTTTTAAAAAAAAATTTAATATTTGTTTTTTGAAACTGCGTTTGAACGAATATTTAAATAGTCGAAACTCGCCGATCAAGTTTACACACGCCAGCAAAAAGTGCGTGCCGCGCCCGTCAAATGTTGCATGCAAAGTGCGCTTGGTAAAACTTTACAATTACGTTGTAAAATAACATCACACTCGTGTACATAGGTTTTCTTCCAAATATTCAAGCCGGTTTTTCGAGTCTTCTGTTGATGATCGAATATTTGAATTGAAGGTATATTCGAGACAGCCCTAAAACACAACATTTACATTAGTGGATTTATTGTAAGTCCCTGCAAGTCCATCACAAGTTCTCTACTCCCAATTCTGGTTACAAGCTAATCAAATGAGATTTTACATAGACATTCCATTCTTATTTTACATCCCCTGTTATTTATGACTGGACTATTTACCGGTACTTGTGACTGGACTTGTGATGTGCTTGTGACTGGACTTGGGATTTACTAGAAACTGGACTTGTGATGTACTTGTGACTGGACTTGTGACTGGACTTGTGATGTACTTGTGACTGGACTTGTGACTGGACTTGTGATTTACTTGTGACTGGACTTGTGATTTACTAGAAACTGGACTTGTGATTTACTTGTGACTGTCCTTGTGACTGTCCTTGTGATGTACTTGTGACTGGACTTGTGACTGGACTTGTGATTTACTTGTGACTGGACTTGTGATTTACTTGTGACTGGACGTGTGATTTACTTGTGACTGGACCTGTGATTTACTTGTAAATGGACTTCTGATGTACTTGTGATTGGACTCGTGATTTACTTGTGACTGGACTTGGGATTTATTTGTGACAGGACTTGTGATTTACTTGTGCCTGGACTTGTGATTCACTTGGGACTGGACTTGTGATGGACTTACGAGGGACTCGACAACATCCCTGAAACAAAGCAACAACATTTTTTCAAATTGATACCTTACTCTGCCAGCACTGAGATCGCCAACCGTGAATGTTCCGCCAACTGTCAAATTGACGTTGCCGACTACGATGACTCCGTACTCTGGCAGTGAGGTCAGTGTGATCACGAGGTCATTCACTGACGTGTCCATGTCCGTGATCATAAAATGGGTCGGCAATATCCCCAGGATACCACCCTCGGCTACCATGAGGTTATTGGTGAAAATTACCGGGGCTCGGTTGTTAACAGGTAAGACAGTGACGTCGAAGGTCTGACCGAGCACGACGTTGCCGTGCAGGTCCGACACTGAAAACAGAAACCGGATTTCGCGGGGATCGGGGCCGATTTCTTTAAACGGTGGCATGTAGGCTATCGTGTGGTGGTCGATGTCTCGTTGCTGGAAGGTGCGAACTGCAGGGATGGTAGGATCTTTCATGGGCATGACCACGCCCGTGGTGGAGAAAATCCGGCCCGCGTCTGTCAGGCTGTGGGTGGAGATGACATAGGGAGGGGTGGTGATAGTGTATCGGAGGTCTCCATCGTCTGACTCGGTATCAGTGTATCGGAGATGCTCCCGCGTGATGAAGGCAATCTCCGTTTCCTTGACGGTGATGGATAGTGTGGCTCCTGGGAAGACTTCTGGAGGAAGGTCATGGACGGGAGAGATGCTGACTAGCACGACTTGGGTTGGAGAGACGTTTGGCGGGATGCTGTTGTCCAGGAGGATGATATCGAAGGAATCCATGAACTGCTCTTGGCCGAGGTGGTGGTAGTAGATCATGCCACGGAACAGGTCTCGCTGGGTGAAGTCGGTGACGGGATATCCAAAGCTGTCGGCCGAGTACTTCTTCAGGATTTCACCTGCCTGGGGAGGGGTGGTGATCCTGTACACGATGTAGTCATCGTTGGAATCCTTGTCGGAGGCCAGGAGGGCAAAGCGGGTGACGCGCACCGTCTGACCCTCGTTGACCTCAATTTGAATATTGCGGATGAGCGTGGGGGCGCTGTCGTCATTTGGGAGGATGTTGATCGGGAACGAGGTGTGAACGGTTTGTGACATGTCCGTGATGCGCAGCTCGACGCTGTCTTTTAAGGTGTCGCTGTCGTCGTGGCGGTAAACCACCGAACCCGCGGCGATGTCGCGTGGAGTGAACATGATCATCGGTCGATTGTTTAAGAGTACCCTGCCGTGACGTGGGCCACTGACGACTTTTATTCTGACTCTGTCCAGGTTATCGTTGTCCACGATCTCCAAATTTTGCGGGCGGATTGGGCGGGACTGTCCCTCCAACAATGTAAGCCCACGGTTGACCGATACTCTTGGGGCATTTGTCTGGGTGGGCTGAACGGCAACCGTTAATGTGACGGGGTCACTCTTTGCAAAATATTCGTCATAGACTACAAATTCAATCTCGATCAATCTGACAGTTGGGTAGCTCCTGTCTGGCGCTTTGTACGCAATATTCAACCGCGATAGGTCGGCCTGGCGGAACGATTCGATTGGCCGGCTTTGGTCGTCCAGGTGCACAATGCTACCCTCCCCCGGGCCTGGGGGTTTACTGACGTAGAAAATCAGGTCACCGGAACGTGTCTCGTCATCTGATCCGGACATAACGTCGGTGGTGATCGTGGTCAAGATGAACTGATCCACGTCAAGGATGTACTGTGCCAGGAATGCCTCCACTGGATGCTGATTCTCAAACGCCGGCACAATGTCCACTGGGAGGTAAAGCCGCTCCGTGAATGGCTGGTCGTGTTTCTGGGGGTCGTCGACCTCTATACTGAGCGGAATGTAATCCATGTTGGGCGACGGGGGTAAGACGTGCTGGTACCGCAAGTTGAGGTACAGGAAGTCGTCGCAGTTTTCGTACAGCGCCCTGACGTCCTGCGTTTCATCTCCTACCCCCCTGATCAGGTGTCCGTAACGCGGCAGCCCGCTGGTGACTGTGTTGACGCGCACGAAGCAGGAGGCTTCCGGCGAGCGGTCAAAATCAAAGTCCAGGATGCGCATGTCGATGGGGTCTGAGATGCCGTTGAATTCGTCCACCGCGATGTTCATCATGGGCTGGACCACGCGGTAGGGTGCCTGAGTCACGTTGACCGTGATGTAGAAGGTCTCAATGACAGTGTCGGTGTCTGTCAGCATGTAGGCACGGAGCTTGATGATGTCCTGGTCCAGGAGCGGTGATCCTGAGTGGATGTACCCGATGGTGCCTGGGAAGAACTCGCAGTCAAACACCTGAGAGAGAAGAATGAGAACTAAAGTTATTTTCAAAGTTGGTTCATCTGTACTTTCTGGTAAAACAGATTTTCAAATTAAACTGCTTAATTTCTACATGAACATGTACCTGTAAGTTAGAAACATGTTTGTTTGGGAGCTTTCCAACATGGCGCATGGCAAGGGAAAACAAATTGCCCTTGACAGTGTCCCACACAAAATTAAAAAAAAAACCCTGATTGTCGGAACTACGATATTATGGTGCAAAGACCACAATGGAAACAATCAATCACAGCCAGTCATCCTGCTTTATGAAGGCAGGGAGCACTCAACTGTTAAAAACAGTCACTTGATTTATTTTGACTGCTGGGTTGGCCTTGTTGAAATTGCCAGCCAGTGAAAGAGGGTTTGAAGAGAAGTTTACGGCACAGCGAAGGTATTATTTTTTTTCGTGTTTATTGAGTAAAACTAACTTTTGCAAGTACTTCCGATTGTCTCAGATTGTGTGTTAAAACTTACATTTCAAGACAAATTTATCATGTTCTACAGATAGATTATATGTCTTAACGACCTCTCATTAGTGATTAACCAACTAGTCACGCAGACTCTTTATAGATGGAGGTTTTTCCAACATTCTTTTTTTACCAGATAAAAATTAAATCGATTCTAAAAATGTTGGAGTCACTCAAACCTACAGGGAAATTCATCAAATTTAAATTGTTCAGCAAAGCAAAGCCTGGGCTAAATCTTTGGTGCAATCTGCGCTCCTCAAGTGTACAAAATGCCATGGACTATATCAAAGCAGACATGTATTGCAAACAAATGTTTAAAGTTTGACCCTTTTAGGGTTTTGGGTTTCAGGTGCTTTGACTCAGATAATCTTCCCCTGCAGTTGCTTTACTAGTGAACTCCCAAAGGGATCATAAAGTACATCACTGGAGTGTACTTAAACCTGTGTGTAACCTTAGGAACTCTGTAAAAAATTGCTTGTTGAAGGACTTACATATGTACTGGTACACCTGTACATGTACATGTACATGTATCTGTACAGTTTATTGTGCAAAATGTATGATGTACCACACATGTCCAATGCACAACTGTTGTATTATTGCTTTAAGTCCCTTCCAAAAAGTTCCAAATATTCCTTTTAAAATGTATTCAAATGGGTTATTTAAACTGACATTCATAAATACCTCAGACAGTTTAGCTATTCCTATTGGTCGAGAGCCCGTCACGTGGCCGTTATTAAACGGATGATAAAGACATGGCTAGCTGGTCTTAAACACTTTTCCAGTGTCACAATAAAATGTGGACTCCTAAAAATCCAGTGCCTCTTACCGTTTCATTGGTTGAACGTTCACAATCCTCACGTAGGCATGCGCAACACTACAAGTGAGTCAGAATTTTATAGTTCTAAATTCAAAACGCAACGCCCCAGGTGCGTTCTGCGTGACATCGTGCAGAACATGTTACGCGCGCGTTAATCTCCATAAAAGGGTTGTTTACATCTTACTCGCCAGCTGAACACTCCATTATTTTGCTAGAGGGATGTTTCAAAAAGCATGAAGTGAACTTGTTGAACAAAATCGGGATTTTTTGAACGAATTATTTGAAATTTTTTTACGGATAAGGTATTTATGAATGGGAATAAATATGTGCTCGGTCGGTATTTATCACTCGTTTAATACCGCTTAGAGTCTGGGTGCTGATAATTACCCTCGCCTCCGGCTCGGGTAATTATCAGCACCCAGACTCTAAGCGGTATTAAACGAGTGATAAAAACCTCCGGAGCGCACATTTATTCCCTTATTTAACACTGGGTTCATACAGTGTATTTGCATTCAATCTGCCCTGACAGCTAAGGAACATGTCAAGTGAACATCACTTTTATTCATTTCAGTTCAATTCAAGAGACTGTAATGATCAAAGCCTGGCGGTCTAAGGACTTATATTATTGAGATGGCTTCAGCTCACAGGACAGAATTTCAACAGAAGGAAAGAACGGACCAGTGATGGGTGCAACAGCAAAAATAAACAGATGAAATAAAGATAGAAGATGGAAATGAAATATACCGTCTTGACTCTCTCTGATGTTTGAATATTTCTAGTCAAAACACAATCATTTGTACAATTTCTACTCACGCTTTGATCGTCCACACTATCTAGTAGCCCGGTACAAAAATTACACCTTGTTCTCTTGAATCCCAGATCTAGACTGCCTAAACCGCGCGCTGTGTGCACTGCGCGCCCAAAATCAACACATTGTATATAATTTGCCCTAGAAAATAAATAGGCTGTGCGCTGTCTGACTGTTACTACGTGCAGCGCCCCCAGTTGTCCTAGTCTATTGCAATACTTTATTTATCTTTAAAAGATGTAAAACAGCAATTCCATATGGCTGGGCAGCTCACTCTTAAAAACAGTTTATTACAAACATACTACTATTACTAACACCCCTGTTGGTTAAAACAGATCATCTCTGTTGGTGTAACAGAACATAAATGTGTTTGGCGCTTAATTCAAGAAAAAGATGTGATTTATAAATGTTTGGATCAGGTTTTGACCATATATGTTGACTGGAAAATCATGTCACAAACATGATGCATTACCTACAGTCGTTGAATCACCTCAGCCAACCATATTGAAAATATTTTGTCCGACTTTCTTAAGAATCGTGTGGCAACTCTTAAAATTCTGTCACGAGTAAAATAGCAATTCATGTACCTCAGACACAAAGCTGTGAGTGTCTAATTGTATCAACCTCAGTTGTACAATAACAGGCTCCACGACAATCCTGATTTACTTGTATAAAAGGTCATTTTCAGTCGCTACGCCACAAGTTACGCCACCTAAAATGATTGCGCAAGTTATGCAATTTATTGCACAAGTCACGGACCTACGCACTATGAGACTTTCGTGAAATGTTGCGCAGCGTGAAATGTTGCACAACTTACGCAATAAAATGTGGCGCAAGCAGAGTTGCGCCATTGCTTAAACTTTCATGAAATCGGCAGCTGATCTTTATTCATTCATTCATAGTTTTACTGCAGCAGAGAAAATAAGAGTTTTTCTCCCTTTGATACGAAGTTTAGCAGGACGATTTCGGTGTCGTCAGAAAATTCTTGCGTTCGATGGCTACTTGGCAGAACTTGTCAAGGGTCAAGCCCATCTGTGTGAGAAGTTGCTGCTGTAAAGTCTGATAACCCGAATTTTTGTACTTGTCATCAGTGAACAACAGCCGCTTCGGTGGGAACATGTGAGAAGTGCGGACTAGGTGTGCACGCACTACTTCACTTGAAGTCCCTGGACAAACTCTGATATAAGCCGTGTCTTGCAAATGTCATATATGGCTTCGTTGGAGTGGACAAATGCATGCTCATTCGTGTTCTTTTTCCTTTGAAAACCTCCTCGAACCACTTGCCGTAAGAAACGACAGTAGGCTGTGTTGATCCTTGTTGTTTGCTGCAAGTTTAGGGACCTCAAGCCTCTAAAAGCCAAAGCTGGATGTGAAAACCGTGGTTTCAAAAACAAGCCAAGTGTGGCGCTACCATGGCTACAAAAATGCACACAAGATTCTGAGTCATGCAGTGTAGTGGCTGGAAATGCCACGTCAATGAAAAGCCCGGCAAATCCGGGGAATTTGGTGAGGAAATTGCATTGAGATTAACTCCTGTAAGATCCTGGCTGGGCCGGGGAACGGATGTCTGGACATATCACACAAGAACCACTACAGAATATAGTGTTAGCTTCTAAGCCACGGTTTAAGTCATGAAGGTTTCTTAGTCGGGCATCTTTTAGACACCTTGTGGGCTACAGTTGATTGTAAGGAAACCTCATAACAAAATAAGAGTTTACACTTTGGGACATCCTTCATTTGAAGACAATTTTATAGAAACCTTTCCCCTTCAACGTTGAATGTAAGCCATATGCCCCCATTTGAAGTTGCAATGCATACAAACTGTGAAGCAGGTGAGGTGAAGCCTAATAGACAAAAAAGTCACATGAAAAAATCCTATATCTGTACTTTGGCTAAAAGAAGAATACACGTACCGGTACATGTACATGTACCTCTTGTAAGCGATTTAACATTCGAGCAATTCCACACTTAATGGGCCCAAAAGGGTGACATTTGAGAAGACCTTTAAGTTTTGATGATAAAAGTACGATCTTGGTTTCTCAATTTTTGCTGTAAACATTGCAAGCTTCAAACAAATATCCTTACTTGCAAAGGATATAACTGGTTTTGTATTTTAGAAAAATATAGTGGATATTGTTTTAAAAAGTGTTACGTACGTAACTAAGGACAGACATTTTAGATAAAGTCACAAAGTAAGCATAACATTTAATGATCCCCTAATTTTGTCTGATTTAAGAAGATGCCTACCCTGGAGGAATGCCATCAGTCAAAACCTAGAAAACTCGGAGTTAATGTGAAGAATTATTTGATACATAATCAGGATTTATACGTACGAACAGACTGGACATTTGTCACAAAATGTCTGTCCCTGTTCGTACTTCATACATAACCCTAATCACATCATAAATTTGAAGCCAGTGTGAAAACTGTTATATTTTTGCTTGATAACAATGTAAATTGGCTTAATAATGTCACTAGTGCCGATTAGAAATGGCATTTGTCCTAAGCACCCTTTTCCTTGCAGAGAGTCTGTCCATGTTACATACATATCACACAGAAAAGATGCCTGTTATTTCCTCCCCCCCCCCCCCCAAACAAAAAGATAACATCTTTTGTCTTGTCTTGTCCTAGTCACTTTCAACTTAGCAAGGTACAGGAAAAAAACCAGAAGAAAATACTAGCTCATCTTTTACGCAATATATGCAACATCCATAAACTTATCTAATTGGTCCATTAGTGTGGAATTGCCCATTTTGATTCTACAACTGCGGTTCAACACATGATGTACAGTCGACCCGCTTTCAAATTTTTAAAGATATTTCAATAAATAAGAATTTGGGTCATCATTCGGACTCTCAATGTTTCAGACTGGTTTCAACATGCAGCAACATTTTTAGGGGCATGTCAGTATTCAAAAAATAATGGCTACGAATACTTTTTTTTCTGAAACATGTGAAAAGGGCAAAGTCACAAATTTTCTTTTGTGAAGGACAAAGCCATTTGAGAAGCCAATGAAGGGTCAGGGAGGTCATCGCCTTGGCAATTTAAAGACCATGACCTCTTTGAAATTCAAGGCTTTAACAGTCAAAGATGAATTTTTGGCTATAAACTGTTCACCAAATGCATAATCAATAAAAATTGAGAAAACTTATTTTTTTCGACGAAGTTCAGTAAAGTTTACAAAAAACATGTGTCAGGTTTAACAGTCTTTCTTTAATATCTCTCAACTTCTCTTGTGAAAAAACAACATACACTGGCACATGTACCGTATAAATTTCCTTTTTTTAATGCATGAAAACTAAGATTTATGTACATAAATTTATGTGGATGGATGGACTTGGGGTTAGTATGGTATTTTATAGCAAATATTGTTACACTGACTTGCTTAAAGTTTGTGTTCATAGATGCTGGTTTTACCAAGAAAAAAATGCTGTTCTTGTAGTCTGTTCCCGGACCCTACTTCAAACAAACAGTCAGCAATATATAGACGTCAGGGAATTGTCAGGTCAGGGAACCTGACTAGCTGGCTTGCACCTGTTCATGGATGTGTATAACCGACTGCAAACACAATGTGGACCAAATACATTTTGCAAATGGAGGGCAGTATTTGAAACAAAGTTAGCTTTCTTTCAATGATGGTCGGCCGACCATCATTGGAAATTGATACAAAAAATTCACTTTTTTTGAAAATGACAGTACAGCAGGTGCCACAATTTCACAGGATGCTTGAGACTATTATTCACCCTTGAAAAGCAAAAAAAAGAAAAAGAAAAAAAAAAGGAAAGAAAAAGAGGCGCGAAGACAAAGTGGTGTAAATTTAATGAGTTGGGGGGGGGCAAAATGTCCCTGCCCCCTCTAAAACTGATAAATTGAGAATGTGTTGAGAAATACAAGCATTTTTTGGCCAAAAAAAAATTTGCCCCCCTCTAGAAAAAATCCTGGCGACAGCCATGAGCTTTGTTTTTTTATGTTTGCGAATGATATTACCTTTAAGCAGCTGCCTGGTAAATTTGAATCATGTTTCATGTCCCTATCACCTTTCGTGTGTATATTAACCAGGGGGGGGGGGTAAAAAGGGCACAACTGCTTGTCACATTAAATTGTCCTTGACAATGGACTGAAGATCACCAATATCTTTGAGATCAACCAACCTGAGGACACACAGTCTGCAGACTTAGTGATAAATGGGCCAAAATATGACCAACACCCTGCGCCGATTGTAAATTAAACTCACTCCTGGGGGTTTCATTATGTGAACCGTGAACATTCTTGAATGGGTAAATGTTGCGAGGCTGTTTTACATGGATTTCGCTGAATCTCTGGTACAAAATTTATACAGCAGCCCCAACTTGAACTTCTAATGAGCTTTGGAAAGTTCACAATTTTAAGTAAATAAGGCTTTGCTCAAATTTTGCACAACTCTTTAAAGAATTTCTAAGATATTTTCATTCTATGATAGGGTTGTGCTTTTACGGGTAATATTGGAACCATGTAACCGTTGCTGTAACAGTTGGGTACTAGTAGAACTGTGATTTATCACAAACATAACGGACCCAGAACTTACATGCAGAACTAGAAGTATCTGGTATTTCTCACTGAAACATTCCATACAGTGTCGCACACCACACCGTAGACGTTCAAATTAAAATGTACATCTCCAATTTACATCATACTTTCCCTATCTTACTTTTTCCTCTTTTTTTCGGCAACTTATCAATAAAAAAGTTGTCTTTCCTTTTCAGAAAGGTTGTGTGCCCCAAAGATTCTTCACTTATGGTAAAAAGTGGGGCCTTGTTCATTGGGGCCTTGTTCTTAAAGATGCATTCCCAATGCTATTTTTGACTTTCGAAAAATAGATTCGCTTTTTCAATTTCTGTGTTCTTAGCAATATAAAAGTTTTTCACTTTTGAATGAGACATCGAACCAAACAAATCCACCCGTGTATTTTCTTCACAAAATTTGCCAGACTGTAATTGGCAATCGCAGATGGGTTCTTTTTACGCAAAATTAAAGCCCTTTTGCAGAGAGTTGCAGACACCCAAACTCAAAATGAAGTAGTTTTCACGTTGATAATTTGTCAGGAGAAACAAATACAGGGGAACGTCGCTATAACGAACATTGAGGGATCCACAGAAATTGTTCGTAATAGCGATCATTCCATATAGCGATTTTAAGCTGCTGGTGCTCCGGTACTCATTTTTCACAGCTTCACCCAGCATGCCCTGGTAGTTACTAAAAGACGACTTTGAACATGTGCCAACTATTGACTTGTGTAATTGCACAGTTTTTGAGCTTACTACCTACAGCAATGGGTGGCTTTCCCTTCTATTCCTTGGGGAAATAACAGCCACTTGTCACTCTTCTGTTGACATTTTTCAACAACAATGTTTGGTACATTTTGTACACAAAAATCAGGAGCCAAGCATGATTTTCAGTAAAGCCGAATGTTCGGTATAGCGGTGTTTGGTATAGCGGCGTTCCACTGTACATATTTTCCACTGTAACCAATTTGAACACATGGTTGCTAAATTTTGATATTCTTTATAGGATTAATTACCTGTGGATCAAGTCTTCCCACTCGTTGATAAAACGGTTCGTCCACAGCCACCTCAACTTTACACTGCTCTCCCTCCCCCGGCGCCTGGAATGCCAGCACGCTCTCATCCAGCAGAGCGGTCCGGCCAATCGCAACCTCCAATGGGCGGTTGACGAGCACCAGCTGGCCAATCACGGCGGCCGTTAGATGGAGAATTATGAGAAGCGTCGGTAGGACGGTTCGTGGGAAGGCGGCCATGTTGGATGTCCCAGCTTCACACTAGCTTGGTGATTGGACTCCAACTGCAGGCGACGCGAGCTGATTGGCTAAGACATGTCAGTGACCAAGCAGAACCTGAGGGTTTGAAAAAGAAATCATCAAAAAAGGATATTTACCAACTTTATTCCTTTTTGGTGGGGGGGGGGGCCGGGTTTGGGGGCAAAAGAAAGGTGTAACTTTACAATGGAACCCTGATTATCCAATGGACATACATGTACATGCAATCAAACCACCGAATTCATACCGAATTCTTTTGCAAATTCTCCAAACTGTACCTTTCAAGATGTAAAAAGGTGTTGGATACAATTTTGGGTCATGCTGAAGTTTAAACTGTTAAACAGTTTTTTTCTCTTCGGAAAATTTTGTTACAAAAAAATATGAATATATTTTTGTGGCATATCATGACATTGTGCAAACTATAGGCCCTACTGATGATGTTGTCACCACACATACAACTTAGACTTCAGCATCACCGCAAATTTTGTAAAACTGCCTTTAAACTAACCAGGCAAATCCAGGAGTTTTATTCAGACTTGCAACTCGTTACAAAACTCTCTATAAACGCCGCACACAGCGCGTCACATTTCATAGCTTTTGCACCTTTTAAAGCCTTGATGTCAGATATCAGCGCTTTTGTGTTTACAGGGCCAGAACTGTCACGCTGCGCTTAACAACTTCGGCAAAAGAACCTTGAAAGCCAGAGATTATCCATTCAGACTTCATCCGGATGAAAAAAAAAAACACTTGCTGACTGAATGGCTTTCATAGTTCCTGTAAATAATCGAACAGAATAATGGAAAACTGGTTTTGTGTTTTTTATTACGCCCCGTACATCTTTAGGAATCAAATGCGCTCTTCTTTCATTGGTCATATTTAACAATTGTTGACTGCTGTGATGTGGAATATGACCTTTTTAACACCCGAGGGGAGCAAGCGCCATTGCCCCCAAGGGAGTTAAAAACAGCATTTGTTGATGCGCTGGAGACGGTGTCATGCCTTGTTTTGCATGATCTGAAAGTTTGGTTTAATTCCACTGGTAGGCCTACACAACAGAGTTATTTAAGATCAAAAGTAGGACATGTTTTTCTTGACACTTATATACATTGTACCTTTTAGCAATGTTTAGTAAAAATAGTAAATGCAGTGCGACTTGCTCTTGGCCAATCAAGATACAGAATCTGTGGAAGAGCTGATATCAAAAAAACGTTCACACCATGTGGGCCGTGCCGGTGCCAGACTCTACAATGGGGGGGGGGGGGGGGGGGGAGGCAAGTGAGGGGCAAAGAAAGAATTTGGGGGCAACATAGAAAAATTATGGGGGGGGGCCTTCATTTGACGCTTGGAGGGTCTGTTCAAAACAGGGTTTCCAGACTTCATCCAATGTAGTAAAATATTGACTTGGAGTCACTCCCTTTTTTTACCTTAATTTTTTTCTCTATTTTGTCTTGTTTTCTTCTTTGGGGGCAAAGGGGGCAAGAAAGACAACTCCCCCCCTAGCGCCGCCCTAGCGCCACCACTGAATGTGGTCCTACAGATAAATCTTTGCCAAAAGGTCGTGATGCTAGCCACATTAGCAACGCTGCAATGGTAGGAAATAGCAATCTGGAACCAGACAGCGGGTTTCATCCAATAACCACAAAAGGAAACTGACAAGGTTGAATTCATGCTCTGGGAATTGCTCATCATAAAATTGATTGAAATAGATGTCAGGTGCAACAGGGACAGGGAAAAAAAGTGGACCACAAATTTATAGCATCACCCAAAGCGACCCCTTAAATGTATGTTTATCTGTTTTCTCAAAAAGAATCTCAGCCACGGAGCTGAAACTTGCACAAAAAATAGTTGCTATGCACCCTATTGAATATTTTGAGCAATTTTGCACAATAACCCAATGGTCCTACAGTATACCTTTAACAAGACACCATTATGCTGTAAAGTCAAGCTCTACTCTCCAGAGACTCCCAGCCCACGTGAAGGACTGTAATTCATTTAAGTTCAATGTCTCCCCATTCCGTTTATAACCCCCATCCCAACCCTCACACATCGACGTAACCTCAAAGGAACCTAGCACGTTCTCTGTAGCCTAGGGACGGCTGGGCTAATGAGACACATTTCCCCCCTGGCCTCCGGGCTTTCCTGTACGCATTACAGCCACTGATTAATCATACCCAAAAGCGGTTTTCTGGATGAGTCTAACATAATACCCCCCCCCCCCCACCCTATGGCTTTGGCCAGACAACCTATTTTTGGGGACTGACTTGTTTTATGCTAGACTTAGGTAACTCATTTTTCAGTGGCTGATCTAGTGGGATGAGGGAGGGGGGAATCATCTTCCTCCCCCCCGAAAGTGACCGAAATGTTCTCAAATAATGCCATTTTTCATTTGGGAGAGTCCTTCCATCCCCCCGGCACATCCCCCCCCCTACCCCCCCCCCCTCCCCCCCCCCCCGGCAGTAACCTCCCTGGGTCCACCCTTGTTTTTGGAATCAACGTTTTATTTTGTAGGCTATTGTCTCGCCTACATGTTTTGAAATCGACAAAGGGCCAACATAAGCAAAACTGGATACCATCTAACGCGGCCAGGCAAGGCATAAATGATAGGCTACTGTTAATACTGCAACAGTGTGTACACAGAATTTCTCTGTCTCACTGACTGAAGACCATAGGAAATCATTAGACTTTAAGTAAATTCATGTTGATATGAATTCAATGTAATATTTATATTCAACATGTTCTAGCGCGAGGACAAATTTCCAAGGCCCAATTGTTACAACACTGGATTTTGATAACTTTACAGCCGTTTCAAACTTTCACAAAGCTAGTTGAGTTCTCCTCTGGAATCCTTATGCCCCTTGTCGAATAGGTACCGGTACGTCCTCACATGTTGTCCCAACATCACCCTGAAAACATCCATCGAGCTAGAAACTGGTCTGAGCGGTCCATGAAAGTGAATGAATGGAAAAGTGTGTGCGAAGCCAATTTCAGATCACACCTCCTCTTCACATGCATAAAATGAGCCATTTTATCAACAACAACCCCCTCTCTCCCCACCCCCCCCCCCCCTACCCCCAAACTTAAAGTGGTCATATTTGGGAGAAAATGACACCTCAGGAATTCTAGTGTGAAATCCTACAGTAATAAACTATCCCCCTTAAAAAAAATAATTCAATTTCCACCATGTATTTTTTAAAAGATCGACACCTTCACGCCTTCACAAACCATCATCTCTATTAAACAACGCTTACGACCAAGGTTTACACAACTTCAAAAGAAATCCTACCACTAGCTCTTTCTGTCTGAAGCTGTAAATTGCCTTCGACTCAAAAGGAGGAGGGAAAACGACTATTAAAACCTGGAGAAGGGGGAAGATACAATAATTTTTGCTCGTTAAATCGCAAAATAGCACTTCAAATTGCCACTTCAAGGTTCACGCCAAGCATTCCTCAAATGAATGGGGGTGTGCAGTCTGCTGGGTTGTTTGTCGCCTACAGTTGAATGATGTGTTACCTAGGGGCAGTAGGGGCTATTACCTGTAATAACCGTCTGGGTGATTGTGCCGTCAACCATGCGCGTAATTGGTCAATGGGCCTTAGAATTCCTTATTGGGGGCCAATCACAGGAGGCTTTCGCTTCGAGGTCAGGAGTTGTACCGCAGAGTCAACAGTTATGCCGTTCAAGTGAACACAGTGAATACACTAACTACAGTACATCAGTTTTGAGTTATTTTATTTAGGATATGTATATATTGATGTTGTAGTCAGGTCCTAACAGCGTGGAGTTAAATACACTTAGTTCCATGCTCACAGATGGAGAATTTAGACATAATTTAAACTTCTCCAACGAGATAAACTAGTAAAACAATCAGTTGGTAGAACAGACTGTTTTGTCATTTGTGCATTTCTTTTCGTTTGAAGTGCACAAAAATACTCAAAATCTAAAGATAGATGCTTTTAAAACAACTAACCTGATGAAGTTTTAGCTCTGTGAATGCTGTACATTTCAAGAAAATTAATTAAACAAAATATTCTGGATCTCGAGTTCGGTTCACAAGTTGCCACGTCATAGTTTGGATTGCCCCTCTTTGTGACACAATCCCAAAATCAGCATTTGTGACATGATTCTCAATCATTCAGCCGATAGTGAAACGATGCCACACACTGATCCGACGAATAATAGCAGCCTCACGCACATGTGCATCGTTTCAACGCTTGCACCCATTTACGGAATCACCCAATTACAAACCAACTACTAACGGAAATTTCCAAAAATGTGTCATTTGACACATCTTTGTAAATGACATTCTTTTATTCTATATTTTTTTCAGAATGACACAGGGAATAATTTCCCAGGAAGTTTAGTCCCCTTAATTACTATCTTTCAACCAAGTATGCTTATCAACAATAATTATGTCGGTTACTTTTTGGATAGCTGCAAATGATGGACTGTAGCTTTAAAGGTACACAGGATCATCTGCAGTTTGTACAATTTCTTTCCTCCACAGAATTGCTCAAAATCCTACCAAGGATGCATAACAACTAAACCGGTTGAAAATTTAGCTTAGTGACCCCTAGACATTTCAGAAAAACAGGCAAAACCTTCAACGTACCCGTCTGTATGCACGTGTGCACAATTGTTGGGGTCACGTAACTGGGTTGGGGTCACTATAGAGCAGGGTTACACATAACAAAACTGTGCCTATTGGCAAACTTTCTTAAACCACCTTCAATGATTGTTTTCTTCCCAATGATACCAACTCAGGCTGAATAATATCACAGGGTATTTCAGCCCTATTGTTACTTTAAATCAGCACCGGTAGACGTTTCCGGGTAATTTGCACATGTTTCTACTTCTAAAAATTTGTTTACATGCCCGTTAAAGGGAAAATACAACATTTGCAAACATCGAAAAATAAAACTACCAAGTTGTTACGAAATACCTTACTAGGATGTTGGTAAATGACATGCTTAAGCATCCTGTAACATTATGGCACCTGGTGTGAAGCCATTTTCAAGAAAATGGTATATTTGTATACATTTCCAACGCTGGTCGGCCGACCACCGTTGGAAAAAACCTAACTATTTTTAAATTACTGCTCCAAATTTACCATTTCTTTTAAGTCTAAATTTTGTTTTGCTAGCTATTGGTTCCATGTTCATGAACGGGTGCAGGCCAGCTAGACTGGTTCCCTTACCTTACAATTTTCCGGTATTTTTGATCCATTTCATCTTTAGTGGAGTCAGGGAACCAGACTACTTGAATAAATTTGTTTTTCTTGGTTTTTCCAGCATTTTCGAACACATGTCAGTGCAACAATATTTGATCTATTATACTAACCCCCCAAATAGTTCATTTCTGAAAATGACAGCAAAAGACAATGATGTACATTCCCTTTAATACAGAAAGAGAAAATTACACATAAAAACTGCTTCTACAGGATAAATCAGCACAATCAGTTTCTTAAAGGTACATAGGATCATTTGCTCCATTTTCTTTCTCTTTTTGATTTATTGGAACTTTTTTTCAACAAAATTGCTCAAAATCTTGGTTAAGATCCATAACATACTAATTAACAAACCTGTTGAGGTTTTAGTTCAGTGGTTACTAGGGCTGTTCCTTTTCGAATAATTTAGTATTCGATTACTCAAAAGGTCTCTCTGTATTTGACTGAAAAATGGATATTCGAAACTGCCAGCTGCAAGCTAATTTGCAAGTGACTTGCTATAGGGGATTTAAAGTTGAAAAACATCTGGTACACTGACTTGCCAGGGGCGGTTCTAGGGGGGGGGGGAGGGGCTGAGGGGGCTCTAGCCAAAAATCAGCCCCAAAATTTTGTCTAGCCCCCCCCCCCAAAAAAAAAAATCCATAAAAAAAAATGCAATAGCAAAATGTAAGAATTTGACATACATGGGAACGGTCTCCCCCTGAATGAGAAGGGTGCATTTGTACACTTTTAGTTAATATAGTGTGCCTGATTGTAGGATTTTATCAGCGCTCCCCATTGACAATATTGGCACGGGACACCAGACCATGCCGGAGCTGGGGTTGCTAGCATAAGGCTTGCCCCGAATCACGTGATATAGTAACACTAACAGTCTCTTTGGTCAGGAGAATGCAAACTTAAAACGTGCAAAGCATTGGATTAAGTCAGCGTTCCAGATTTTTATTCAAATTTAACCTACAAATGGGATTGTGTGCTGCGACACTATAGGTTGCACGAAGAGTATTGCCAATTAAAATTTGTGTGCGACAATTGATAAGGCCAAAAAAAAAAGTCTCCGGTTTCTGGTATGCGTACGCGTCGCCATAGCCATGCACGTCGGCAAAATGAAAGAAAAAAAATTTCAATGTAAGATGATGTCTAAAAACTGCCAAACTCACTGGTTTGACTGGAATCCTGCTGCTGCACAATTTTAACATGTTTTAAGATGGGGTTACGATCAAGTGTAAGCTTTATATGGCCTCTCTGGACTACCACACATTTTGCACTAAATTAGTCAGGCACCATTTGCAGTTATCAGCCGACATTTGAAGAAGAAAAAAGTAAAAAAAAAAAACCCCAAAAAAACGCGTCGCCACACCACTTTTGGGGCAAGCTCCATACCAGAAACCAGAGACTTTTTTGGGGGGCCTAAGGGTTGCATGAGTGTTTTGCAGTCAGTATTTTATAAGGATGTGAACGATGAACCGTCGTTGACCTAAAAAGGTTTACTGTTGACAAAAAAGTTGCACCTGACAATAAAGCGTCGGACCTATGAGGCATCGGACTTATGATACGGCCCCAAATTTCACACAATAATAATCAATCCAGTTCACTCGGCTTCGCCTCGTGAAATGGAAAAGTCCAGATTTTACCTTGCGATAATATTCCTCCCATTCCACGCTGAGGCACTCAATATTTGTATAATAGCCTTTATAACACCTCACCCACAGATTCTGTGTCTTGATTGGCCGAGAGCGAGTCACATGTTACTTTCTAATTTTGCTATCTTTCTGTGCACGGCCAAAAGTACTATACCCGTAGCAACCAAAGTACTATACCATTAGCAACCAAAGTACTATTTCCATGGCGCGGTATTTGTGTGCAAATGGATGCTGGTGTGCGCGTTGCGCGTAGCGCGTATTGTTCCAAAGAGAGCGCGCCGCAGACTTGGGTTCAAACATTTCGTAAAGGGGTAGTTTGGAAGAGAGAAATACATTTTCCACCAATTTTGTATTGACATTGAAGTTTATTTCAACTGTGTTCGGATTTGAATAATTTAAAATATTAAAACCAAGCAGAATCTGTGGGTGAAGTGTTATAAAACAAATATTGAATGCTTTATCTCTCGGTGATCCATGGACCATTCTATTTTCCCTCGGCTTCGCCTCGGGAAAATAGAATGTCCATGGATCACCTCGGGAGGCTAGTTTTAGTACACCACTCGAAGCATTCAATATTTGTATAAATAGCGCCGCGTAGCTAGCGGCGCTATGCGCTGCAGCCACTGCAGGATCTTTGCTGACAATGCTTGACATTTGCCACTCACGCGTAACGACTACATGTACTGCGATTTTACACTAGCCTACAAACACTGACAAAAGTACAATCTAATGACACTTATCTCGTCTGCAGGAAAATTTACAGACAAGACGTGAACAATGAAGCTTTATGTCACCATTGGTCTTCCAAATAATTTGATTTCTTACCTCAATCTCAGTCACGTCAACGTCGGAAAATCTGCATCGACGGTGCCTCAACTCCCAACCTACACCTCTTGCAGGCACTGTATACAGTAAGTTCCGATATCGTCCGCGATGTACCATGGTACGGGACACAAAAAGTACAAACTTACTTTATTAGTATGGAGCGCAAATTCGTCCATAAAAAATTACTTGTGTTTTCCATGGTTTAATATACATTTGGTACACATTGTTGCTGCCCCGGGAATTTATTATCCAGGATCGGAACTTTCTTCCGAAAAGGAAAGGATTAATTCGAAGTTTATTATTATGTTTATTATTAATCGATTCACCTGGATTTCCATCCTTATTAATTACAAGCTGGTTTACCCGATCATAGATCGGGTAGGGCGTAGTGTTGGGGATGAAAATGTGGGGAGTTAAATGTAAATGGGGGATATAGTTGGGGAGACATGCAGTTAAAGAATAGCAATTTCTGTGGTGTGATGTGAGGCAATTTCTGATCACTAAAACCAATTTGAGCAAAAGATCATCTGTGAAAGTTTTGAGTTTTGAGTAATTGAATCAGCTACATGTATTCTGAGCAATAGAATCATTATTGTAGGCTACAGTATTTTTATTCGGGGAAGAAAAAGTGTGGAGGGGAGACCAAACAATGTCCCCCTTCAAAATGTGTGTGTGTGTGGGGGGGGGGGGGGGGGGGGTCCCCTGTCCCCCGTCGATTACGCACATGATAATTATGTACCATGGCAACTGTCTGTAAATGTTGCCGTTGGTCTGTTAAATTGGCTTTTTGTGAGGCAGTCGCATTTGGAAAATGTAGTGAAAAGGTCACTGTAGTACACAGGCGAAGGCTGGTTGTACAGTTTGACAATAAATGATAATGCAATAAAACGTGAAGGTGTCATTTAAAATGAAAATGTTGAGTGTTACCAAAAAATTACAAACGGTCTGAATCATGGAGGAAGGTCATAATTAAGTTTCAGCATTGGACTCTTCAACAAACGTAAACTTGAACTTCTTACAATTTGCGAGACCGTCTGCGATTCAACTTTTATTCAAGTTGGTTCAACCATCTATATATATAAGAGAGAGTTTAACTCGGCCTCCGAGACGATACAACAATGATTCTATTGCTCAAAATACATGTAGCTGATTCAATTAATCCAAAGTCATAACTTTAAAAGATGATCTTTTGCTGGTTTTAGTGGTCAGAAATTGCCTCAGAACACACCACAGAAATTGCTTTCCTATAACTGCATGTCTCCTTAACTATATCCCCATTTACATTTAACTCCCCAAATTTTCATCCCCAACACTACGCCCTACCCGATCTATGATCTGGTAAATCAGCTTGTCTATATATAAGAGCAAGTTTTACTCGGCCTCCGAGAAATGTTTGCTTCTGAAAGGATCCGAGACCGCGGCGATCCTTCGTTGACCCAAAACAGGCCCCCGAAATTATAACACGACACTGAATTATACGTGGCGGGCAGCGAACTCACAACGCTCAGCCTTGGTGGTGGAAGCATGGAGCTGTAAACACATTATTCACAGCACTCTATCACGTCACATGCTTGCGCTTCAAATTGCGAGCACCGTAGACCCAACCTCGTTTCCAGGGTGTGGAGCAGGCTGCAGTACGCGTTGCCATCGACAGTTTTGCATAGCCCGGAAATACTACGCAGTGTAGACTTTCGATTGGTCAGACTGCGGCAAGGCATACTTAATGTGTAGTCCTTCTGGGTATTCGTTGCACTCGGCGCAGGGGCGGCAAGCGAAGCATATGAAAGAATAGGGGCACTTGGTGGCCACGCACCATGGAGAAAAAATATTTTGCCAAGGTCACCCCATACAAACGTTTGGTGAACACTTTTGCCGAACGGCTGAGTAGAACACGTAAACGAAACCCCTATGTTGAAGCCGCTGACCTCGCACAGTCTAGACTCGCAGAAAAGCCAGCACGGGGGGCGGCCAGGCATTCAACGTGAAAGCGCATACGACGGCAAATTCCTGCGCAAAATGCAGTCACGAAAAATCGATGAAACGGATCGCCGGTCCGTACCGGAAAATTAGGACGACACGAAGCGTCCGACCCGGCGGAAGACACCCTCCGCATTTTTCCACGGACGTGGAGCGATTTTGGCGCCGCGGGAGCCCGCGGTCTCGGATCCTTTCAGGAGCAAACATCGTCTCGGGGGCGAGTAAACTTCTCTCTTATATATATAGATTCAATGGCGCACGTGGGGCCAGTCTATAGGGCTAGCTCAATGACGGCCATTTCTGTAGGAGAAGTCCACTTGCGTATTTTACGCATCTAGCCCGCATTGCGCAGTGTTGAAAAGGTTCCAAACACACGCGCTTGTTGCTCGAAATGTGTTCGAAATACGACACAGCTGATGCGCGTTATGCAAGTTGACGCTCAAAATGCTGATGCACATGGATGGTCTGTAGGAAATGACGTCATTTGAACGAGACCTATATTCTCCCATGATTATATCAATGTTCATACGGGGTCACTTAATTGGATCACCAGGAAGAGGCAGGGAGGGGGCGGGGACTCATTTTCTGGAGGGGGAAACTTCATGAGTTTTTAACGATAAGCTCAATATTTTACCCGAAAATATCTGAGCTGGGCCACAAGGGGAAGCCGGGGGTGGGTGGGGTGGGATGGGCTTGCAATACAACCCACCTCCCTCAACAACAACACAACACCCCCCCCCCCCCCTTGCCGGTCATGACATTGATCATATTCAGGGGTTAAGTTTACTTTTTTCTAAATCAATGTTTAATTTTGTCTTTCATGGCTGTCCATACCAATTTTGTGGACCGTGGGATTCAATGAGACCGGATAAAGATGTTACCCGAAATACAACCGCGGCTGGTAATGGCCTTTTGTTTGCCCAAATCACGGGAAGTTGCGGTCGGGCGCTTATGGTCCGCTAGTCTTTTATGAATGCCCGCTAAAATCCTTCGGCAAAGTAAACAGACCGTTGTCCTTGTTTGAGCAACAAATTGGGTTGTTTATTTTGACTGGAGGATGCATGATGGAACTATCAACACAACAGTGATGGCATTTGGTCTACTACCTTAGGGGCGGGGTTGAGCAATTTCTTGGGGGGGGGGAGGTTGCAGGTTGTTCTCCAACTTTGTATCTTCCCCACTACAGAGAAGCCCCCCCCCCCCCCAACACACACAAACAAACAATGTGGTTTTACTATACAACTGAATAACCTTTTTCCCTCATTATTTTGTTCCTATTTCGGGGAAATGTTTCCCAAACATATCCAAAAGGTTGCACCGTACACACAAAACTGAGGACTATAGCTTGGACTGAGTATCTGTTCCTTGCTTTGTGCTATCACAGTTTAACCATTGTTCCAAGCCCTCAGACGTTCTTAAAAGCCAAATTCAAGGGGACAGAGTCGGGTTGGCGTAGCAGTTCTTTCCTCAACTTCCACTGCTGTGCAGGACCAGGGTTCGATTCCCGCCTGGGCCAATATGTGGATTGAGTTTTCAGTCCCTACCAGATTCTGTGGGTTTTCCCAAGAATATTCTTCTGGGGTTTTCCTCCCACGTCTAAAACTGTAATTTCTTCTCATTGTCTTCCCTCCATAGAATTCTTCAGGCTTGCAAGCTACAGTGCCCAGGCCACTTTTGAGGAATCCTTGGTTTCAAAACCAGAAATAATTAATAAACAAAATACTTTTTTAAAGCCTTGCGAATAAATACAATATTGACAACACAATAATTATTGCTGAAAACATTTATCAATCTTTTATTTTCATAATTTGAAAATTAAATATATCACTTTGCCTTTACTTCAAGTGAGTTGTACAATTGGGTGCTGTACTTAGGCTACATTATATTTGCACAACCCGACTGCCCTATCCAAAGAGGCTATAACGGTGACGGCTTATTTCCATTTTCTTCACAATTTTGTGTTTGTGTGTGTGAGAAAGAGATCAGCCATTACCAGCACAATGGAAAGGGCAGTGGGTTTGGCACAAAGGCTATGGAGCTAACATTCAGAAACTATGCTAGGGCTGTGCATTTCCGAATAGTTTAGTATTCGATTATTCCGGCTTGATTGATCGAATATTAAAATATTCGATTTTTAAAACGGACAGATCAATTCAAACTTAGCATAAACTGGCTGCCGATCCAGATTTGCGTGCACCTGCATTCTGTCGAAAATATTAAAAATTTAAAAGTACAGGTAGCAGAAAGGCTGATGTTTGCCCGATTTTAAAGAAATTTGAGCTCATATTCCTCACGGAAGCTCTGAAATCATGCCCGAAAGTGGTTTTTAAACAAAAGTGTGGCATTTGACAAACAGTAGAACCAAGAAATGTGTCTTTTATCATGTCCTCGAGCCGCTCACGTCTTTTTGAATATTTGAATTGAAAAAAAAAAGTCATACGGATATTCAGATGATGATCGAATACTTGAGTATTCGGATATGCGGCACAGCCCTAAGATATATGCCCTATATTTTATGCTACTTCTGGACTTTTGGAGCCGTTTGAAATTTAACAGCTGAATGAAAAGTGTTTTCAGAGAAAATGTCACCAATAAGTCAAGTTAGGTACAGAGTAAATTTACTCTTCTTTTTTTGATAGCTCAATATAAAAAAAACCCAATATTTTCTAATTTCAGAAATTAACCAAAAATTCTATAATTAAGTACGCTGCAGTGAGGATTTGTGATTTATTATTTGTGTGTACTTGAATTTTTGTGTTTTAACATGAACATTATTTTGTGAAAAAAATTGACCTTGCGCTTTGAACAACCACGAACCCATAGACAATGGAAAAAGTGAAACAAAAATGCTAAAACATAATCTTAACATAACACAGAGTATTTATAATTACAGTAACAGGGATAGAATACATATATGGTGATGTTGAAGTCGTGTCCATCACAAGTCCATCACAAGTCCAGTCACAAGTGTTTTCACAAGTCCAGTCACAAGTAAAGAGGATGCACAATGACAAAGGAATGCTTTTTGGTCACAGATGGTCTGAATATCTTGTGACTTCAGGCTGGATTACTTGTAAGGACTTGTGAGGACCTGTGATGGACTTGTGATAGACTCGGGAGGATTTGTGATGGACTTGTGAGGACATGTGATGGACTGGAGAGGACTTGTGATGAACTTGTGATGAACTTGTGAGGACTTGTGAGGGACTTGTGATACTTGTAAGGATTTGTGATGGACTTGTGAGGACTTGTGAGGACTTGTGATACTCGTGAGGATTTCTGATTGACTTGTGAGGACTTGTTAAAGACTTGTGAGAAGTTGTGATTGACTTGTGAGGACTTGTTATATAGACTTGTGAGGAGTTGTGATTGACCTGTCAGGACTTGTGAGGACTGGTGACAGACTTGTGAAGACTTGTGAAGAGCTTGCGAGGACTTGTGATGGACTGGTGAGGACATGTGATGGACTTTTGAGGATTTGTGAGGACTTGTGATGAACTTGTGAGGACTTGTGATGGACTGGTGAGGACTGGTGAGGACTTGTGAGGACATGTGATGGACTTGTGAGGACCTGTGAGGACTTGTGATGAACTTGTGAGGACTATGGGGGAATTGTGAAGACTTTTGATGGACTTGTGAAGACTTGTGATGGACTTGTGAGGACTCGACTGCAACACTGATACAAAGTTATATAAAATTGGAGTTTCAAGGTATTCGAAAAGTTGACTATTTCTGTGAAAGCCTAAAAACCTGCAAATCTAATTTGGGGTCCTGTTCTAAGAAAAAAAATTGTTAATTCAGATTAAAAATGTCTGGTGGGTTGAACTCGTTTAATACCTGTCTCAATACTGCCATCGACATTACCAATTTAGTTAATTTACACAGAGGAATTTTATGCATGAATGAATTGAAGTAACTTTACCGTAAAACTGAATAGACCAACTTTAGAATGAAAGTTGCGGTTGTTTTCAAACGCCGAAAAGCAGGAGTTATCATTTAGGAACACTTAGGATGAATAAAAAATTTCTCTCAAAAATGTATCTTGTTGAGTATATACACAGAAAAAACGGTGCTGTGGCCACTTGCCCTATGTCACAGCCTTTCTTAAATTCTCTTGTTGGCTCAAATATAAGCTGAATATTATGTACACTTTTCAGAACAAGTACATCTGGTCATGGGAGAAGATTGCATAATTTTTTTTTCAAATAATACATAACTGACAACATTTGTCAAACAAAAAAATAGTATCACAGTTTCATGGGATTTTTGTTTTAATTACATATATGACAAAGATACTTTTGACAGTGAATTGCAGATTTTCACGGAAAACTGGTCGAGAAATGAATTCTTTATGAACAATAGGCAGGACAAATAGAACTTTTTAAAAACTTAAGTTTGACAAATTTCAAAAGGTGTCAAGTTTAAATTTGTACAATTGCATGATTTGTGGCCTCGTTTATTTGTCTGTGCAGTTGTCGTAACGACCAGATGTTATCCTATATTTACTGTGACTTAAATTACTCTAGCACGGTGATTGGTACTTTAATGCGAACAACGCATGCAGTGTGTGTCTCTATCAGAACAATATCATTTGGAAAAACTAAATTACCATAGAATGCTCACCACTTCTTCACTCTTGAATAATAGTGTGATTAAATGTTTAAGGCTGTGAACGTGACAGATCGTTAGACTACAAGGCAGCAAAATTTACCCATGATTTCAGTCCTTCGTAAAGATAAAATTGTGCACTCAGGACACTCAAAATGGCCATAAGTAGTGGTGTGGATTTACGGGTAGTACGGGTACCGGGTACCCTATTGAGGTAAAGCATGGACACCCGGGTACCAGCCATAAAAGAAACCCAAACAAAAATTCGAATCCTGGAAGTTGTCTGAAAAGCTTTATACTTTCGTGAGCGTCATCTGTCGGGCTTTAAAATGCACATAAATGTGAAATCTTTTTCGGTTTTTCCATGTAGCCAGGTTTTCATTTTGAAAATTCCCCGCAAATGGCTTTCCAAACCTGTCTTTTTCATTGTCTGAGAAGTTGCTAAGTAATTTGTAAAGTTGGTGTCCGGTACCCGATTCCATAATCTGGAACCGGTTCCTGACATCAGCGGTCGGGGAACCGGGTACCCGGTTCCGATGCACACCCCTCAGTCAGATTTTTTTCGAAAGAGTTGCTCTGCTTAGCCATTGTTCAAACAGGTCTTTATTAAGGGGGTGGTTTGTATACAATTGAAAGGTTTGGAAAGTTTGGTGGCCATCAGCTGAAAATTAAAATTGACATTGAAAATCATGTTCCTCTTTCATTCCTGAACAGTTCTAACTTAGTGGGGGGAAAAATGAGGAACTTTTAAAAATTAAAGAATTTTGAAATTTTCCAAGAATGAAACATTGCTGTTAGTTTGAGTCTTTTAACCCTGGCAAAAATTCTCACTAATAGTGTCAACCATGGGCTTATGTGTGGTTTTCACGACTCAGCACGGATGCAAAATTTTAAATTCAACTTCAATTCCCAACCAACTTTATGTAAATTGTAACAGCCTTTTGTTTTCTGCATACAAATGACAATTTATGCAGTCTTCAAACACACACTAGTGAATTCCAACTTTACATCAGTGTGTGACACTTACATTTGGCAGGTCAAAATTTCAGAGGCGGACATTTTGTTGTTGTTGCATCCAATCAAAAGAATAACTTTTTAACAGGTTACCTTTCTCTCAAAAAAGATTTTTTTTTCTGGATCAAAACCAACTCCAGTTTGTTGCCGAGATACTGACTGAATGTTTCAGTTTATCAAGGTTTTCACACGACACACTCTGGTGACTGCCACTTATAATCAAAAGAGGGCGCCTTTCATGTAGGCGTGCGACGTCAGCTTTCACAAAATTAACTACAATCACCATTTACAACAATCATCGTTAAATTACTCATCCAACAAAATTATTGCACATTGTTTAAGAACTTTTAAATTAGTTGCACGATTTTTTTTTCCCACTACAACATATCTCCAGTTTTGTTTTTTGGTCTTCTTTCATCAACTAAGACAATTTTTTTTTGCATAAACGCCATAACAGCCATGTTCATATTTACAAATATCAGCAATGCGATAATCCTGTGGGTTTTTTTACTAGAGAAAAATAGGGCAACAAGAAAGAACCCCAAAACGCCCAAAACAAACAAGTATCTAGCCAAATTGTTTTTGTAAACCTTTACGAAAACTACAGTGCTGAAAAAAAAGGAAATTTAAGTTAATTTAAGTCTCATTGATTCCTTCGCTTAAAAAATAAATCTGACTACTTTTTACAACATTTTTTTCAATGTAATAATATAACTTCTCAATAATCTCTTTCCCGTTTTTAATTACTTTTTTTCTCATTACGGCAGCACTATTCTATAAGTAAATTTGTGGCATTGATTTCGTAAAATTTGAAAACAGTTTATAAAATTTTGTCACGTGTGCTGACACAACTTACTTAGGATGTAAGTTTAAGGATCCGATCAGTTTTTTTTTTATACAACGTCCAATTGCAGCTTTATGTAAATATTGTGCAACAATCATGCTATAAATTACAAAGGTAAAAAAACAACCGCTTTTCAAATTGCTTTTCCTTTACATGTCTTCACTCAGTCCCGGGCAACTCAATCAGTTTCGAGTCCTTCAGTTGAGCAAAAATTTAGTGTGGCATTCTCTTAAACTGCATAGCCCCACGCAAACAAAAAATTGAAATAAAAAAATTTAAAAAAAACATGCCTGAAAGGTAGGGCAGATCATATGTGCATTTTTTGTGTTTGAAGCAATACATGTGCTCAAATTCTAAAGACAGGTGTTTAACAACTAACCTGATGAACTTTTAGCCCAGTGAATGCTGTGTATTCCGAGAAAACAATATTATAGGATCTCGATTTCAATTCAAAAGTTGCAAAATCATGTTTTGAATTGCGCCCAAAATCAGCATCTGGGACACATTCTCATTCAGCTGATTGCAGCTACGTGATGTCACGCAACCGGGGAATAATAGCAACTGCGCCCTGTGTGCGTGCGTTGTGTCAACGCTTGTGCGCACCCATTCATGGATTCGCCAAGTTACAAACCAACTACTAACGGAAATTTCCAAAAGTTGACGCATCTTTGGAAATGGCCTTTTTCCAGAAAGCCAGAAAGAATCATTTCACTGGGAGTTAAGTGCCATTACTACCTTTAAACCAAGCAAGATTTTCAACGATAATTTGGTCAGTTACTTTTTGGATAGCTGCAAATGATCTACTCTACCTTTGACTACAACATAGGACGAGAGTCCCATGTACTGGATCAGTGTATCTGAAAGCAAGAAACTTATCACGTAAGAAAAAGGTGGCTGGTATTAAACAAAAAAATCTACCTGCAAGATTTCAGAGTTTTAAGTCTATCTTACAACTTAACATAGAGTTTTTAATTGTGCACATGTAATTTGCATAACAAATGATTCTAGTTCTTTTCATCTCTACAAACCAACAATTTGCAGCAAAACAAAATTGATAAGTACTATAAATTAAATGCCGGCTGTCCAATCAGCTTTCAGGCCTTCAAGCATCATGCATTTTGGATGGCAACTGTTGGCCAAAATTAAAACCTGGAAGTGCAGGCTATCAACTGGCAGTCCAAAAGTCAACGGCCTAAGTAAGATTTGTAGGCCCGATTTCTTGACGCTGCTAAGCACACAATTTTCTGCTAAGTGAGCCTTTGGTCTTTTTTCACGGAGACCGTAAGCAGTAAGCACAGCAAGAGGCATGCTAACCTCACGAGAAAAATTTGCTAAAAAATAAATCCCGTTACAATAGAAATCTCTGTGGCGCACGCAAACTCATGAATATTCACGCTGTGAAATAGTACTTAAAGGGCCCATGACATGTAATTTTTTTTAATGCAATCCTTGAAAATGCACATTATTTGGGTCCCCTTTTAACTAATTTCCAATTTTCGTTATGCCATTTTTTTTTAGGGTACTTTGGTTCAATTTTTGGTTTTTATGCTAATACAAATTTCCATATTCATGAGCAAAAGTGGGATGTCATTTCAGGCAGAAATCTCAATGTTAAAGCTATTTCAGGACCTACCGGGTAAAGTTGCCAGAATTTTGGATTTTTTGCTGTCGTAAAGTTTTCTTTTCTTTCGTGACTGGTTATCGTGTCAGTACATTCGTGTCAGTACATGGCAGTAACCCAATGAGCAAACTTTTCTCACAACTGTTTTCAATGAGCACATTTTTTGGTTCACAATTTGAACAGAAAACCCCTAAACTGAACGGTGTCTTCCTGAAATAACATCACAGCAACAACGCCCTCAGTTGTCCGGAAAAGCATGGAAACTATTTTAATGCTTTAAAGTAGTGCACTTTTCAATAAAATTAACCAAAAAGGGATGTCAAATGGTTTTCATATATTTAAGAGGAGTAGAAAGTTGCACAAAATGTGTTCCTCAGAAAAATCAATCTCATGGCCTTTTTAAGGAAAGCAGAAATAAAATTGGCCCTTGCTGGCTACAATTTTGAGGCCGTGGCTCAATTTCAGGCGAGGTCACCAATAAGCAAAGAAAATAGTTGCTTAGCAAAAACAGGTTACCAACCAAAATGCCATTTGATTTATACAGCTTGTAACTGGTTCCCGGCTGATTTTGCCTTAACACAAAAATATGCTAAGCACCATTTTCTACTTAGCAGTTATACAAAATCGGCTCCCGGTTACCAGTTAACAACACCTTGCCATTCAAGCAGAGGCCAGAAAGCTGGGCTACCAGTCTCACCTATCCTAACCCAGCTGGTGCTAGAAAGATGTACACCAAAATTGTATAAATTTGTAAACAATGAAATCCTGATTATTGGCAGACGACGGACAAAACGTTACTCGTTTCTTCCAGCTGTTTGCCTGCCTCCACAACTCCCTGGATCTCTTTGGCTTCCTCAAACAACTGCAAACACAAAGTTTTAAAAAATGGTTGGAATTATTCTTGAGAAATCACAAATAAATATAGGTTTTCCAGGCCAATTTCCCAAAATGTTCATTCACTTCTGAAAATCGGTCATTCATTTTCGTCTGAATTTGAGAATCGCTCTGAATACGCATTTCATTTTTGCTACCAGAGCATTCGATTCCATTTCAGTTCAATGAATTAAGTGATTGAGCAGCACCTTTCATTTTTGCCCAACCATATTCGTTCACAAGACTTCTTTTTCGCTTTTATAGGGCGATTTCAAACATTCACCATTCTATTTCACTTTTAGTTTAATGCCATTGGCACCAGATACAATTAGGGGTTTCTTTTTTATTAACTGTCAATCAAATTAGCTGTACCTGAAATCAATTTAGAAAAGGTATGCTTGCGTAAATGAATGCACAGGTAATGTAATTGGCTATCTGTTTCTCAAAACCGAGTGCACGGACAATGAAAACGATTGAACTTTCGTTGAATTGAAATGGGATTAAAGACGTGCATTCAAATTCAGACAAAAAGGAACGACCGATTTTCAAATGGGAATGAACATTTCAGGAAAGTGGCCGGGAAAACCTATATTAAAGTTTTTGAGACTCGGCACATATCATCAAGTTGTTCACACTTAAGTGAATGCAAATGTGAGGAAAAAATTCTTGGAAAGATTCGCAGGAGTTGACATTTTTTGCAACGTTGGAAAATTTGCAGCATGAACATGGATGTCATGAAGTTGCGTTCAAAAATACACTTCAGCGCAGAGTATGAACCTTACTTATCTCAGGGCTAGAAGCTTGTTGTTGACAAACCGACAAGCTCAATCGGATCTCGGAAGCTGCGGGCCAACGAATGCGTGTTCATGCATGAGTCACGTGATTGTGCCATGTAATTTCTGGAAGGAGCAGTGTTTTTAGATTTAAAAAAAAATCAGGTTTTTGATCCCTTTCAAAAAAAAGTGCAGTGCGGACACGGCTATAGATGAAGCCAAATGCAAGAAACGAAGGTGAGATTCTTGAAAATATCAGTCTTACCAATGAGTATTTCAGATCTTGGAATAGCTCCTGAATGAAGCGTCGGGCCGACAGGCGATAGCTACAGTTGCTGAGAAGGTACGCCACGTCAGAATACAGGCAGACATTCTCAAATGTGGACGGGAATTTCTCTTTCAAGCTGATTATAAAAGAACATGTTTAATCAAATAATAACTGAAATGTTACACATAATAAGCCAAAGGGTTTGTAAGTATTTCAGTTGTACAAAAGCGAATGTTGAGCGGATTTGCACAAAAGCTTTGGCTTGAACTATACAGGGTGAGTAAAAAAAACGAAACTCAAATGTCGGGACCATTGATATAAAAGCCCAATTCATAAGCTTTCTTTTAGTCAAAGAATCCTTCAAATCACGCATGTACTTTTCAAGTTACAGAGTTTTAAACACAACCACTGTTTTAAAGTTCTGTCCATGGATCACAAAAAAGGTGTGCATTCTTTCATTAAAACAAAAACAATTCACACACATCCCTATGTGATTCCTTTTCGTTTTGCTGAAAGAACACTGAACTTTTTTGTGATCCGTGGACAGAACCTTAAAACGGTGGTTGTGTTTAAAATTCCGTAACTTAAAAAGTACATAAGTGATTTGAATGATTCTTGCTTTCATATCCTAGATTTTGAAAGTGCTACATGCAGAACTTCCCTAAAACAATGGTCCCGACAAATGGGTTTCGCTTTTTTTTACTCACCCTGTATATGCATGCCTTCAAATCAAAAGTAAAAACAAATTTCATTTCATTTCATTTCATTTATTAATTTCACAGGTAAAAATTCAAGTACAGACAATAAGAACAGTAAAGAAAACAAAAACATGCACATACAGTTAGGAGAGAGAACAAGAAAAAGAGAAAAAAAAAAGTAGCACCCCTGATGGATTTTAAAAATATAAACTAAATTACTATCGAGTTAATCTCCTGATGCCACAATTTAAGAAGAGACAATACAAAAGGACATTACAAATGGACATTATTAAAACATGGCTTACAGTATAAGAATATAGAACTATACAAGCAGTTAAAACTGTAAAAGCACAAATGGGCATTAAAAAATACAGATTCGGTAAAAGAGAGATTCGAGTGAATTATAATTTGAATATCATCTTAAAAATCTCATTCTTAATGCTTGAAGTCTCAACAGAGAACGATCACTTTCCCTCAACCTTGGTGGGAAGGTAACGGTGTTTGACTCGTGGACTTGCACGTGGGTTCAAACCCTGACAGGAAACATGGCGCTTGTGTTCTTGGGCAAGACAGTTTACTACAATTGCCTCTCTCCACCCAGGAGTATAAACGGTCACCTGTGAGGGGAGAGACCAGATTGCGCTGATGCTTGTGTTCTTGGGCAAGACACTTTATTACAATTGCCTCTCTCCACCCAGGAGTATAAACGGTCACCTGTGAGGGTAGAGACCAGATTGCGCTGATGCTTGTGTTCTTGGGCAAGACACTTTACTACAATTGCCTCTCCCCACCCAGGAGTATAAACGGTCACCTGTGAGGGTAGAGACCAGATTGCGCTGATGCTTGTGTTCTTGGGCAAGACACTTTACTACAATTGCCTCTCCCCACCCAGGAGTATAAACGGTCACCTGTGAGGGTAGAGACCAGATTGCGCTGATGCTTGTGTTCTTGGGCAAGACACTTTACTACAATTGCCTCTCCCCACCCAGGAGTATAAACGGTCACCTGTGAGGGTAGAGACCAGATTGCGCTGATGCTTGTGTTCTTGGGCAAGACACTTTACTACAATTGCCTCTCTCCACCCAGGAGTATAAACGGTCACCTGTGAGGGTAGAGACCAGATTGCGCTGATGCTTGTGTTCTTGGGCAAGACACTTTACTACAATTGCCTCTCTCCACCCAGGAGTATAAATGGGTACCTGTGAGGGTAGAGACTGCATTGTCTGGATCTCGAGCTGCTGCAGAAAAATGGTCTCATAGCCTGATGAACAGTGGTAATAATTGTGTCTGTGAAGCACTTTCAGACTTTGGTATAAAATGCTATACATGTATCATAAAATTATTATTATAATAACATGCACACGAGCGAGGCGCTACTTCTCTGATTTCCATCATTGGAATAATCTATTGGTTTAAAGATGAGTGCATTAGGCCCCCCAAAAAAAAGTCTCCGGTTTCTGGTATGCGCATGCGCGTCGCCGTAGCCATGCGCGTCAGCAAAATTAAAAAGTTTTTTTTCAATGTAAGATGATGTCTCAAAACGGCTTAACTCACTGGTTTGACTGGAATCCTGCTGCTGCACAATTTTAACCGGTTTTTAGATGGGGTTACGATTGAGTAAAAGCTTTATGTGGCCTCTCTGGGCTCCCATTTATTTGCACTAAATTTAGTCGGGCACCATTTGCAGACGGTGTTGTAATTTTGTAATTGTGCGTCTGGAAGCCAGACTGACGGAGCACTGGTCGTGTATCTGGAACCTGTAAACGCTTTTTAATTAGCTCAGTATACTTCTCAAGCCTTATGGCCTTACTGAGGTCACCTAAAGCTGCACTCTGAGGGATATTTTGAGAGTTTTAAGGGGATTGAAGCGTCATCTGCAACATCAGCCGACATTTGAAGAGAAAAAAAATTGGGTAAAAAAAATAAAATAATTTTTTTTTTTTAAAACACGCGTTGCCGCACCACTTTTGGGGCAAGCTCAATACCAGAAACCGGAGACTTTTTTTTTTGGCCTTAGACACATATTTTGTTTACCGCACTGTCATTCAATTTTCTTGTTTTTACCTCAACAGTCCTTGCTCTTGTGCCTTCATCCCAACAGAGCTACCTAAGTTGATGACGAGACGCAAGACCTCTTTCCGGATCATGGCGCGGCCCTTCGGCGTGTCCTGTCGCATGCGGCTGGATTGGTTGGAATCAGAGCTGCTGTGGCCGCTGCCGGTGCTAGTCGACGACATGTCGGCGCTGTTTGGCGTGTAGCGTCCGCTGGCCGCGCTGGAGCCGCGCAGGCGGGGTCGGGTTGGGGGCAGGTTGCTGTCGGCCTCGCTGATGGACCGCAGCCGGTCATCTTCTGTCAAACAAAGAAGGTCATCAAATACGGGCAGTTCCACAGATTTAGAAACCTCAATGCCAACATTTCCAATTGATCCCAATGAAAAACGTGTATATCAGTTTGAAGCTTATTATCTGCATTTTACCGTACTGTACCTGAATCCATCAAAATCCACACCCCTGTTTTGGAGGATTTCGGCGGATTCAGGATATCTCCATATTGAAAAAGTTGGGGGATTTTGATGGATTCAGGACATTAAGCCTAGCGGTACTGCAGGATTTTGATGGATTCATGATACCTCTATACTGAGCAGTTGGGGGACATTGATGGATTCAGGATCTCAACAGTTTAACTTCTTGGCCATACATGTATGTTTGGTGTGTAAGAAGATTCTGATGGACTCACTGGTGGATCTGATGGACTCAGGAACCCAACATTTTTTGCATAACAAAATTGGTGGATTTTGGCGGATTCAGGATACTTTCTAGTAAAATTGCTCAGAGGTTAGGTTTAAGCTGTGTTATGGTATGTGCTTCTCGCCATAAGTCGTAAACAACTCCTTATATGGAGATTGACGCGCGCCTGCAACGTACTGGGCGATGTGGTGCAGAATGCGGTGGTGCAGAACACGGCGGTGCCGGTGTAGTGTGAATTTAGAACTCTCGAAATACGGACTCATTGGTAGTATTGCGCATGCCTAAGTGAACATTGTGAACGTTCAACAAATGAAAGGGTAAAAGGGACCAGATTTCATAGTAGTCCAAAATTCATGTGACACCGGGAAAGTGTTTAAAACCAGCCAGCCGGTGTTTTATCATCCGTTTAAGACTGGCCACGTGACGGGCTCTCGACCAATTGTCTCAGGTATTTATGAATGAAATATAGTTTAATTCTGTTCCAATGTTTAACAGTTCGGGCATTGCTTGCAACTGAAAAGAATTAACTAATGGGTACACAAAAAATCAATTTGTCCGAGTGCTTCCAACACCAGGATGTTTTGAGCAGATTTGTACTACAGCAAAAAAGTTGGATGTATTTTTTTTTTATTAAATCATATTCATAAATACCTCAGACAGTTTAGCTATTCCTATTGGTCGAGAGCCCGTCATGTGGCCGGTCTTAAACGGATGATAGAGACATGGCTAGCTGGTCTTAAACACTTTTCCAGTGTCACATAAAATGTGGACTCCTAAAAATCCAGTGCCTCTTACCATTTCATTGGTTGAACGTTCACAATCCTCACGTAGGCGTGCGCAACACTACCAGCGAGTCAGAATTTTACAGTTCTAAATTCAAAACGCAACGCCCCAGGCGCGTTCTGCGCGACATCGCGCAGAACATGCTACGCGCGCGTCAATCTCCATAAAAGGTTGTTTACATCTTACTCGCCAGCTGAACACTCCATTATTTTGCAAGAGGGATGTTTCAAAAAGCATGAAATGAACTTGTTGAACAAAACCGGGATTTTTTGAACAAATTATTTGATTTTTTTTTACCGAAAAGATATTTATGAATGGGAATAAATGTGTGCTCGGTCGGTATTTATCACTCTGTTTAAGACCGCTTAGAGTCTGGGTGCTGATAATTACCCTCGCCTCCGGCTCGGGTAATTATCAGCACCCAGACTCTAAGCGGTCTTAAACAGAGTGATAAAAACCTCCGGAGCACACATTCATTCCCTTAGTAACTGATTGATGAATTTTAACTGTAAATATGCACACTGCTGAGCTGTACATCTGACACTGTGGAACTACACTACCCATAAATAAATAAAATTTAACAGTAAGCTGGTGGTAAATGCAATACCTTCTTCATCAGCTTCATAGGTGCTGCGCGCCCTCATTTTAGTGCACAGCAGGCAGTGTTCAGCCTGATGCTTGGTGTCCTCCGTGAATTCCACCTCGGCTCGCGCCGCGCCGCTCCCCTTGCGTCCCCGATAGTCGCTCTGCGTGTCGTAGCTAGCGTCTACGGGGGGCTCGGCGAAACGGGAGATATCCGAGGGCTCCATCGGATTGTCCGAGTCGCTGTCCGAGTCGGCCTGCCGGTGGCGTTCCTCGTGACGGAGCCGGCCGTCGGGGATCAGCGCTGAGGGGTCCAGGCAGGAGAACTCCTGGAAGCCCGAGGTGTTGGAGGAGGTACGGGACGGTGGGCGGCGTCCACCGCGGTACTGACTCTCATCAGTCTAAGGTCATAGAAGAAGAAAAAAAGACACAAAAGGTTTAAAGGGAATATACATCATTTGCTTTTGCTGTAATTTTCAGAAATGGATGGAATTGGGGGGTTGGAAATATATAGCAAATATAGTTACACTGACTTTTTTTGAGGTTTTGGGTTCGAAAATGCTATAAAAACCAAGAAAAACAATCATTTTCCTCTAGTCTGGTTCCCTGACTCCATATAAGAAGAAACAGAGCAATTTACATACATTGGGAAATTGTAAGGTCAGGGAACCAGTCTAGCTGGCTTGTACCCGTTCATAGGTGTGTAATCGATTGCAAACAAGTGCGATGGTCAATTGGGGCCAGTATTTGAAAAAAAGCCAAAAATACCACTTTTCTTGAAAATGACAGTATACCAGGTGCCATGATTTTACAGGATGCTTTACACTGTCATTCACTAACAGTCCAGCAAGGTATTTCCAAATGATTTGGTAGTTTTATTTTTTGATGTTTGCAAATGTTGTATTTTCCCTTTAATCAAGTCTCTTAGGGGTGAGATTCGAAAGAAAAAAACATTTGTGAAACAATCGGCGGGGGGTTGAAGATTGGCAAGGGCCCCAGAGCAATATAGGGTCTACGGTATAACGGTCTACGTCTGTATTTGCCTTAAGATACCCCTTACAACACCCAGTTCTTTTGTTCTAAACAAACTAACACCTCAACAGTAGTCTGTGGAATATCCCCTTGCACAGCAAGGGTCTATGATATGTGAGCAGATTTGGCAATTAATTATGCAAAACAAGTCTGCGTTCTTAATAATAATAATACTAATTTAATCATTTGGGAGGCTAATCATCCTTACTCGCAGCTGGTATGCTGAATTGCAAAGGACGCAGCTACAACATGGTCGGGCCGCTGACATGTAAAGGCGCCTATGGCTGCCGGCCACATCGACCCATATATGACCACAGAGCATAGCCTGAGATCGAAAATGTTTGATTTTTCCGGAGGGAGGAAAACCGGAGGGCCCGGAGAAAAACCCTCGTGGCACAGGAGAGAACCAACGCACAACTCTACTCACATGTGATCCGCGGCCAGGATTCGAACCGTGGTCACCTTGGTGAGAGGCGAGCGCTTTACGCACAAGCCACCCATGACCTCGAGATTCAGACCATTCAGTGGGCCCCTTCTATTGGGTCTTCCGTAACACTTACGGCCGGTTCATACTTCATGTGAATGCGAATACGATGCAAATTTGACGTCACAAAGCACAAAGAGTTGAAATGTGTTCAACTTTTGCAAATTCGTAGTGCGAAAACTTGGCCTGACGTCACAAATGAACTGGCCCTTAGTGCCCATTTCCGATCAAAATGACGTCACAGCCTCTAAAGACCACTCCGATTGGACAGCCGACCATCGTTGGAAAAAACTGATTTTTTTTCAATACCGCCCCCAGTTTACCAAATTTAGCTAGTCCACATTTTGTTAGCAATTGGTTACACATCCGTGAACGGGTGCAAGACAGCTAGTCCAGTTCCCTGACCTGACTATTTTCCATTGTCTATAAATTACTCCGTTTCGTCTGAAGTAGGGTCAGGGAACCAGACTGTAGACAAAAACAGCATTTTTTTCTCTTCATTTTTCCAGCATCTATGAACATAAAACTTGAAACAGGTCAGTGTGACAACGTTTGCTACAAAATACTAACCCCCATACTAAAATCTATTCATTTCTGAAAATTACAACGAAAACAAAATGTTGTATATTACCTTTAAAACTCATACAAATTGTATATTTAAGGCCAAAAAAAGTCTCCGGTTTCTGGTATGTCGGCTGATGACTGCAAATGGTGCCTGACTAAATTTAGTGCAAAATGTATGGGAGCCCAGAGTGGCCACACAAAGCTTATACCCGATCATATCCCCATCAAAAAACACGTTAAAATTGTACAGCAGCAGGATTCCAGTCAAACCAGTGAGTTTGGCGGTTTTGAGACATCATCTTACATTGAAAAAAAACTTTTTAATTTTGCTGACGCTCCTAACTACAGCGACGCACTCACATACCAGAAACCGGAGCCTTTTTTTTTTGGCCTAATATAAAAAACTCACATGAAATATGAGACTGACGTCGACCGGCAGGCACAGCCCGAGGTACTCTCCGCCATGTGACTGGGAGAGAGTCTGTGTGTTGGAGCGTGGCTTGGGCATCCCTAGTATGACGTCCAGTGAGTTGATGCTCACCGTCCCGCTATTGGCGGACAGACAGAGGGATAGACATTGAAAAACACTATCAGACAGTTCAATATTAGGTATAAACACCGCATACTCTATAAGTTATCCCGCAAGCGCAAGCGGAAGCGTGAGTGGAATACAGAATAATGTAGTGCGTCTGTGTTCAATATACCACAAGGCTGAAGCAGAGATGCCACAGGGTCTGCTTGAAAAAAACGGAACGGCTGCTTGAAAAAACCGGACTTTTTTGTGTGTGAAAAAGCCACTCCGTGTCCGACACAAAGTCCCCGTTGTCATCTTTATCTTGTAGCCAAGCCAAGTTCTGTTTATTTTTTAACTTTGCTTCTATGGCCTTTAAAGCTGTCGGTTCGTTCAATCACTTTGACTTTTTCCATATTCCTAATATTTATTCTGCCTACCCGAATTTCCAACATAATTTTCGACACGAAACATGCACAATTCCACAACACTGCTGTCGGTGTACATGCATGATCCTTGCACTACGCGATGCGCTCAACGAAAACATGGTTGGTACCCGCATTTTTTGTATTCACATATATCACTGCGATCGGAAACTACCGATAGCTGAAATGATAGACTTTATTTCCAGGCTGAATGCTACGTGTGCTTAGCACACAACACGCCCGCACGCGGTGAAGCACGCGCGAGGCGCCGTTGTATACTGCGTGCAATTAAGTACGTTGGCCGCTTGTATCGCATGCAGGCTCGGCAACAACATACACAAAGACTGTAAGACTACTTCAACGAACAACGTTGTGCCTTGATTGGCCGAGAGCTAGTCACATGTTACTTTCTATTTTTGCTATCTTTCAGTGCCGGCCAAAAGTACTATACCCATAGCAACCAAAGAACTATACCCGTAGCAACCAAAGTACTATACGCACTGTGTGCAAAAATGCATAGGGGTGTTTGTGTTGCCCGTTGCGCATTGCCCGTTGTGCGTATTGTATCCAAACGCGCGCTACAGAGCTGGGTTCAAACGTTTCGTGAAGGGGTAGTTACAAAAAGTGCAAGTTAATTCTGAACTAATTTCGTATTCAAATAGAAGTTAATTTTTATTACATTCAAATTAAATTAATCAGTTATCGCCTAAAATCAAGCATAATCTGTGGGAGAGGTGTTATAAAACAAATATTGACTGCTTTATCTCGTGGTGTAGTTAAACTATCCTCCTCGGTGATCCATGGAACATTCTATTTTCCCTCGGCTATGCTTCATGGATCACCTCGGGAGGCTAGTTTTACTACACCACTCAAAGCAGTCAATATTTGTATACTAGCTGACTCTATAGTGAGCAAAAATGCGAAACTGCGAAACATTAAATATTTCCTGTCTACAGTATTTGCACAGAAATTACTTACTCAACTAAGAGTCCTTTCTTCCTCTCCTGCACATGATAGGCCAGTTCATCATGGCTACCTATAGATGCCGGTCTCGGGGTATTTTGACTTGATGGGTCCCCCGACACCTGACGATGAATACGCAATGCCTTCAGGGCTGCATAGCCATGAGCGTCGCGACTGGTCGTGAACACGGCACTCGTTTCCAACACATTGGAATACGGCGTGTTGAAGCTGGAGGAGACGGTCTTGGACAGCCGCCTCATGAAGCTTGGAGTCCGGTTCAAATTGTGCTTCCGTCGCAGCGTGTCGGAAGAGTGGATCCCTTTCACGGTCTGGCTGCTGGTGATGGTGTTGACGCTGGAGTTGGAGGATTCCGGCGGCGGGCTGTTGGGGTTAGAGTGGAGGGAGCTGATTCCACTGGTCTGGGTGGTGTCTGTGGCAAAGCTCTCACTGCGACTCTTCGTCCCGAAGCTGCTGCGTCCGCTCTCATTGCTGTCGCAGCGCCGGTTGAACGTCCGCTCCCGCATGGAATGCGCCCGGAGCCTCTCCGGGGTGCTCTGCGACTGGAAGCGGGCCATGTTGGGGTTGGGGGAGGCCGAGCGGTGCGGCTTGGAGCTGGCGTCGCTGTTGCTGCGGAGCTTGGTCAGCCGTTGGCCGTTCTTCCGCTGGCCGTTACCGGGCTCCTCCATCGCGGGCATGGTGGCCACACGGCGCAGGATGCTGCTGCGCGGCAGGGCCCCCGTGTGCCCGATGGTTGCATATTTGGCGTATCTTGCATTGTCGTGGTTGGGCGTCCGCTGCGGCAGGTCGCTGTGGGAGCCCGACCGCGTCCGCACCACAATGTCCGCGCTGATGCCTCGAGTCCTCATCTCCACCTCACTGGAGCTCATGCGAGTCCTGTGCTCCACAGCCAACATTTTCGTGGGGCTGGATTTAGTCCGGTCCCTCCTCCCAATCCTCTGGACAGGAGGAGCCAGGGATGGTGACTTCTCGTCCGTGACATACTGCTGGTCCCCTTCCTCCTCCTCCTCCTCCTCCGAGAAACCCGGCTGTGGGCTGGCGCTCCGGTAAGGACTCACCTCCCCGCTAACAAAAAACACATTCTTCCCGTCCGGATCGTTCTCGACAACTAACTTCGGACTCTCAAGCTCGGGGAGCTTCTCCGCCAATTCCATTTTGGGGCTGTCCAGGGTGTAGGTTGACTCACTCATGGTGGAGTAGGGGGAGGCCAGCGGGCCCGTGGGGTCTGTAAACCGGCCCAACTCGTCGAAGATGTTGTTCCTCTCTTCCAGGACTGGGAAGTAGGCCATGCGGGTGTGGCGAACGCTCTCCCAACCAAGGGAGCTCAGGAGGTCGGCACCCGGACGAGTCTTGGAGAAGAGGCCCAGCACATAGAAGCAAGTTCTGCAGATGGTAAACAGCAACAATGACACAATGTTCTCTCACATAATCATCATTTGCCCTGAACCCTTTTGAGAGGAGTATGCTTTTGCTCAACACGAATATTCACAACTGGACCTTTTTTGCATTAAAGGGAAAATACAACATTTGCAAACATCAAAAAATAAAACTACCAAATCATTTTGAAATACCTTGCTGGACTGTTAGTGAATGACAGTGTAAAGCATCCTGTAAAATCATGGCACCTGGTATACTGTCATTTTCAAGAAAAGTGGTATTTTTGTATCAATTTCCAACGCTGATCGGCCGACCAGCGTTGGAAAAAACTGGCTTTTTTTCAAATACTGGCCCCAATTGACCATCGCACTTGTTTGCAATCGATTACACACCTATGAACGGGTACAAGCCAGCTAGACTGGTTCCCTGACCTTACAATTCCCCAATGTATGTAAACTGCTCTGTTTCTTCTTAAATGGAGTCAGGGAACCAGACTACAGGAAAATGATTGTTTTTCTTGGTTTTTATAGCATTTTCGAACCCAAAACCTCAAAAAAGTCAGTGTAACTATATTTGCTATATATTTCCAACCACCCAATTCCATCCATTTCTGAAAATTACAGCAAAAGCAAATGATGTATATTCCCTTTAATTGTTAATAAATTAAAGTAACAAACCAAACCTCTGAGATGGCTGATGAATGCAATCATTCTATAGGTCACATTCAAATGACGTCATTTCCTACAGACCATCCACGTGCACCGTGCATAACACGCATTGTGCTTGATTGTGTAATATATAGGCAATTCCACGGTAACTCACGTTACAGTTTTGATGTACTTTTGAGTTTCCTTGGGCTGTAATTACCTGACTGAAAAGGTTTAATAACTGTTATCCCCATGGTAGATAGAGTAGACCTAGATCTACCTAAGCACCAAAGATGACATCCTGAAAAATGTGTTATGTATGATAAACAAGACGCACAAAATCTGTTACTCACGTTACATTTTCGTAACATGAGTAACCGTGGAATTGCCCATATGCAGTTGCAGTTCTCCTACAGAGATGGCCGTCATTGAGCAAGCCCTATAGACTATTCTGTCAAACAAAATTAGAAGCCGTTTTTGAGGTGGAACCATGTCTGCGCATCTAGCCCCCCCAAAAAAGCCAATGATTAGTAAGATTTGAGGCTTTGCATGGTGAAGATACTAAATAATGAAAGGTTTGCGGAAACACCATGTGCGAATAATTTCTCAACTAAGAGAATGGTTCTGAAAAGAACCAGAGGTATAAACTCGACGTTCCGGTCAGTATGCTCTGACCTCTCCTGAAGACGGTCAGAGCATACTGACCGGAACGTCGAGTTTATACCTCTGGTTCTTTTCAGAACCATTCTCTTAGTTGAGAAGTTATTCGCACATGGTGTTTCCGCAAACCTTTCATTATTTAAGCCAATGATTGAAAATGGTTTTTAAAAAAGTGTTTTGCCCAACAATACGCGCACGTTTTCAACATGTATAGTAACCGCAGAGCTAAAAATTCAACAGGTTATTTGTTATGTGCCCTACTGAGGATTTTGAGTAATTTCGTTGCTTCGAACGAACAAAATACAGAAAGAGCAATGACCTTACCGGTATGAACCTTTAAGGACCTATAAGAGATTTTCAAGATTTTGGGAAGAAAGGGTCAGATATACATTGGTTTTATTGTCAGATGATTGCGGTCTTACCCTCTCACTGAGAAGACTTCACATTCTTCTGCCAGTCGGATGATATCAGGTACAATAGATTCCGATGACAGTAACTGGAGTCCATACGAGGCAGTGCCTGTGTGACCCTAGGGGGGCACAAGGGGTGCAAAAACGTTTGAGGTGAGCAATGTAGGAATAAAAGAAACATCAAGTACGGCAGCAATATAAAGTTACTTTTATTTCCAATCAAACCTGCCACCTTACAGGTATTGGACACCATTTGAAAACATTCAAAATTGAAACTGTCAAAATATCATGACATATCCTACTTGATTGTAAGTAAAAAACAGGATCATGCATCCTGTGAAATCAGCATACCAGAGTGACGGGTTTGAGTCCTCACTAAGTCAACTTACTTTGCAATGCCCAAAATTGCAACCTACAATCCTGGCCAAATCTTGCTGGGCCCCCAACCCCCCGGCCCCTGTCAATGTTGTCTCTCATTGCGCGGTGTGTTCTCCATCAGCTGGAGAGAACAACATTGACCGGGGGAGCGGGGGAGTGGGTGACCGTGGGTGGCTAAGGCTATTTCCAAGTGTCCCAACCATTTTGGCCGGGATTGTAGTCAGTACCCCATGTGGTCAATAACAGTTAATACATCACTCGATTGTTCTCCCCCCCCCCCCCTCCCCTTTCCAGCAGTGCCCCTGGATGGCGATTCTGGTTCCCCAGGGTGGTGATTCTGGTGCCCTAGGGTGGGGATTCTGATCCCCTCCAATCAATGATTGGAGTGTCATGGCCTAGCGGTGAAGAACACCAGACTCATGCCCTGGTGTTCCAGAGGCAACAGTGGTGTGGGTTCGAGCCCGGATGGACACTTGTGCCCTTAAGCAAGGCACTTAACCATAATTACTTTGTCCTTCGGATGGGACATAGAGCCGTAGGTCCCGTGCATTGTTATGCATGTAAAAGAACCCAGTGACACTTATCGCTAAGAGAAGGGGTTTGCCCCAGTGTTTCTGGCCTCCTGTATAAACTCCCACGCAGAGTATTTAGGAGAACCAACCAACCAAAAACCAAGAACCAATGCAAACTAAACGTCACTCCTTGCCCGAATCCACAACGTATTTTTTTTTATTGGTCTATTTATATGGAAAAAGGGCCTTTTTCCACTGAAGAACTCAATTTCCCCAAGCATAAAAAATAAGAACAGAATTCATAACCAGCCGACCCTGGCAAGCTCGGTGGTCCAGTGGTAAGACATCTGCACTAGTAAGCAGGAGGTCGTGGGTTCGAGTCCCACCCGAGTAAGCTCGGGAAATTTATCTCATAAGAGTATACAGTTTATGAAATTACGTTGGTGAAGAGCAAAGCCCAATATTGAATTTACATTCCCCGACATTAAAAAATTCATCATATAAATAGAATGCATACCAGCGCCCACAGAGCAGCTTTAAGACTGAGAATGCTGGAGTAACTACTGATGTCTCCGTACCGAACGATGTCACATAACGTATGAAGGTGTTGCTGTAGGTAGGAAAAATAAAAAGATCAAATTGTAAAGAAAACAATTGCGTCTTGGTTATAATTTGTATCGTTAATACAGTGTTAGCTGAATTAATTAATGAGATATTAGCTGGGTAAATGAATGCTACGCTTTAATACTTTAACATTTTTGATTTAAGTATGAAGTCTGTGAAGTTTCATGCAAGAATTTAATGAAATAGCTATGCTGTGGTAGACTCAGCTTCACTCTATAAAAACACCAATGACATTTTGCACAAAGGTACTTTGATGTTATGGATACATCATTTTGTTGTTGTTACGGATGTTACATAAAAATGTTACGAATGTTACATGTCTGAAATCCACTTCACCGACATGATGATAAAAAACATATAAACTTAATCATGATATTCCAAGTTCTGTATTTTTTAAAATAAAATATGAACCTTCCTCTCTGCCTTAAAAACAAAAACTCGCAGTAACACTTGCGGTTTGCAAAGATTCCAAAACAACTACCTAAAATTTAAAAATTTTGCCCAAAGCCCTTTCTCTTGACAAAAACATATATTTAACCACTTCTGTCTCGCTCTCACTGGCGCACCACTCAAATAAAAGGTCTTGTTGTCCCCTTTTATTTGGTACCACATGTGAGGTTGTCATGCTTGTAGTTCTGAGGATTTCATAAATTTTGAACTTTTTAGCCATGTCCACTTTCCGTGGAATTGCCCCATAGCAGTTTTTTTCAGATTAGCAATTCTAAAACTCCTTGCCTGTTTTTCCAGTGTCTCTGAGCCCCCTCTATGCTGCACCAGCTGGCCGTACAGATGAACGGGCACGTAGACGTCTCGTCGTTTTCGTTTCTCGTTTTGCGACCGTCGCACAAAGCCGCCCTCGTAGACTGGCTTCTGGTAGCACGTGAACGCCTCGTTGATTTCCGTCTCCACCAGCGTGACGTACTTGCGGTTGTAGACCGAGCGCCATTTCTCCAACTCGTGGGTGACAAAGTTGACTTCTGAGAGATACTTGAAGCCCTTGGGCGTCGACAGAAACCTGAATGTGAGGAATTTGTTTCCTAGTTTAATTTTCTTCTCTCTGCTCTAAAGCCTGGCGCACACCTTTCCCATTTTACTGGTTTATCGGATCACCCCATCACTGGCACGGTTTGTGCACCATTGCAGTCTCGTTACCCACACATGCCCGATTCTGTTCATTAATTGGTCACGTGATGATCAGTCACATGATGACAAGTCACATGATGACAAAATGGCAGCCATTATTTTGCATCATGTGATTTTCTGCTTGAATCTGATTGGTTAACATAAATACCGCGTCCGGTGAAATTGGAGTGCTGCCTGCACACCTTTCCGGTAACATTGGATCAGGCGAGAAAGGAGAGAAAGACAATGAAGAACTGTTTCTTTTTGATGTTGGAGAAAACACTGGGATGATATTCCAGAATGAAAACCTAGAGAATCAGGCACGGACTGAAACATCAATGCACGTCAGCCTTGGTGGGATCTGAACCGGGAGCACAGAGGATGGAGGTGAAAAAAAGGGCCCTAGCTTTTGACCATATTCTCGCTACCCGTATTATCCAATGCCTTACTAGTACTAGGAGTAGCACCCCTCTGTCCCCCATATGCATCAGAGAGAATCTCCTATACCTTGTTAAGAGTAGCACCCCTCTATCACCCATATACATTGCAGACACTCCCTTCCAATCCCAACTTCCATTTATTAATATTCCATTTATTAATAACTCCCCTAAATCCCCTTACCTTGATAGGAGTGGCACCCCTCTGTCCCCCACATGCAGGAGTAACTCTCCTCCCATCCCAACTTCAAAATTAAAATTCCCTAAAATCCATACCTTGTTAAGAGTAGCACCCCTCTGTCACTTCTATGCATAGGGGAGACTCCCCCATAAACCAACCTCCAAATAACCCTCCCCTATAATACTGTGCCTTGTTAGGAGTAGCACCCCTCTGTCCCCCGCATGCAGGAGAGACTCTTCTCCTCCCATCCCAACTTCCAAATTAAAATCCCCTAAAATTCACACCTCGTTAGGAGTAGCACCCCTCTGTCCCTTCTACGCAAAGGGGAGACTCCCTCACAACCCAACCTTCAAATAACCCTCCCCTAACATACCGTGCCTTGTTAGGAGTAGCACCCCTCTGTCACTTCTATGCATAGGGGAAACTCCCTCATAACCCAACCTCCAAATAAACTTCCTTATCAAACCGTGCCTTGTTAGGAGTAGCACCCTCTGTCTCCCATGTGCAAAGGAGACACACCTCCATTCCAGTATCCAAGTAATAACCCTTCTAAGGCCAAAAAAAAAAATAAGTCGGTCTCTGGTCAGCGCGCGCGTCGATTTTAATCATGCGCGTCAATCTTTTTTTTTTCCAAAATGTTCTGCGGTAGCTCCAACAGCGCCCTCTATTGCCGCACCTCCTCAATTTTTTTTAACCAAAGAGCACCAAGGAATGGGAAATTGCACCAAGGCAAATGATCGAGAGCACCAAGGCAAATTATGGAAGACACCAGTGTACATGAGGACACCAAAAAAAAAAAATAGTCCCCCACCTTGTCTGTTCAATCCAAGCTTGAAGAAAAAAAAAAACCGCGTCCCCGCGTCAATTCCGGAACTTTGGTCTGACCAGAGACCGAATATTTTTTTTTTTTGGCCTAATCTCCCATACCTTGTTAGGAGGAGCACCCCTCTGTCGCCCATGTGCAGCAACGAGGGCCTGATCTGCACCAAGCTATGCAGGTTAGTGTCATCCTCGCAAGCCTCTTCGATGATCTCGACGGCTTCCGATGCCACCGTGGAGCTCTTGTCGTAGAGCTGCGTGACCAGCATCTCCATGCCCCAGTTTTGGAAGAATGGGATCTGGGCGCGGAGTTGGACCCTCAGGTGACCCGTGGCGTACAAGCGCATGGACTGGGTTGGGTACAGAAGAAGAGGTAACATTTAAACACCCGTGTCAAGCGAGGCAGAGCCTTCTTTAAAAGCCTGAGGTGCCATGATGCATCATAGAGGGCGATAAAAATACTTTTGTTATACCTCTGTCTTGAATACTGTACTTTCATTGGCCTAGAACGATCATGTGTTCAGTTTATAAAAAGTCATGGCGTACTCTCTGTGGGATATCACCTATGTGATATCCCACAAGGAGTGTGCTATGACTTTGTACGTACCGTACGTACGGTGTGAAATGCTTGTATCGTTGGCACCCATGCTATTTTCACCATGCTTTCACACATGAGTGGGAGCAGCGAATTAGCAGACGATCAGATGTTTCGAGCATGCGACATGCATGTGAGTTGGCGTTCGATTGTCATGATTGCTGTGTTTACTGCTGTTTGTTTTCGTTATTTTTACATCAAAATCCAAAGAATCCAAGACAGAGGTATAACAAAACAATTGTTGACTGCTGTGATGTGGGATATGGGACACATATGCACGAGTGGGATAATTAATAATATGCCCATTTGTATTAAAACCTGTATTCTCTCTGAGTGACCCCAGGTTTGAAGCCTTGCTCGTATTGATAGCATCGTAATTTTGGGCATGAGCTCTGACTACATGAGATACACTGGTTTATGGCTTTTGACTAGTGCCCCTTGAACAAAGATATTGACAAAAATGGGGAAAACATAGGGCTGGATAGCTCAGTTGGTAGAACACCGTAAGGCCAAAAAAAAAGTCTCCGGTTTCTGGTATGAAGCTTGCCCCAAAAGTGGTGCAGCCACGCGGCTTGTTTTTTTTTTTTTTTTTTTTTTTTGGCTGATGACTGCAAATGGTGCCCGACTAAATTTAGTGCAAAATGTATTGGAGCCCACAGAGGCCACATAAAGCTTATACTCGATCATAACCCCATCTAAAAACACGTTAAAATTGTGCAGCAGCAGGATTCCAGTCAAACCAGTGAGTTTTGGCGGTTTTGAGACATCATCTTACATTGAAAAAAAACTTTTTAATTTTGCCGACGCGCATGGCTACGGCAACGCGCGCATACCAGAAACCAGAGACTTTTTTTTGGGCCTAACAGCAATCTAAAGGTCACAGGTGCAAGCCCTGCTCCAGCAATTATCAAATATATACCCATTTTTGAAGAAAGTTTGGGCTTATTACCTCTGAGGTTGAGGTGAGTAGTTTACTGAGGATGGTTCTACCCAGGCCTTCCCTGCTACAGTTCAGGCAAGTTGTGATGAGCTTCTGCAGCACCTCGGGACCCTTGGAGGAACACAGGTCCAGAATGCTGGTAGGGAAAGATATAATGCTTATTCATACAAATCTGCGCCAGTTTACCCATTCCTATTGGTCGTGGGCCCGTCACGTGGGTAGTTTTAAACCGCTGATTAAACATCAGCTGGTTTGAAACACTTTATTTCTGCACCGCTGTATAAAAGGTCACTTTTATTGACATGTCTAACAAAGTAAAAAATTGAAGAAAAAAAAAGTAAATATCGAAATAAAACCTTTAAGTTTCAAGTTTGGTAGTCGTGAAAATGAAAGATACCAATTGTTTTACCTTAAAAACACTTTTATTCCTCAATTTCATACTATTTCTTTTAAAATATGTGTAGTAGACATATCAAAGACTACAAATATCAATAAATCTGAAAATTGATAAAAAAATCACCCCCAGATCCGTCTCATTTTGTCATAATGCCCTCCATTTGATACGGACTTGAAAAGAAGCTACAAAAGTAGGCAGAGAGCGAGAGGCTTTAACCCTTTCCTTACCATGGGCGACTTTGACTAGAAGTAGCCCCCTGCTGGTTCCCATGGGCGACTTTAGTCGACCAGGAAACCACACACAAAACACCCTCAACACAGATATATTCACTACTTTTCAGAAAGGCGGCATGTTGATATGTTTAGCCGCCCATACATCAACTATATACCAGCTGAAAGAGTGTTTTCATATCTTTCTATTGGTGTGGTTTATTCATAGTGTTACCATACAAAAAAAATGAGAAAAGTGCTTCAGAAGTATCCACGCACAATTTGAGGTATGGAGTGCCATTTGGTCATGTGGTGAAATGGCTTGCAGTTTGATAATTGGGACCAGACGAACAAAAAGGCATAACTTTCTTATATTTGCACGTATGGACTTCATTTTTGCATCACATAAAAGAGTAAGGTTCAAGGAACAAACTTTACACACAACATTTATGATTTTAATAACTCCTTGGCAATGAAAATCTGGGTTGAAAAAAGTGAGTTTTTGACTCGTGGTAATTTTGTTCACGCTCTAGTGATTACCGCATGACTGAGCAAACAATTTGGTCCTGGGGAGAGCCAAGTCAATAAACAATGTGGGCATGAAAGGGTTAACCCTAACTCCCTAGCATGATTTACTAGGAACCATACCCATCCTGGCAAATTCCAACACCATATGGGAAACTGCACACACATATTTCTGACTTTGATTCTGGAGGTGTGCCAACCCAATGTAAAAGACTGTCAGCTTAGGGGTTCTGTACCCATCCTGACAGATTCCAATAAAACATGCCGTTGGGGTTTGATGGGTTGAGTTCTGTTAGGGTTAAAGTACGTTTAGTAGACATATCAAAGATTACAACTAACAATAAATCTGAAAATTGAATAAAAAATCACAAATTTTGGGGGCATTTTTCGACCTGTGCTCAGTTCCGTGGACCTATCGCCGTTTGCGAGTTGGCCACGCCCCTTAGACAACCCTATGGAATTTTTGTACACTAAGCTTTGTTTGTCTAAGATTTTGCATGTTCCGCATCCATTTGTATTTCACGTAATTCGGGCGATTCACAATGCAGTGCGCCACCAAGAGTTTGCCACAGAGAGTTCATTTTTCCCAGTGCATTGTGGGAGATGGTCGACAAATTTGCAGCGCGGGACATTTGAAATTATAATATGGAATTTTGCGTCGGGGTGATATAAATCAAATAAGGTTTTGCCCTTCACCGACGTTTGAAATTGTTAGTTTTTCTGGTCAGTAGTTTCATTAGCGTATGATTGGAGTATCTGTTTGCCCTTTTGTTTTCTTTTTATCAATATGGTGTTTTTTGGTAAGGCGGCGGAACGCTATGCCCCAATCTATAACAAATTAGCTCAAGTGTCTAATGACACTCATTCAAATTGTTCATGTCTTGTCGACCGTAAACTTGAAAAATAGACTCTCCATGGCAAACTCTTGGTGGCGCACTGCATTGTGAATCGCCCGAATTGGACAGTATTTCACAATCTGCGTTTGACGCAATTCTAGCGTGATTCTACCGCGATAGGTCAATTGATACGGACTTTAAAAAGCGGTAAAGACAGAGATATTAACATTCACAAAATCCCACTCCGTTTTGGACTTACTACTGGAACATGCCGGTCTTCTCCATGAGTTTTTCGCCCTTGGAGGAGTGGCAGATCTTGCCGATGAAGAGGAAGTAGTCCTGACTGAGCGTGGTCTGGATGCTGATGGGGCTGAAGACTGCCTCTGGAGGGATGTTGTTGTTGGGGACCATGTTGATCTCCAGGAAGCAGTCGGCAATATCCTGGGCCAGGTCTCGGAGAAGGAACTGGGCTTCACTCTGGGCAAGAATTATTTAAAATTGTTTTTCGTTAAAAAAAAAAATTATTCCACGATTTTAATATTATTTCTTTAAAATAAGTGTTGTATACAAATCAAAGATTACAAATACTAATAACCTGCATTTTCTCCACTATGGCCTGTGCCCAGTTCCGTCTTTGCCAGAACGCCTCACATTTACATGCGAGTTGAAAAGCTCTTGCTTTTTTTCTGAAATGGACCCCGTGCAAAAACAGTAATGTGCATATTGGTACGCGTCCTTTATGACACAAAGTATACACAACTTGTTTCATTCTGAACGTTCACAAAGCTGTAGCGTCATCGAGTGAGCGTGGGGCCCTGCCGGCAAGCTGCTCCTATGGGTGCAGACCAGTAAATCGGTCCAAAATTGCCTACGCCGGCCAAATCACGATTTGCATGCCCTCAAATTCTTTGGTATAAGAGCATTTTGTGGGCCATGAACTTGACATGCTTGAGGGTTTGTAAAGAAGGGTGGAAGCCGTGCACAGGACTGTGAACTTGTATTTCTGTGAAACTACAAGCGCCCTATTTTTCTATTGGACAGTAGGCATAGTTTTTAAAAATGGCGATGGGCTTCAGGACTATTTTTAGAGGTGATCATCTTCGGATGGAATTTGCTCCTCAAAGTCATTGGATAGTCGAACAAAAATTTAACAGAAAAATGAATGATGATGAAATAAGCTTTTAATTTGATATGTATCTCGAACACCTCAGAGAGTTGTGTGTATTTTTAATAATTTTGGGAAGTGCGCGTAATTAGCACTAAGGTCTATGGCAGTCTATTTACTGGTCTGGAACCCTATGTCCCTCCCAGTGGTCTCCCCACCTCTCCCTTTGTAAACAATTGAGGGGGTACTTGCGCACCGAGTCCATACTCACCTCGTCTCCGTCAAAAAGGAACTCAACGAGTTGACAGCCAATGAGGGTGTGCATCTGTAGACTGGGGGGCCTGACTAGCGACTTGGGTAACTCGACGCTTGAGAACTGCTTACTGGTGGGTTTGTAGAACTCCACTAACCGTCGGAAAAACCTGCACGACAAAAACACACAAAAAACAATTTTAAAATTGATTTTGGGTACTGCATAGAGTAGATTCCAACTTAAAGGTAGAGTACATCATTTGTCATTTGTGCATATTTTTTGTTTTGAAGCAACAAAAGTGCTCAAAATAAAAAAAAACAGGTGCTTAATGTAAAGGAGCAGAAAATAAGTTAAAGTTTTTCCCTAGTTTCAGATCTGCTACCCGTCTTTTTATAGGAGTACACCCCCTCTTCTCCCGTGTTTAGTTTAGTAGTGGCCTCCCCCTTCCCCCATTGTTTATTCTGGCCCAACTTCCTGTGTAGCTTTAGTTCATTGACCTAGAGGCTCATTCAGCAGACCAGCATCACACAGGCAAGACATTTAAGCCCTACTCTAGCTTTAGTGTACATTTTCATCCCGATCACAAGTGTCTGCTCCACTTTTGGTTTTTAGTTCATTCCTGTGCTTTTGGAGTCATTTCCTTTAGTGCTGTGTGGGTTTCATAAACTTTCATTTCATTTATATATTTTCACTCTTTTTGTTCTAGGATTTTGACCAAGATTGAGTATTTGAGAAAAAGTGGTTTTCTTATTTAAGAATAGAAGTGGGTTTTTTTGGTTTGTTTGAAGATTGTTACGAGACTAGATTAAATTTTTGGAGAAGTCTATTTTTTTCCCTTGATTCCTTTTCTTTCTTTTTTTTGTCCCAGTTTAAAAAGCTAAATCGTGACATAATCAATGGAACCAGGTTTTTTTCTCTAGTGATCCATTTTTCTACGTTACATTTACAACTAACCTGATTAAGTTTTAGCTCAGTGAATGCTGTATATTCCAAGAAAACAAAATGCTAGGATCTTGATTTCAATTTAGAAGTTGTCAAGTCAAGTTTTGAATTGCACCCATATTGGTGTCCGGGACACATTCTCATTCAATCAAATTAAAAACAAACTACTACCAGAAATTTCCAAAAATGCGTCTTTAGACGCATCATTGGAAAAGGCCTTCTTTTATGGTTTTCCTCAAAATGACAGCATGCCAAAAAGAATAATTTCACAGGGAGTTTAGTGTCGTTACCTATCTTTAAACCAAGTAAGCTTTTCAACTATAATTTAGTCAGTTACTTTTTGGATAGCTGCAAATGATTTATTCTACCTTTAAGGGCATCCGGTTCATACTGCACCCGAATGCGAATCAAATTTTTGACTTCACAAAACAATCCCTGCAAATTTTGCCCGAGTTGAGATGTGTTCAACTTTTGAAAATTAACAGCGTGACAACATATAGGGCTGTCTATTTTCAAATAATTTGGTATTTGATTACTAGACACTGTGTTTGACCAAATATTCGGATATTCAAAACTGCCAGCTGCAACTGCGGGCCGCGCTGGTCAAGAGTTGCATGCAGAAGGCACCAGTTCAATTTGTGCGCGGCGATCGATATGGAGTGTTTTGCAACTTAGGTTTTGCCCTTCACCGACGTTTAAACACTGTATACTCAGTGTGTTACGTCTTGAGTGAAAGTTGGAAACAATCACTCGGGTGGGACTCCAACCCACGACCTCCTGCTTTCTAGTGCAAATGCTAGTGCAGATGCCTTAAAACTCGACCACCTAATTTGATTTATATCACCCCGACGCAAAATTCCATCTTATAATAGTTTATGCGGTACCCGCTGCTATGTACATCAGATTCGAACCAGCCAACCGATCCCGTTAGCTTGTAGTCGAGTGGTAAGACATCTGCACTAGAAAGCAGGAGGTCGTGGGTTCGAGTCCCACCCGAGTGATTTTTCCAACTTTCACTCGGGAGGTAACACACTGAGTATACAGTGTTTAAACGTCGGTGAAGGGCAAAACCTAATTTGATTTATATCACAAAATTCCATCTTATAATATGTTATAACTGTCAAGGGTTTAAACCTGCTAAAAGGATAGAGACAATGAGCCACCTTCGACAAAAAAGTTACCGTCGACAAAAACAGTGGCACATGACAATAAAATGCCACAAATGTTTACAAGGTGTGTCGGTAAAAAAATGTCCTATCCATTTCATTTTGTAAGTAGGAATGAAACTTACTGACAAAAAAATCTTTACAGTTACATTTAACATGTTGAACAGTTTTGAAGTGTTCAAGTAATGACAAACTTTTCAAGTTTGATTTATAACAGTAAGGAGATACTATTCTGTTATCCTTTTCCATATACTCACCTACTTATATTAGCATCTTCAAATTTTCTTAGGCAGGGTCCTCCTTTCTGTGAATCAAGGTCAAGAAGTAGCAAGAGTAAATATGTTTTAGCAAGTACAATGATTGTGTTTAATTCTTAGTGTCAGTATTCTCAATCACAACATTTTTACCCAGAGGACTTCGACTGTTCTGTCTTCTAAGCTCCAGATCTTGATCAACAGCCCATCATGTTGGTGGTTTAAACCCGCTGTATGATGTGGCTCAAATACTGAACTTCCCCCGCACGTATAATGAATGTGTTTAATCTTAGCGTCAGTATTCTCAATCAGAGGACAACCAGAGAACAAAGACTGTTCAAAAACTCCAGATCTTGATCAACAGCCCATCACATGGGTGCTTTAAAACCACTGTTCAAACACGTGTTCAATCGGCAATGTTTAAAAACCGGTCGTGAGACCCTGCGCTCTGCCCCACACGCAGCCACTATGCATCATCGGCACGCCGGCCTCAACCAAGTGCTTCCAAACCACTAACATGGTCTCCATATAAGGAGGTGTTGAGCAGACCGCATGCCTAGCGTGTACCATGGAAATGGCTCGAACATGGAATAAAATGGTAGAACAAACTTGCTAAAATTCTGACAATTTTTAAAAAAATATTTATGGCTTTTGATCCGAAGGTTTTTTTTTTACCTAGTGTGATACCAGTGTGGTGGAGCAGTTTAATAAACGTGATTTTTAAAACCGGTAAGGAAGCTGCTCGCTGTTAGCGGCCAGTCCCCTAACCATTTTTAAACATCACGTTTATAATTGCTCCATTACACTTTTGATCCCTTACTTATCATGGCTGTGATTGGTCAGAATATCACAAGGCAGAGCTTAGTATCGTTTCGGTTTGCGGTAACACCATGTGTTACTAACTACTGCTCAGTAGATGTTTAGTTCAGATAAGAAGTTGTCCTGCTTATTATCAACTTTCGCTAAGAAGTTTTAGTTCCGATAAGAACAGTCCTGCTTTAAGTCCTAAAAGAACTTGTCTTTGGTCTCAAGGTTTCGACTAGCCTGCTCTCGTCATCGTCAGGAGACTAAAACTCCTTAGCGAAAGTTGATAATAAGCAGGTACACGTTCTTATCAGAACTAAATATCTACTGAGCGACAGTACTTATTACCACATGGTGTTACCGCAAACCGAAACGATACTGATACTCCACCATGCAAAGCCTCAAATCTTAATGCAAAGCTTAATACATTGGTCTATTAACAGACCAGCCTATCACAACATGTTACATGTTTTCTGCATCTTTGCTCACCTTGATTATACAGCTGATGAGGTCCCAGTTCCAGAAGGTGTGGTCCTTACCGGACAGAACCTGCGTCTCTTTTATACTGGCCTGGGTGCTGATATCATCTGTGTCCTGAACAGACAAGACAAAAAATATTAAAGGTATAGTCCATCATTTGTAATTTGTGCATTTTGCTCGTTTGAAGCAACAAAAGTGCTCAAGATCTAAAGAAGGGTGCTGAACAACTAACCTGATGAAGTTTCAGCTCAGCTTTAGCTGTATATTTCGAGAAAAACAACATTCTAGGATCTCGATTTCAAATCAAAAGTTGCTGAATCTTGTTTTGAATTGGGCCTGAATTCAGCGTCCGAGACGCGTTCTCACTGAGCCGACTGCAGCTACGCGATGTCATGCACTGATCCGGCATATTGTAGCAACCAAGGACACGTGTGCGTCGTGCCTATGCTTGCGCGCGCTTCGCCGAATAACAAAACGAACTACTAATTTGAATTTCCTACGGTGCTTCTTAAGAGGCACCGTTGGAAAGGCCTTCTTTTGTTGATTTCTTCAAAATGACTGCTTGCCAGAAAGAATAATTTCACATGGAGTTTAGACTCCTTACTATCTTTCAATAAAGTATGGTTTTCAACAATAATTATGCCAGTTACTTTTTGGATAGCTGCAAATGATGGACTCTGGCTTTAATACTCAAGGGCAAATGATTCCAATGTCCAACCACATCGGCCTTTTTCACAACATGCAGGATTTTTTACACAGCTTACATTAACACAGCACTGAAACTGACTAACCCTCCTACCATTTATGAGGTCACAATCAGTCAAAATTTTCTTCCTCGCCTCCTGGCATACTGAGTACAAACCAATGGGAGTCTTGACCAATATTGACCCAAGTAATAACCAGGCTGACAATGCATGTTTCCATAGGAGTGTTAAGGCATGGAACTTGGATACAGTGTCCAAAAATGTTGTGCTCAATTGACAATAGTGCAGTGATGTGTGACTAAAATTAAATGAAACTCATAGGGGTTGAGGCCAAAGATTTTCAAACTTGACCTCATGGTTTTGTAGTTATTTTTTAAAAAGGCAGACGGACACTTTTTTTGGACATACTGTTGAGTTACCTTATTCATGCACTGTTTCATCTTGTCCCGGTTGAGCTTGGATTTTCTCTCGGCCATGAACGTCTCCGATCGGCTCATGATGAAACTCAGGAACAGGCTGCAGGGGACGGGCCCTCTCTTGTTCAACTCGTGGAGTCGGTCTAGGTGCGTAATGGCGGCACTTGCACGACTGGGAAAGAAGCACAGATTTTGAAGCACAGAAATGAAAAGCATTTTATAACAATTTGTCACGTAAAGGACTACAAATGGGAAAAAAAGTGGAAATTTCCAACAACAGTGAGAACATTTTAATTCATACAAAAATGACCTTTGCAAACATTGCCATTATTGGACTTACTTTCTTTGAAGCACAGGGACATCACATGACGCTGCTAGGATCATGAGAGTTGGGAGGCAGTGATGGTGCTGCTCACATTCTGAGGGTAGAAGACGATCCGCCTGGGGAAATCACAAGAGAATTATATGTCGATCACAAGTCAATCACAAGTGAAATACAAGGCCATCACAAGCCAATCACACGTCAAATACAAGTCAACCATAAGGCCATCACAAGTCAATCACAAGTCATTCACAAGTCAATCACAAGTCAAATACCAGTCATTCACAAGACAATCACAATTCATTCACAAAGTAAAATACAAGTCACTCACAAGACAATCACAAGTCATTCACAAGTCAATCACAAGAGCAGTGTTCTAGCCAGGGTAAAATTAAAGCGTAGGGGTAATTTTGGTTCGGCGACTAATGCGAGCGCGGAGCGCGAAGCCCTTACGGCGTGGGGTCCGGGGCCCGCTTAAGGGCCCCGAAAAATTTTGGACTCTAGATGCTCTGTGGTGCAATCTGAGGCGATTCCCTGCCACTTTCCCCTGATTTTTTTTTAGCAGAAGTGTTTAAAATTATAAGAAATTTTGTTATATTTGTTTCAATGATTGATACTCTTGCTCCTGGAAAGTTTCTTCTGTTTTCAAATTTTAGATTATGTTTACAATGTATAAATTGTTCCAAGATCGATGCTTTCTGATGTTTAACCACTTTTAGTAGTTCCTCAATGTTTTATAACAAATTGGGATTTACTTTGTCAATATTAAGGGTGAGAACAAATCGCATGAACATTTCATATTTCAGAAGCCTTGTGTTGTGTAGCGCTGCCGTAGTAGCAGTAGTTCCGATTTTAAATTTGTAAATAAAACCATCCGATCGGCAGGGAGAGAAAGTGTAAAACCATGGAGGTCTCAGACAGAAAAAGTCGTCGGCGATTGCAATTTCAATATGCTACAGCACAATGTGAAGGAGAAATCTCATTTTTGTTATGTTAAAAAAATATAATTGTATATAATGACGATGAGAAATAATCACCGGGAATTGCTCCCTATCCCGGCCGCGGCCGGCCCCGGCCGGCCCGGCGTCGCGTGCGGGCGCGGCGCGGGCCAGCCCGCACCGGCTACGCCGGCGAACTACGCCACCAAATTTTCCCTCAGCATTTGAGAAAGCAACGCATTCGTGGGGCGCTAAAAAAACTTGCTTTGTTGCAATACTTGCTGATTGGTTTTGTCCTAAGAACAAACAGATCCGTTTTTTACTACCAAACTTATCGAACTGTTATTATCAGCAACAAGTAGTGTAGCCAAAAATCCAAATTTTCGACAGCGACATTCTTCGAGAAGAATTCTTCACGTGCGCCATCTTGTAGGACGGATCCATTGATATCGTAGGGGTGCTTGACCTTTCTTTGGACATCGTTTCTCAAATAAATCCTTTACGAAAATTATGTTCCGACATTGAAGAACTTATTTTCAAACAGTAACGTGTTTCGGACTTGATAAAAAGTATTATTTATAATTTTAGAACAGTTTAATTGCTTGTAAATATTGACCTTAGGAAAGCACACCCGATACCGCAAAATGGTGTGGTCCACAGAGCGCTCTGTACGTGACGCTCTGTTGGTGACACGTACGTCCGAACGGAGCGCTGTATCTACGCAGCACAAAACAGCACGTGCTTGCTATCATAGCGAATGCGTGTGGCGCAGCATCACGGTAGGGGTATCGTACGGGGTACGTGCGGCACGTGCGGCGGGATCGTTGTTTATTTTTCGCTGTGTCGTACGGCCAGTGTGCAATGCTCAAAGTCGCTGCGCTTGTATACGAACAAACGACAGATATTTTTTTTTTCGCAACCAAAATTTAAAGCGTAGCGGTAGCGTAGCGGCGCGATTTAAGCGTAGCGCTTATTTCCGAAAGCGTAGCGGGTGCTAGCGCTATTTGATGCCTGGCTAGAACACTGCACAAGAGCATCACAAGTCATTCACAATTCAATCACAAGAGCATCACAAGTCATCACAAGTAAATCACTAGTCAATCACAAGTCCATCACAAGTCCATCACAAGTCCATCACAAGTCCATCAGCAAGCCAATCACAATTCAATCACAAACCAATCACAAATCAATCACAGGTCAATCACAAGTCAGAGACAAGTCAATCACAAGTCAATCACAAGTCAATCACAAGTCTATCACAAGTCAATCACAAGTCAATCACAATTCCATCACAAGTCAATCACAAATCAATCACAGGTCAATCACAAGTCTATCACAAGTCAATCACAAGTCAATCACAATTCCATCTCAAGTCAATCACAGGTCAATCACAACTCAATCACAATTCAATCACAACTCACTCACAACTCAATCACAACTCAATCACATTTCAATCACAAGTCAATCACAAGTCAATCACAAGCTAATCACAAGTCCATCACTAGTCCATCACAAGTCAATCGGAATTGTGATTTGATTTGTGATGGGCTGGAATGTACCTCAAGTAGTGTCCCCTACTCACCATATGTAGCAGCTCCCCAAGCAGTATAGTAGCCATGTTGGATAGGTGTTCACTACCTGACGAGATCACCTCCACAATGCTCTGCAAAAAAAGAGCCAATGATATCCCATCATTTATCAAATGCAATGTTCCCTGCCGAATCAGCAGACTGGATGAACTGATAACCCAAAAACTTAAAGGGCCCATGCAATTCAAATTTTGTTAATACAGTGGAACGCCGCTATGCCAAACATTCGGCTGTACCGGTTTTTACATGTATTAAACACTGCTTGGGCCACTTTTAATTCCTGAACATCAAACCACCCATGGTTACATCGTGTTTGAATGTCGAAGAGCGATAGATGACTATTATTTTCCCAAGGAATAAAAGGGAAAACCACCCGTTGTTAAAGTTTTGTGACAACTCCTCGTGCGGCGGCGGGATGTGAAAATGCCAGTTCAGTGACTTCACTATTGGTCAAAAGAGGGTACCAGCGGTTCACAATCTTTATACCGAACGATCGTTACTACGAACACTTTCTGTGGATCCCACGATGTTCGTTATAGTGGCGTTCCACTGTACAATCCTTCAAAGTACAGCTGTGTGTCAAATTCAACTCCACTGGTGTATTGGTGTAAGCTTCAACTTACCTCCAGCAGTCCAGCGTTAGTGAATGCAAGCAGTATGAGAGCTAGGTGGTTCTCTGTTAGGTTGGTTCTCGTGGCAGCGCGGTGGGGTAAGATTGCTTTGCCTTCCTCGGCGACGAAGCCTTCGCTCAGTTGCCACGGCGGCTGCATCTCGTAGCGATCTGCTCACCAAAACATAATTTGGAATTAGGGATTTGGAATTCTCAAACTTGTGTTTTGCCCTTCACAGTTGCCAACGTATCTGCACAAGGAATGCAGAAGGCTGTGAGCTTGAGTTACACCTTGTTTATGGCTGTTTCATACTTCATGCAAATGCGAAGCGAATTTGATGTAGCAAAACGTTTTCTGCGAAATTCTCCAGAGATGAAATGTGTTCCTGGCGCAGACCCAGGAAAGGTGGGGGGGTTCATCTGTCAAACCTCATCATGGGGCACTGGGGTCAAAAACCTGACTTTTTTTACTCCAAACACTACTCCTTCCAGAAATTACGTGGCACAATCACGTGACTCATGAACGAACACGAATTGGTTGGCCCACAGCTTCCAAGATATTTCAGATCGAGCTTGTTACAATATAATTTACTTGATATTGCCTTTATGAGGCATCCTTAATGAATTTTTTCACAAACAATTTTGGTTTTTCTTGGCCTTAATGCATGTTTTTGTTACCTATACTTTGTAGGGCAACATCAAAGTCGTCAGTCCACTCTGGTATGGGGATGTAGAAGATATCAAACAGAACTTGTAGGAGATATTTCTGCAAAAAGGAAAAAGCAAAATCTATGCATTAGGTTGGTGCGGTGCCTATTCTGAATGTAGGTCCTACAAGGAAAAGTACGAAAAAAAAGCTTTATGTAGAATCCATTATTGTTACTACTTTTAATACATGTATATGAGCATACACTCATGAACAACTTGTACAGAATTCATTATCAAATTAAACTACTTACCATCTTTAGCCCCCTATTTTTAAAAAGGTGGCTCTGCCCCCCCCCCCCCAAAAAAAATTGCAAAATTCTTGAAAAAAAATATTTTCCTCGTGATGTAGAACTTCGGTTATCTGTCAAAATGCAAAGTAGAAAAGTGAAATTTGTGGTCTCTACGCCCATTATTTATTTAGTCAAGCCCCCGCTCCTAAAAGGATCAGAAACAATGGCATCGAGTGGTTTTGAACTTGTTGAGGTATTCATAGGTGATCCTGAGAGTTTCAAATTTTTTACCCTACATTGCATATGGTCCCCCATACACACACTGACTATTATTGATAAAACTATCATTTTAGGACACTCACTTATGTCAACTGGGTGTGCCTTATAAAATAATTCTTACAACATAAAATAATTCTTACTACAAAGCTGCATGACATTCATTTCTGGACTTAACTTACCCGATGCACTTCATTGGGTATGCACAGGATGGACATGAGTGACTGGAGCCCACTCGCTTCTGGCCGACAAAGTCGTATCATTCCTGTAAACAGATATGACGTACAGGAAACAACAGGTTGTATAAATTCATATACAGCGCGTGTCAATAAAAACGCAGGATTAGAAACAAAAATATTAAGAATATAAACCACCCCTATTCATCATAATGTTAACCCTCTTTTCAAAGTACCTTTCCTTCTCTTCACTATGCTTTTTATCCCATCTCATTTGGACAATCCTGTCCAGAGATAGAGTACATTGAAGAAGGGTTACAAATTCCAAGCTGGTCTGATTTGTGAAATCACACATACCTAATGAAAGGTTTGAATTCAGTACAGGTGAAAGTATTTGTGGATCACAAAGAAGGACATGTGTGGCAGGATTAGGCTTACATAATCCTTTAGTCCACAATCAATGTTATTAGTCAATAATTCATGATGCTTTGAAACAATGATAGTCCAGTTATTAAATTTAAGTGATACTTATCATCAGTTGTTTCAAAGAAAGTTTTGTTCTGGTTTAATTGTCTTCAATGCATACCTGCATTGTACATAACTCGTCGTTGTGTTAAGGTCATTGAATTAGACCAACCCGCTTCAGAAGGGCTTCACAAAACTTGTCATAACTTTTGAACCAAAAGTCCAAATTCCACCAAACAAAAATCTTGTCAAAGATGACATTATGGACAATCAAATCCTTATCAAATTAGGCACACCAGTAGCATAATTTTCTCAGACAAAAAATCGCTTTGAATCCTGCGTTTTTATTGACACACGCTGTATTTGAACAAGAACACGAGTTCACAATTTGCTCTTTTCACACTTCCGCCATGAGCATGCACAGCCCCGGTCTGACAACTTGACACAATAAATACAGCTGGTTCAGTGATTCCCGCGTCGGGGTTCAGATCACTGAACCGGCTATTTTTATTGTGTAAAGTTGCCAGATCGAGGCTCTGCATGCCCAATGGCGGAGCGTGAAAAGAGCGAACACACTGACCAATTCCATTTCGGGAACATGATGCCGCGTTACTTGCATACCGAATTGATGCCAGTATCACAATAGTTAAGCAAGCTGTTTACACAATAGTGGTCATTCCAATAATGCGTTTTTTTTCTCAAAAGTGTGGGACCTGTTATCACACTAATGACTTGTCACTTATGTGATATACATTTTATGTGGCGCCAGTCTTATTTTGACAATTTTCCATCCGTCCTTTGTTCGTTCTTTTACTTCGTTCCCCTTGATTTCATTCACACTGGTTTGTCCCCTATTTAATCCATCTTTTGTGTATCTCCTCCCAACCTTGCATGCTTGTGAGTCCCTACATGTTTGTTTCTTGTACCTGTCATTTTGCCTCTAAAGAAGATCTTGTTAATATCGGAATGTCAGGCCGCCTTAATTTTTTTTATTTTGATCAAAATCTGATGGTTCTATTTACTGGAGGACATATATGGGGTGCTGTGGTCCAATGGTTACGGTGTTCGATTTGTGTGCCGTGGTACATGAGTTCGAATCCTGACCGTGGGAACATGGTGCTTGTGCTCTTGAGCAAGGCACTTTACCAGCATTGCTTCGTCCTTCGGATGGGACGTAAAACCGTAGGTCCCGTGTGTTGTGTAATGCACGTTAAAGAACCCAGTAACACTTATCGCTAAGAGAAGGGGTTTGCCCCGGTGTTTCTGGCAGTGGCTGCAATATGCGCCACAGCACCTTGTCAACCCTTATAAGGTGCTACATAATGCGTCTCATATTTCTCATATACTTTATTTACCTTTCTTTAATAATAGACATAATAACCAGCGCCTTGAGTACCTAATTGTTGGTAGATACGTGCGCTATATAAGACTCCGTTATTATTATTATGAGGCAAGGCAAAACCTCAGAGGGGCCTCGTAGCCGAGCGGTTAGAGCCTGGAGCTACAAAGTGGGAGGTTGGCAGTTCAAATCCTGTTCGGACCAAAAACTTGAAAACTCTCTCTGACGACCCAACAGTCAAATGGGTACCTGATTCGTTCAGGGAAGGTAAGACGGCGAGAGGAGAGGACTGGGCCCCGCCACTCATATGCCGCGCCCAAGACACAGTGGACCTCTAACATCCCACTGCCCCTATGGCCAGTAATGGCTATGGGACCTTTACCTTTTTTACATAAACCTCAGACATTATAATTTCTTGTGACCAAGACCCTTGAACTATGTTTTGTACCATTCACCTCAAATCTCTTACCTGGCCAAGACCTGATGAGTGTTACGATAGCCATGCGGCTGGCACAATACCGCATCTCTTTCTCCTCACTGGAAAAGAAAAAAGGCAAAAGATTGAAATGTTTTTCATGAGTAAAATTTTAATCATAATAATCATAATAGGGCATATCCAAGCGCTTTACAATTATTATCACCCCTCGTCAAGGGGCAAACACCCCTGAAACCTTCTCAACTCCCTGGGGAGCACACATGGCCGGTAGGCAGCCATTTCGGCGCTCTTGGCTGTAATCAACCTCTCACAGTAACCATCTCTGCCCTCACAGATACCCATTCACTCCTGGGCGGAGAGAAGCAATGAGTGACAAAGTGCCTTGCCCAAGGGCACACGCACCATGACCCCAGGCTGGACTCAAACCCACAACCTGCAGAATTACCCACAGACAGGTGTTATTTTTTCTGTTTCAATGGGCAAACACTCCTGAAACCTTCTCAACTCTACGGGGAGCATACACGGCCGGTAGGCAGCCATTTCGGCGCTCTTGGCTGTAATCAACCTCTCACAGTCACCAACACTGCCCTCACAGGTACCCATCTACTCCTGGGTGGAGAGAAGCAATGAGTGACAAAGCGCCTTGCCCAAGGGCACACGCACCATGACCCCAGGCTGGACTCGAACCCACAACCTGCATAATTACCCACAGACAGGTGTTATTTTCCCTGTTTCAATGGGCAAACACTTCTGAAACCTTCTCAACTCCCTGGGGAGCATACACGGCCGGTGGGCAACCATTTTGGCACTCTTGGCCGTAATTAGCCCCATAAATGTGGCCAATTTACTGGACTACCTCCATAAATAAAGGCCACACTTCCACCATGTACAAAAACGTGTCGCACTTTGCCAAATTTTGATTTTCACATTTAGGCTTAGTTTGTAGTTTATTTTTGCTTAAGAAGCATACTCACCCTCTTTATAGGCTAATCAGAAAGTGCTGTCTTTTTAAGATGTCTATTTTTTTGTGAAATTTCCAGATTTGTTTGCACATGTTTTCGTATCAAAATTTCAACATTCATCTGAAAAAGGCAGCACTTTCTGATTAGCCTATAAAGAGGGTGAGTATGCTTCTAAAGCAAAAATAAACTACAAACTAAGCCTAAATGTGAAAATCAAAATTGGACAAGGTTCGACATGTTTTTGTACATGGTGGAAGTGTGGCCTTCATTTACGGAGGTAGTCCAGTAAATTGGCCACATTTATGGGGCTAGGCCGTAATCAACCTGTCACAGTAACCAACTCTGTCCTCACAAGTACACTCCTGGGTGGAGAGAAGCAATGAGTGACAAAGTGCCTTGCCCAAGGGCACACGCACCATAACCCCAGGCAGGACTAGACTACATGTATCTTAGATGTTGGTGTGGAAGAATGCTGGATATTTAAAAATCCCTATAAATCGGTATCTGTATGAGCGTTATATTTCTTATAATATCACTTACTTTGTCTGTTCATTGTTGTCTCCGTTGTGCCTGTAGTGACAGTCAGTGTATGGCGCTATTACTTGCTGCAAATCAAAAGAAAACTTTGGTAAAATTGTTTATCTCGTGGTGAAGTAAAACTAGTTTCCCTCGGTGATCCACGGAGCATGGATCACCGAGGGAGGCTAGTTTTACTACACCGCTTTAATCATTCCATATTTGTATAATATACATAAATACCCTCAAAATATGTAAATCTGCTCCCAGACAGGTATAAGTCATATTAAAGGGAAAATACAACATTTGCAAACATCAAAAAATAAAACTACCAAGTTGTTACGAAATACCTTACTAGGATGTTTGTAAATGACATGCTAAAGCATCCTGTAAAATTATGGCACCTGGTGTGAAGCCATTTTCAAGAAAATGGTATATTTGTATACATTTCCAATGCTTGTCGGCCGACCACCGTTGAAAAAACCTAACTATTTTTCAATTACTGCTCCAAATTTACCATTTTTTTTTAGTCTAAATTTTGTTTAGCTAGCTATTGGTTCCATGTTCATGAGCGGGTGCAGGCCAGCTAGACTGGTTCCCTTACCTTACAATTTTCCGGTATTTTTGATCCATTTCATCTTTAGTGGAGTCAGGGAACCAGACTACTTGGATATTTTTTTTTTTCTTGGTTTTTCCAGCATTTTCGAACACAAAACGTCAAACATGTCAGTGCAACAATATTTGATCTATTATACTAACCCCCCAAATAGTTCATTTCTGAAAATTACAGCAAAAACCAATGATGTACATTCCCTTTAAGTCAGTCAGTGAGATAGGTAACCAGTCCAATTCGCAAGTGACAGTCAGTCAGCTGTCAGTCATTCAGGTTCAAAGAGGACTACAAAACATTGTGAACGATTTCCCACCCCTTGATCTGCTCTTGGCTCCGCCCCTGAAGTGGTGCCTTACCTCTATATCCACATTGAGTCTGATGTACTTTCTGGTGTGCGGATGGTTGAGTAGGTGCAACACTGTTAGCATGATAGCCTCGTTGATGCGTAGATGCTGCGTGTCCAGTATGTTCATGATCAGCGCCGACAGGCCGCCTGCTGCCGCAAACACCTCCGTGCTCTTTATTGCTAATCAAAACAGATCAACAACTGATTGTTTAAAGAAAAAGCCTCAACTTTTTTTTCTCCCCAAAAGGGCGTGGGTGTCTACAATGCAGGTTTCTACCTGCAGTTGTGGACAGTAAAGTAGGAAAGATTGCTTAGCTGATTTGCATTAGGAGCGAAAAATTTGTCCAAGAGTATTATGCATTACAGAAAATTTTTGCCGATAAACTATTTTTGCTCAGCAGTTTTGTGAAAATATTTGGTTTCCACCGACCGTGAACAACAAAAAGTGCCTATTCAAGAAAGGTAGTGTGAATTTTATATGACCATAATTAACAAACATTCTGGAAAAAAGTTTGCACAGTTAAGCCCGGTTCATTCTCGGCGCAAAAGCGAACGCGAATTTAAAAATGTCAGGGCGGGTTTTTGCACTGCAAATTCGCAAAAGTTGAACACATTTTTAACTCCGGCGATTTTGGTTTAAAGATAGTAACGGTAATACATTGTAAACTTCCTGTGAAATTATTCTTCCAGTGAAAACAATAAAAGAAGGCCATTTCCAAAGATGAGCCAAGAGACGCATTTTTGGAAATTTCTGTTATTAGTTGGTTTGTAACTCGGTGAATCCATGCATGGGTGCGCACAAGCGTTGACACGATGCACACCCAACACGGTTGCTATTATTCATTGATTCAGTGCGTAATATTGCGTAGCTGCAATCGGTTGAATGAGAACGTGTCCCGGATGCTGATTTCAGGTGCAATTCAAAACATAACTCGGCAACTTTTGAATTGAAAATCAAGATCCCTCCAGAATATTGTTTTCTTGGAACATACAGCATTCACAGAGCTAAAACTTCATCAGGTTAGTTGTTAAGCACCCGTCTTAAGATTTAAAGCACTTTTGTTTCTTCAAACGAAAGAAATGCACAAATGACAAATGATGTACTGTACTTTTAAAGTTGAACAAAACTATTGACCGGACGGAGCAAGGTATGAACCAGTTAACTCCAGATTGCCGTTCCGGTGCTCTACCAACTGAGCTAGCCAGCCCTATGTTGGCAGTTCCCCTGTTATGTCATTGTGTCGAACCCTATGTTGGTGGTTCCCATTATGTAGTTAAAAGAACTGTGTGTCTCAAAAAATGTAGCAGTCAAACAACTTTTTTTCTGAGGAAACTAAATCTTCTTTTTTTTGTTTTAACATTAACCATAAGATGATAGAGTGTTTCTTTACCCTTGAATTTTGGTTCTGTATGATTTGGACCTATTGTTAAAAGTTACGGCCAAGCTTGTAAAAACTGTCAAAATCTGGTTAGGCCACTTTTCAGATATTATCTGGTATCTAATGAAAGGCATTCACACACCTTCTAGGTATGTGAATGCCTTTCATTAGATACCAGATAATCTGAAAACTTGGAATTCAAGTCCTTTCATTTAATTAGCTGTATCTCTAGACTGGGGTGTCCAAATGAAACGGGATGAAGACCATTGTGTAGAGTATTTACTACAACTTCAGACTCAATCGATAAGTTTTGCAAAACGAGAGTGCTAGTATTTTAAAAACTTTTGGATTGACTGTTACATTTTAACTGACACACGCTGTACATAATATTTCTACTGCAAGAAAATTAAAGGGAATGTACAACATTTGCAAACATTAAAAAACAAAGCTTCCAAATTTTTACGAAATATCTTACTAGGATGTTGGTAAATGACAGTCTAAAGCATCCTGTAAAATTATGGCACCAGGTGTGAAGTCATTTTCAAGAAAATTGGTATTTTTGTATACATTTCCAATGGTGGTCGGCCCGTTGGAAAAACCTAACTATTTTTCAACTACTGCTCAAGATCGACCAATTTTTTTTTTTTTCAGTCCAAAAGGTGTTTGCTATTGGTTACATTTTCATGAACGGGCGCAGGCCAGCTAGACTGGTCCCATTACTTTACAATTTTCTGGTATCTATAAATTGATCCATTTCATCTTTAGTGGAGTCAGGGAACCAGACTACTTGACCCTTTCTGTTTTGGTTGGTTTTTTCAGCATTTTCGAACACAAAACTTCAAACGTGTCAGTGTAACAATATTTGATCTATTATACTAATCCCTAAAATAGTTCATTTCTGAAAATTACAGCAATAGCCAATGGTGTACATTCCCTTTAACAACTTTTTTTTACAATATTTTTGCGGAGCTAAACTCAAGAACAGCCAGCCAGTTACATCTTTAAGCTACAGAGTTAATGTTTGCTAGGGGAATGCCCAGGATTTCCAGTGTCGCTAGGGCATGCCCTGGGACGCTGACTCACTACGACTCACCCAGTTCGCTCAGCGTCTCCAAGGAGGGACGCACCATCCTGTCTCTCTCCTTCATGCCGTCGTTGGCGATGGCAACCAGCGTGTGGACCAGAGAGATCGGGCACAAAGATGGGGCCACCGCAATTATCTAACGGCAAATTAAGACAAAGATCAACAAATGCACCACAACAGAAACCGAGCTGGGGACAATTTTATTATTCTGATTAAAGGCATAAAGGATCATTTGCATTTAACACAAAAGTAACCTACCGAATTATTATAAAAAGTCCTACGTGGATTAACCCTAACCCCTTGAGTACTTTTACTAGAAAGTATCTTGAATCCGCCAAAATCCACCAATTTTGTCATGCAAAAAAATGTTGGTGTCCTGAGTCCATCAGAATCCACCAGTGTAGTACCTATACCTCATACAGTACACACCAAACATATAGCCGAGTTAAACTGTTGAGATCCTGAATCCATTAAAGTCCCCCAACTGCTCAAAATGGAGGTATCCTGAATCCATCAAAATCCTGCAGTATCGCTAAGCTCACTGTCCTGCATCCATCAAAATCCCTCAACTTTTTCAATATGGAGTTACCCTGAATCCATCGAAATCCTCCAAAACAAGGGTGTCGATTCTGATGGATTCAGGTATCGGTACGTTATGGTTAAAGAACATACTTGGACTGAAGATAATTGCCAATCTCCATATTAAGAGATGTTTATGACTACTCGCGAGAGGCGCATACCAGTACCATATCAAAGCCAGTGTTGCAAACAACACGATGTGAAATTGTTGAGCAAAATTGCTGGAAATTTATAATTGTCGACTTGTTTTGACTTTTTGACTCAAATGTATTTATGAATGAGACTAAATATGTGCTTGGCCGGTATAAAGCAAGAACAGGTGCATTTATAACCGGCTTAGGGGACTGGTCGCTGTCCAGGCCCCTGAGCCGGATTTAAACGTACTTGTTTAATACCGGCCAAGCACAAATTTGTTCCCTTATGAATACATTTTAACTTGCACCCTTTGGGACCAGTCTTAACTTGACTTGGTCTGCCTTGTCTTGTTTAAAGAATCCTCTTTCATTTCTGTCTTACCCATTAATCAAAAACCGTCATAGAATTTCCAACGTCAGGATTTGTTTTTTTTCTCAGTATATTCTTGAACCCATTCGTCAAAACAAATCTGCGCTCTGACAAGCCCTGACAGCACGAAATGATTCATTGGCAATGTGGCACGTCCTCTCTGCATAACAGGAACACGTGAGCATGTTCCGCACACGGCCGCGAGGGATGCAATGTACACTATGTGTCATTCGGTGGTATTCCCCGGTCGCCGCCAGCCTGGCTAACATGACCTACTTCATGCATCCCACGACGAATTTGCCAAGAACTGACGAACGAAACTGACTCCAATTCACACATGTTCATGTACTCTTTTCAAGACTTTTAGTCATCTTTTTTTTTTTACTAAGGGAATAAATGTGTATTAGGGAGGTGCCCGAGGCGAAGCCCAGGGTAATTATCACCCATCCAGACTACCACCGGTCTTAAACAGAGTGTTTAATACCGACCGAACACATATTTATTCCCATTCATACATGTAAATACCTTTTCGGTCAAAAAACCAAATCTTTTCGGTCCAAAAATCAAAACAAGTCAAAAACTAGACTAGCCAACCATTTTGTTCAACAATTTTACATCATGTTTCATGAAACATCCCTCTGACTATAATATGGAATGCCCCTCCCACAACTCGTTACCTTTTAAGGACATTGGCGTGCGCGTCGCGCATACTGTGCGATGTCGCGCAAAACGCAGCTGGGCTGGTGTAGTGTGAATTTCGGACCATGAAATACTGATTCACTGGTAGCACATGTACACTGTGCATACATACGTGAGGAATGTGAACATTCAACCAATGAAACATTAAAAGGCACCGGATTTCATGAGAGTCCAATTTCACGTGACACTGGAAAAGTGTTTAAGACCAGCTAGCCATGTCTTTATCATCCGTTTAAGACCGGCCACGTGACGGGCTCTCAACCAATGGGAATGCGGAAAATGTCTTAGGTATTTATGAATGCCTATTCATAAATTTATATCTGAGACAGTTTACCCATTTCTATTGGTCAAGAGCCCGTCACTTGGATGGTTTTTAACCGCTGATAAAAACACCGGCTGGTTACGGTGTTTGACTCATGTACTATGGTGCGTGGGTTCGAACCCTGCTAGGAACATGGTGTTTGTGCCCTTGGGCAAGACACTTAACTGCAATTGCCTCTCTCCACCCAGGAGTATAAATTGGTACCTGTGAGGGTAGAGGACCGAATGTATGCTGATATCGGCTGCCGCATGGTCTCGTGGCCTGATAATCGGGGTAATAATTGCAAAGCGCTTTGAGATTGTTGATACGATGGAAAGCGCTATATAAGCACTACGATTATTATTAGTTTACCCATTTCTATTGGTCAACCGCCCGTCACTTGGGTGGTTTTAACCCACTGATAAAATCACTGGCTGGTTCAAACCCTGTCAGGAACATGGTGTTTGTGCCCTTGGGCAAGACACTCAACTACAATTGCCTCTCTCCACCCAGGAGTATGAATGGGTACCTGTGAGAGTAGACGACCAAATGTGTGCTGACAACGTCTGCCACGTGTTCTCGTGGCCTCTCGTGGCCTGATGAACGGGGAATAATTGTAAAGCACTTTGAAATTGTTGTTACGAAGGAAAGCATTATAAAAAGGATTACAATTTATTGTTTGATTTATTTTTGTTAATTTTAAAAATTGTTACAACTACAAAATCCCATAAACGGGGAACATTTTTTTTCAAATGGCGTCTGGATTAGGGCGACACGCCTTATTGGAGTGACAAATTGGTGTCACCCTATGGGCTCCGTGCGCCAACAAAAGAGGGCGCCCTTTTACCTAGCAATGACGTACCATGGGTGGGACATTTCGCTGGTTGACGCGCACCGTTCCTTGTGTGTGACGCACATACACCAGGGGATTTGTACTATGTACACGCAGTGGCCGCGCTTCGCGGCAAATGAATTGCAGTCAGGCAAGATGGCGTCGGTCGGTAACCCCCAACTGTACTCTCTTTGCCGGTGAGGGGATACTTGTGAACGGAGCGGATTGTTAAAACGACCCTTAGGACAAGGAATTTGATTGTCGCAAACAATCTAGATCGATTTCTCGTGGTCCAATCAGTAAAAATACCGAATTTCGTAGAGAAAGGATCAGGTAACTTGGGTTAGGTGACAGTTTAGGTTTGCGCACAAGTCTATGGGAAAGTCGCCCTATTAGGCTTTAGCATTAGTTGAAAGTATTATACATGTAAAGGTACCATTAAGGAGACACGGTATCTTAATTTCTTTGCACGATGGGAGACATCGGTCATTAGGGAGACATTTTCATGTCTCCCTAATGTCACGGCCCCCCTTAAGAGTCACAATTTTATTGTCGCAATTAGGTTACAGTTGTTGCTCGTGGTCTAATTAGTGAACATACCGAAATTCGTGGAAAAAGGACAAGGGAATACTGGGTTAGAGCACATTTAAGTTTGAAAAATTTTATGCACAAGTCTAAGGGGATGTCTCCCAAATGTCCAATCCAGGGTAATATTTTTTATAATTATTATTTAATTTTTTTTTTTAACTTACCCTTCGGATGAATCGTAGGGCCTGGACCCTCTCTATGTCATTGGCTAGACAGATGTCCAGTGACCTCATGACCAGGTAGTCTATGTGTAGTCTCATCATAGCCTCGACGGCCGCCTCGTCTTGCAGGAGGTAACGCAGCGCTCGGATGCCTGCACTACGCACCTCCTTGGTGCTGTGAAGGAGAGACAACCTCAAGCTGAAAGGAAACAAATAACTAAATGTTATTCTTTGATAACAAGACTCAATACCCAAAACTAATTAATACAGGGTGAGTCAAAAATAACGAAACCCAAAATGTCGGGACTATTGTTTTAGTGAAGTTCTGCATGTAGCACTTTCAAAATCTCGGATATGAAAGCCCAATTGATAAGCTTTCTTTTAGTACAAGAATCATTCAAATTACTCATGTAATTTTCAAGTTACGAAAGTTTTAACACAACCACTGTTTTAAAGTTCTGTCCACGGATCACAAAAAGGTACATTGTAAGTGTTCTTTCAGCAAAAGGAAAATAACTCACATAGGGATGTGTGTGAATTGTTTACGTTTTTGCTGAAAGGACGCACACCTTATTTTGTGATTTGTGGACAGAGCTTTAAAACGGTGGTTGTGTTTAAAATTCCGTAACTTGAAAAGTACATGAGTGATTTGAATGATTCTTGCACTTAAAAAAAGCTTACAAATTTTGCTTTCATATCCCAGATTTTGAAAGTACTACATGCAGAACTTCACTAAAAAAAATAGTCCCGACATTTGGGTTTCGTTTTTTTTTACTCACCCTGTAGATGCTACACGTACTCAATGCTCATTATCCAGTACTCAATACCAGACTCAATATACTCATTGCTTAACTCTCCTACTATTTAAGCAGTCACAAACAGTCAAAATTCAGTTCCACTTCCCCTGCTACCAGTATGTACATTAGGCACGTGTGGTCTAGCGGTAGGGCACAGGATTCATGATCGTGCGATTGTGGGTTCCAGCCCCGCCGTGGCCATGCGTGTTGTGCCCTTGAGTAAGGCGCTTTACCTCAATTACTCCTCTCAACCCAGGAGTTAAATGGGTACTGGCATTATTCAATGCTGGGAAGGTAACAGACTCGCTGTGGAGGAGGTGTGGCGATCCCCCCACAGCAGCATTTCATGGACTCGAGTCTGGCCCATCACTTCGAGAGATGGGCACTCCGTTCCTGTGAACACAGGTTCGTCCCCCCCCCCCTCCCCTGCTATACTTTTAACAAAGCCTAGTCACCAGCAGTCAGATCATATATCAGGCAAGCACTGTGACTAGTCAAACTGGGTCAACAGACAAAGCAGGCAAGTTGTGGTCACGGCTGGTTTATCACTGAACCTGAGTCAAAGCATAGCTGTATCAAGTTACTTAAACAGTCCCAGCCAGTCAATCCTGTTCTATGTAGGCTGGGAATTCTTAACTGTTGAAAACAGTCACTTGTTTGATTTTGACTGAAAGGACAACTTGGCACAGAATGTATGTTTGCAAAGGAGGGTTAATGGCTGCATTGAATTGTTCACCTCCCAGAAATCTGAGGTGGTACAGCAAAAGAAACATCTTGTGGGTCAAGCGAGTGGGATAATAATAATTTCATTCGATTTGATCTTCATTTAAAAGTGCTGTACTTAACACATGAAAACTCTCTATTGTTTGATCAGTCACAGACAGTCAAAATGTTCTCCCACTTCCCCTGCCATGCATTTGTATACAGACTAGTAAAAACAGTCAGATCACATTTGTGTAAAAACCAGTGTTGTAGTCGAGTCACAAACATCGAGTACGAGTCCGAGTCCCGAGTCACAAGCCTCGAATCCTAGTCCGAGTCACAAACACTTGTTCACGTGACACTCTTTGGTACTGGACACTTTTGGGCATGACACCGGGCCCTGGCATGCCTGGTGCTCGTCGTGCAGGCGCTAGGCGTGCGTGCACGGCCCCTGGATACAATTTTCCGCGGTGCCTTGTTTGGTCTATGAAGTAAAAAGAATGTTAGTCCGTCGCACAAATATGTAACGCTATGTTTTTTTCTTTTGATGAAAATACGTGACTCGAGTCACGAGTCACCAAGCTCAAGTCCGAGTCATCATGGTCATCCAAGATCAAGTCCGAGTCATTTTCAAATGTGACTCGAGTCGAGTCACGAAAAATGTGAATCGAGTCCGAGTCCTGGACTTGAGTTCTACAACACTAGTAAAAACTGTGACTAGTCAAATTCCGTCGACAGACAAAAGAGGTAACTGGTAGGTACAGCTGGCATATCAATCACCTCCAGTCAAAGCATGGCTATATCAAATTAGCAAGGGAATTCTTAATAGTTAAAAGCAGTCACTTGATTGATTTTGACTGACTGTGCTGGGCCAAATTTCATAGCGCTGCTTAACAGTAAGTAGAAAGGTTGTGCTTAATATAGCAGAAAATCATGCTGCTGCTTAAGCACTATTTCATGCTAACAGTTGGGCACGCATGGAGATTTCTATCGTTACGTCACTGATTTAAGCAAAGTTTTCTTCAGGGGTTAAGCATGCTTTTGCTGTGCTCACTGCTTAACGGTCCCTATGAAATAGATGGAGGCTCGGTAAGCACAAAGTCGGCTGTTAAGCAGCGCTATGAAATTGGGCCCAGGTGTAGCTATTATAAATTACTGTTATAATGACATGTAAGTTGTGGGGACTTTTGACTGTCCCCACAATGTTTTTGGTCCCAACAAAACCAATCATGCAACTGGTGTGATCCCCAAAAATACTACATTCCAAGCGTTTGTTTATGGTGTAAATCGAGGACACACACATGCAACAGCATCAGTGAATCAAGGTCAGAAACCGAATCGAGGACTCCTCGGTTGGAAAACGTGTACAAAACCAATGAGAGCTGTTGCGAAAAAGTACAAACAAAGGAAAAGGGAAGAGGAACAAAAGAAAATCCTCTACCGGTATTTACACCATAAACAAATGTGCTAGTACATGTATGTGTGTTCGCTTGCATAAATATGCACAAAACAAACATGTACATGAATGTGCATGTGGTTAAAGGGAATGTACATCATTGGCTTTTGCTGTAATTTTTAGAAATTAACTATTTGAGGGGTTAGTATAATAGATCAAATATTGTTACACTGACATGTTTGAAGTTTTTGTTCTAAAAATGCTGGAAAAACCAAGAAAAACAAAAATGTTCAAGTAGTCTGGTTCCCTGACTCCACTAAAGATAAAATGGATCAATTTATAGATGCCGGAAAATTGTAAGGTAAGGGAACCAGTTGTAGCTGACCTGCACCCGTTTATGAACATGTCACCAATAGCAAACAAAATTTGGACCGAAAAAAATTGTAAATTTGGAGCAGTAGTTGAAAATTAGTTAGCTTTTCCAACGGTGGTCAGCCGACCATTGTTGGAAATGTATACAAAAATACCATTTTCTTGAAAATGACTTCACACCAGGTGCCATATTTTTACAGGATGCTTTAGACTGTCATTTACCAACATCCTAGTAAGGTATTTTGTAAAAACTGGGTAGTTTTATTTTTCGATGTTTGCAAATGTTGTATATTCCCTTTGATGCTCAGTTCAAAAGTTCAAACAAGTGCATGTACGCAAGTACATGTGCATGGTGAATACATTAGTCAATCTCCATAGATTACAGCTGTACATATTGCAGCACTGCCAGAAGTATGGACCTTAAACTGGGCCGACTCCTGTCGCCTGTGCAAAGTTTGTTGTCTGCAGGGCACTGGACTTTGCACTTACTGCATACGATTGTGTAACACATTACAATGGCTGTGACAATGGGAGGTGCACCTTGAATCCAAACATAACTATTTTTAAAATAGTAACACCAAAAAAATCCCAAAAAAAACAAGGAAAAAAAACAAACAAGTCAATGCCTATTTTTAGATTGAAATTTTGCTAAGGATTTGTGTTTCAACCTATCAACTGATCTATCACGGTAGAATCGCATTAGAATCATGTCAACACAGCTTGTGAAATATTGTCCAATTTCATGATATACAAGTGGGCGTGGAACACGCAAAATCAAACGAGACAAACAAAACTTAGTGTACAAAAACTCCGTAGGGTTGTCTAAGGGGCGTGGCTAACTCGCAAGCGGTGATAGGTCAATTTGATAATGTGTGTAATTAAAGGGAAAATACAACATTTGCAAACATCGAAAAATAAAACTACCAAGTTGTTACGAAATACCTTACTAGGATGTTGGTAAATGACATGCTTAAACATCCTGTAAAATTATGGCACCTGGTGTGAAGCCATTTTCAAGAAAATGGTATATTTGTCTACATTTCCAACGCTGGTCGGCCGACCACCGTTGGAAAAACCTAACTATTTTTCAATTACTGCACCAAATTTACCATTTTTTTTTAGTCTAAATTTTGTTTTGCTAGCTATTGGTTCCATGCTCATGAACGAGTGCAGGCCAGCTAGACTGGTTCCCTTACCGTACAATTTTCTTGTACGATTGATCCATTTCATCTTTAGTGGAGTCAGGGAACCAGACTACTTGAATATTTTTGTTTTTCTTGGTTTTTCCAGCATTTTCGAACACAAAACATGTCAGTGTAACAATATTTGATCTATTATACTAACCCCCCAAATAGTTAATTTCTGAAAATTACAGCAAAAGCCAATGAAGTACATTCCCTTTAATGGTGAAAAAAAAGTTTGTGTGACTAAGGACAATTCATCATATAAACATTACAATTTTTCTTAACATGAAATTAATTTTCAGAGGACCTTTGTGGACACTCTTGCAAAACTTTCATTATAGGCATATTGTCCGTACATATTTCATTAATGAATGCAAAAAAAAGACCACAAAATTGCACATGTAGTGTAGTTTTACAGTTGTCTTTTGGAAATCTGTGTAAACAAATGTAAGTAAGAAAAGAAGTTTCAGCCACATAAAATTGATATAATCAAACGACAAATGTACATTTCTCAAAGGTTTGAAAAATGCTTCATTTATTAAAGATGCGCGTCCTGTGCTGTTCCAAAAAAAAAGTCCTAACTGCCTAATGAATGTTAAATTTATTTTAAAATTGTATTACTGAAAAAAAATCTTTTTCCAATTTTAGGCTTCCCCAACCCTCTGAAAAAGGACTGTTATTTTGCACAAATGAACCCAACCTGCCTGAGGCAAATTAATAGAGCCTGAAATTTCACCCCTGGTGGCGC